TTTGGAGGGTCCGCGAGACAAATCTGTAATATGGCTAATAGCTTGATAATACAAAAAGAAAGTCCTTAAATTTTCAAATACACATTTGTCGGCTTTTGCTGCTTCGCAATCACTGCTGGAGACACTGATGCTTCACTTTCTGTTTCGATTACGCTGCCCCATTGTTATGTCACAGAGCTTTGGCCTGTGATATCACAGAGAGAGTTCAATTCATGCCACCACAAGTTTACTATTTGCAAATCTGTAGCTGAAGCTGCCCTTTTGCACTTTTACCAAATATCGAAACAGACTTTTGTTTGTTTCACCATACGGCGCATTGAGTTTTTTTTGTGATCCTTTAATGTTTTGTTTTAGTGTACAAGGCCGGGAATAATTAAAAAAATTGCAAGGGGTCCGTCATGCAATTTTTTTCAAAAAGTTTGGGAACCACTGGTTTAGACCAATTTTTCTACGACGGTAATTTTAAGAAAATGTGTCCTAAATTTGTGACCTATCAAACTGACCTTATATTCCATCCCAGTCCAGGGGTTAATGAATCCACCAAGAGGGATCAGTGAACGTAGATAAGGTAGAAGCTTCTGGTAATGGGCGAGGTCGTAAATATTTGCGGGTTTTCCGTTGTTCATTGATTTGCAAATTGATTCAGCAACGTTGAAGGTCACGTTCCACTCATTATACACAACTGCTCGGAAGCATTTTGACTTGTATATAACGCCACATTCATCTGAAAACATTGTGGTCATTGAATATTCTGTGATAAAAATGACGTTTCCAGAAATAACGTCATAAGATCTGGGAGTAAAATTTTGTTGTGTTGGTTTATTTATTGAGACTTCCCTCAAAAATATCCCAATAATTCCAAGGAGCAAAAAGTCGATAAGATGACCTAAGAACGCCGGAACAAATCCGTTTCAGGTAGTAGGTTCAGTTGCATTGTGGGTGGACGGATTCGCAACCGACTAATGGTTGGGTTAACCACCCAGCAGTCACCAAGAGACCAATCCTTGAAATATTTGGTTTAATAAATCTAGATTCAAACCTACACGAGTAAATGCATTTTCGATTCTGTAACGGGTGTGGCATATTTCATAATCAATTCATCCAAATAAAAAACTAAAATATATATTACTTCCAGCATTATTCTTTTCATCAAGACTCTTTTGGATCAGTTTGAGGATATCTATAATAAAATTGAGATATCAGTCGTGTGTAAGTATTTTAAATCAGTTTTACCATGTTATATTGCACAGTTTTTCAACGACACGGTATAACTTTGCCCGCACTGTAAAATATTTTCTTAAAAACCAAATACTGTTATAAGGTTGGAGTCGCAAGTAATATTTTGAGAAAGTTTTGACAAACATTTTTGCCAAGAACCTATTATTTATTTTGTTGTATACGGTTTTAGGAACATTTGCCGTAGGAAATTTCGCCGCATAGGAAAATTCGCAGCAAGAGCATTTTGCTGTAAAGCAAGTATTTGTGATAAAAACAGTAAGATTTTTGAAGTATCCTGAAATAGGACGAACTCACCGGATCCATCGTTTTTCTGTGAAATATATGAAAAATGCAGATGGATAGTAAAATCATTATAACACGTAAGTTATTTTAGATCAGAATATATTTGTTTCCTCAGTTTGAAGCAATAAAAATTGGGTAAGTAATGTCAAAGTGAAAAGCTTCGAATCCTTCCATAGTAACTTTATATGTATCAGTGGATGCTGCCGAGTGTGCAAACACCTCAGATAAATAAATATGCAGGAGATTAATGAAGGGAATGTAACACGCAAGTTGTATTAGATTATTTTACTTGCCCTGGTTCAAGGCAGGTCAGCAAATTATAATCGGGCGAAAATAGAGAGCTCTTAAAGTTTTTGGATCGATGGTGTCGTAGTTTGAGCGTTGGATGCAATAGTTTTTAAAACTGAAGATGAAAATTTCTGTTCCAAATGTCTACACCTAGCACAGGATGTGAAAAAGCTATGCCGAAAAGCTTTCGATCCTTGAAAAAAATAATATTATCATTGAGGACTTGCCCGAAGCTTTATTTGGAGTGAGAAAATAACTGATAAAATTAACAAATTAATTCTACCTTGCAATCTCCAACTTGAATGAGTTTCCCATCCACGATCTTGGAAACGCAGGCTCCAGCTGTCAAAATTAAAACGATGTAATTCAAAGTTAAATAAATGAATAACATTTGGCGCCAAAATTTATGATGCTGCCAGACCACCGAGTGATAGTAAAATCTTTTGAAATGATTTGTTATAATCATGCTACCAGCAGTGTTGAATGTGGAAAAAAATTGTCTGCAAACCAGTCTTCCTATTTATATAATTTAAGTAGTTATATCTAAAACAAATCTTACGCGGTACTTTTAGCTCTGCAAGAAATCCACAGATGAGAGAGAGAAAGAAAAGTATTTCCACGAAGTCCATGTTTGCTTCTAGAAAAGTTTTATGACGCAACTAACTGCTTTAAATTAACTATCTGTAAGGATACTCCCGAAGAATGTGAACCAAGATGGCGGGCACCGGAACGTAGTATGTGTACCAGGTTAAGGTTAAGCCATAACTTTTTTTCAATTTGCCTTCTTTCATTTCTGTTACGAGTTCAGGGACTATCCGAGTGACTCCCGTAGTATTTGTACCTGAAATTATGGCCCAACCTTTACCCGGTACACATACTACGTTCCGGTGTCCGACATATTGATTCACATACTTCGGCAATATTCCATAAAGCACTTGATTTACTCGTCTTTAATGAGTATTCGCTCGGATCAACACAGCAGAAATGTTTTCGGATACGGAGTGGACATATGGGTCGTTTTGTTTGGTATGTTGTTGTCAACGTTTTTCTTCTAATCACTTTTTCACCAAAATCGCTTTTCTTTTCAATTACTGAACCAATTGCTTGGAAATCTTCAGTGATTGAGGATTGTATTTTTTCTAGAAAGCTATTACTTTTATTTGTTTCGAAAATTTCTATGGATTCTAAGAGATTTTTTTGTTCGCGATTACGTCATAAAAATTGAAAATAGGGCTCCGTTTCCATATATTTGAGCATCGCTCTCTTGTTTTAAACATAAACATCCGAATAGACTGAAAATGCAATGCAGGACTGGCAGTCCCTGTGGATATCGATATTTACCACAACTCTAAAGTTGCTATTTGGATATTTTTTTCGGCCACGGAGGCAACAATATCTATTTTTATTTGCCCTTCTTTCATTTGCATGCAAAATCAGTGAAAACGCCTCTTTGTGCGCAGCCAATTGTGACTCATAAAGTGTGTTTATACCATATATGGTAGCGAGTCTCATGATTGGAGTTTTACGTCATTTTTTTTTTTTATCTATAAACTAATTCATAGCGTAGAGAAATTGCGCGTATTACCAAATACACAAATAAATTTGGTACATACGTAGTAGTGCATATACAAGCGATTTTATGCGCGTACACCTTTCAAATCGACGCTATGATGCGTTTTTTTTTTATGCCGCACTGACCATTGTTATTATTTTTTTTTTTTACGCTCTTTCCTACATCAAGCACGTAAATCAGCCAATACGCGATATTAATTCACCAGCTATTTGACACGTAGATTGTGATTATGTAGTATATGGCGGTCCAACGGATGCGTTTTACGTTACTTCCTCTTGCCATAAACTAATCCCTAGTGTAGAAAAATCGACCGTTTTACTAAACATACAAATTTGATTCACCCATTTTAATAGTAAAACTGGAGGCGATTTAAATAAGCGTAATTATCTCATCAATTTTGTGTCACGTCCGCTTTTCTATCTAAAATACAGAATAATACAATTTGTAAATTCTAATTCAATACCAAATTAAATCTGCTAATCACAATTTCGCATTTTCAAAACAGATTTTCAAACATGCGAAAAATCTTAAATATTCGATCGAATTTGGCAAACCTGGCCGAATCTGCTGTTCTATCTAATACATGGAATGTTAAAAATTGTCCAGTTTACTTGAAAACCAAAGAAATTTGCCAAATACAAATTTCGCAGCCTCAGACAACCTATTGAACATTCCAAAAAACTTGAATATTCGCACAAATTTGGCGCGCAAGACACATCATGTGACAATAATCACTAACATAAGCAACAAAACTAGATTAGCGCCTTGTCATTGTGCAGCCTCAAACACTGTTTGAAACACCAAAAAAACAACATAGTTTGCCGACCTTAGCGCACAAAAACGAAACAGTTGGCAATCAACAATTATCATAAAAGTTAGGAACCTCCCCCGAGCTGACAATATTTGTGACGACGAAATGGCGTAATTTAGTATTTCCCCATGCCATACAGACCACCGTTACTTTTTCTATTTATGCTCTCTTCTATCTGCTACATCTAACATGTATATTAATTAGCAAAACCGACCTTTTGGTTGGTAACTGACTCAGATGACCGTATATGGTCGTATCGTCACCACCCAGGCATATACCGAAAACTGCATTGTGTATTGTTTTATTATTATTTATTTGTTATTGTATCATCATTAGGTTTTCCGGTTTGACGAAAAAAATAAATGCTCTCTCTCTCTCTCTCTCTCTCTCTCTTTCTTTGCGCAGCCAATCTTGACTCATAAAATGTGATTATACTGTATATTATGCTGGACTAGAATTTCATGCCAAAAATGGCAGCAATTGGAATGACCGGAAAATTTAGCGCATTAAAAGGTTCACCTCATTGCTAAAATTGTCTCGCCACAGAATATTCAAACTACACATGTTCTCATACGATATAGATACACTGCAATTGTAAAAAAATTATTCAGTCATATATTCAATTAAAAGTATTTAGTAACAACACGAGCTTTGTCTTCACAGCGTTCAAATACGATATTTCTTAATTGTAAAGGAAAGCAGTAAAAAACATTGCAAAAGCGTTAAATTGCACTGCATAGATTTATTCGTATTTAAGTAATTCGAATTCAAGTAATAAAGTATTGTATTTTTTTTCAATAATATTTTACCATATAACCTAATAAGGTATGATGACTTCAAAGCTTTCATCAGAATCCACTACAGTAGAGATAATTATAAGCAGACTCGCGTTTCAAAAACGAGACGGACAAAACAAAATCATGTCCAATCAATGAAAAAGCTAAGAGGGTGTTCAAAATAATTTTGAAATATTTGAACATATTTACGGACAATACACAATTCTGAGCGATATATTTGATACAAAATGGTACTGTGATACTAGAATACTACATATAACAATATTAGACCATTTGATGAAAATACTTGCTTATAGGAATGAGTTAACAGTTCCAGGTAAAATTAATCAAAAACTTGAAAATCGTACAACTTCTTTGATTACAAGAAGAAAATATAAGTATATAAATTCAAAGTATCACAGATGATTTCACAATTGAACTAACACAAAAATTTTAATAAAGTATATTCAATAATACATGTAAGATGTAACCGAGCAAAATTATAAAAAAAATATATCTAAATGCAAGTATTACATGGTGCAGTTCTGTGTGCACTGTGCATCAATAATTATAAACGTTACAAGGTATCGCTGCTTAATCGCTGACGGTTCGCTTCTTCGTATGAGCGGGCATAACATTATTCCAGAAATCAGCTTCTTTTTCGCCTAAATTCTTCCCAACGGAAAATATTTTATCGACCACGAGGTATTCGCCTTGAGGTTTATATCTCGGCCATTTTACATCCACTTTTCTTCCTTTATTCGGATCTCTGAAAAAAAATGTTAAATGATAAGTTTCCACTTTCTCTACCATTTCTACCCACTACCACAAGTCTACCTACTTAGGGAAAATACATTGTTATTTCTACAACCGAATTGAACTGTCAAAGCAATCAGATAATGAGAGACATGTCCGACACCCGCTATAGTAAAACTATTTTTTAGAGACTTTTTCACGCTTTAAATTAAATATAACCTGGTACACATACTACGTTCCGGTGTCCGCCATCTTGGTTCACATACTACGGGAGTACCCTTTATCACGCTTCAAATTGAGCAGAGTTCACGAAATGCATACACAAATTATTTTGTTTCAAGATTAAAATCTTCTTGGGTTGGTATTCTCTAGTCCAGTCAATCAATTACTCCCCGGATAGGGTATTTAACCAGGGGGTAACCCCAAGATCTTACCGTTACACCTACAATGGCATATAACCAAGTCCAACGGGTTTAAACATTAGACCAATGTTTCCCAGTCAGAGAGGAGTTCCTCAACAAGAGAGAATTTTGTCGAGGATTTCTTAGAGAGAAATTTAACTTTTTATTTCCTGTAGTATTACTAATATTCTTTATTATTATTGTTTCAAATAAATGCGAATTGCGAATAACACAGCCTAAGGATTAATGAAGATTGAATAAAAGAAATTATTTTACGCTTAGTGAAGGTGAAATAAAAAGTTCTAAAATAGGCGACGGGGTAATTTAACGACAAAGATTGGGAACCACTGCATTATACCCTTGCCACAAATAGAAGAACTAGCGTTGGGTATATGAAACACTGAGTGATTATTCGATCCATGTAATTAGTGTTTCAAAAGCGAATGTTGTTTTTCTAAGTTTTGTCCATTTGGGCTGAAGTTCTCGATTTAGATCGGCACAATAGCAGAAGATATCGGTCCTCCAAATCTAGATAATTGGGGAATTTCTTTCTGGCGTCGAATATTCCCAAACGATTAGCAATATTTAAATATCTGACTTTCCGTTTGACTCAAGAACACTCACCCAGTTCTGGCAAAATTTGTCACGTATGCCATGAATTTTCTGCTAATTTCCTCTTCATCTTTCGTGAATTTTGCTCCTCTAGGCAGAACATACGGTGAAAATGGCCATCCGAATGTCATTAATAGGTCATCACCGTGATCACATAAACACCAGTTTGGCTTTTTGCCAACTTCAGGTCCGTACTTCTCATCTTGAAACATTTGCAATTGAAAGCATCCGTACAGCAAGTAGACGGGTGCCTTTCCAGCTGAATCAGAAAAAAAAACTGACATTAGAATGGCAGATGTTAAAAATATTTCTGAAATGCAAATCCGAAATATATACCTTTTGCCTTTCTGGGGAGTTATTGATGAAACACGTTTCTCATAGTGTGTGAACACTCAGCGAAATGCCCGAGTGATGGATTCTATGTTGTCAGTAATTTAAATAAACGGAGAATTAAACATCACATACAATTACATATCTTCCAAGTTGTCGAGATTGGATTCGATTTTAAAATCACCAAGTATTAAAAAATGCCGAGCCCGACTCGTAGGTGGGTACCAACATCTTGTAAGTATAATTTAATATACACGTATCTTACCCGAATATGCTGCTGCACTCGGAATTGTTTTTGAAATGTACATTGAGTCTCCAACCATATCACCATGCATTCTGCTGAATTTTAATTTGTCTGAATTGTCCTTGATGTAAAACTCCTTACATTTTTCGAAGCCTTCTTCAGTTAACTGCAAAGACATAATTTGAATCGATACTAAATGGTGAAGAGCAAAGAAGTAAGGTAGATTGGAGAAAAAGAGTCATAAATGGAACAGTAGTTGTAATGCGTGGAACATTGTCGTTCTGTTTGAATAATCTGTTAAAATTGAATGTCTTGATTTACTTAGAGGTTATGGGCAAACCCTCGTGGTTCGCCATTACATTTGTAACCACGAATATCACGAGCAGCACAATCCGTGATCTTAGAAAGTGAGGAATGGAAAACGGAAAAAAATATGTAATACAAAGTTTAGAATGGAAAAACAACTCGTAAATTTCATGCATCAACAGTTTAAAATTTGTCAATATGTTTTGTATTGTGGCGTTATTCCTACGTTCTGCTATATTTATATGCCGGTTACACACACACATTTTACTTGCTACTTCTATGTGTAGACCATGTTATGACTTTGTTGGTGTTACGCGAGGAAATCAAAAGGCAAAGTAGCAAAGAAATAATAGTAGTAATAAATGAAATAAATACAAACGACAAAAAAGGTTTTGTACAAACAAACTAACCGAAAGAAAGGGCGATTGTTTCAATTCTTCCTCTGTCATCCCTGTTGCAAAATTTGGTGATAGGAAGCACGAAAGCAGGCCGTATCCTTCCGTATTATTGCATCCAATGATATAAGGTATTTCTGATGACTTTAAATCTTTCATCATTTCTTCGTAAGGTTTGACAAACACTTTTCCTTCGACGTAAGGTTGAAAAAAGCAGTTTTTCTGCAAAAATGTTTAGTCAAATGACTACAGCATTTACGACAAAGCTAATATGAATGAAGATTACTGATTTAACTGCTCAAAGTAAAATTATCCAAGTTTTCGGAGTAGACCATGTCACGTATAGAGGCCAATAGGTTTCAGTAATAAGAAAGTTTGGAATTAAACTTCTGCTATCGATTGAGCTTCTGCTGAAAAAACTACTTATCTTCTTCTATGCTTTTGTGCCGGTGGATCTGTATGTATATAATGCAAAGATGCTGAAGCGACAATGAAGATAATTATCTTAAAAGATTCAAGAGTCTTAGCGTTCACACGATTTCGTTTCGAGAAGAAGGGACATCTGTGACGGCATATTACGATGTCGCAATATTCTCTTTTTATTTGAGATATTTCTTGTTACCTCCAATAGTTTCGCAGTGGCATCCATCAAATCATCAGATGATACTTTTTGTAATGCTTCAAGAATTTTAAGATCATCTTTTTCGTCAATCTTCAAAAGTTCCAAAAAAAATTTCGCAGATTTAGTTACCTCTTCGGGACTGGGAAACAATGCTGAAAAAAAAGGAATATTTGAGTTCGAAGATGACACAAAACTTAGTATCAAAATGCTTGACAATAAACTTAGTCATATTAAAATTAAAGTAAATTTTATATATATAAACAGCATTTGCATATAAGTTGCCGTTTGAGATTCTTCTATCATTGATCTATCCATCTTTTTTAGTTTAATCTACCTTAATTTATGAACCGTTAGATTTACTTAGTACAATTTTGCAAATACTTATTCTCACCATCCATGTTAGTTTGTCCGCTGAAGCTAATAGCTTTATGGAATAAACCTCGAGCTAACGGCGATAAAACTTGCATCTCGACAGCAACACTTCCTGCACTCTGACCAAATAGAGTGACGTTGTTTGCATCTCCACCAAAGTTTTCAATGTTTTCTTTGACCCATCTATATGAAACACGTAGTCACTTAGATAGTTTCTAGTTACTTAGAGCGGATAAAAAAACGCATTTGGCAAGTCTAACATACTTCAAAGCCAGTTGTTGATCTAGAAGTCCAGCGTTTCCAGAACAGATAGACGATGGTCCAAGTGCGAAGAACCCGAAAACTCCTACTCTGTAATTTGGTACAACAACTACTACATCGTTCATTCCAGCAAGAGCACATCCGTCGTAAGGACGCTCTGAACCTGAGGAAAATCCCCCTCCGTATAAATACACCATGACCTAAAATGCAATAAAATATCAGATGAGAACAGTTTCAGTATCTTCAGACAAAAAATCCTGACTAAGATTGTGAAAAGAACAGAAAAAGTGTATAGAATTGGTTTTGCAAAATCAGTAAAATCTCTTATACTTAAAAATGACCTTACAAATGCACGAAGTATTTCATGTCTTTGTCTTAAATGGAGACTAGTGCCAAAAAGTGGTGTTCACTCATGCCTCCAGAAATAACTAAGTCTAATTCACTCATTTCATCATCCTGCTAACTTGCCAAAACAGAGATAAATAATAACAAAGAAAAGTAGCTGTAAACTCGTTAAATTATGATTCGACATTTGAAAATCTTAGTTGAACGACGTCAGATATTTGCGAGAATGTTACGATGTCTAAATCTTATATTGCGGGAGATTTTTATATTAGTGCACTGTAACGTTGGCAGGTTTCTCACCGGTAAGTTTTTTCCTCGTTCCAGACTTGGGGTGTACACAGATAAATGCAAACAGTCTTCACTAAGAACTGCTTCATTGTCAAACTGATTAGGTGATGGGAAATATGGAACTGTAACGCTGTCGTATGCTGTTGAGTAAATTGGTAAATTTCCAGGAGTTGTTCCATCTCTGATTCCACTCCATGGTTCCGCTCTGGATAGTAAAGCACGGTTTATCAACGATTAAGTCAAGTTCCTTTTTGGAAAGGGGCTCGGGCGGTTAAAGTTTTATTTTTCTATATTTAGTTTAAGGCGGTGAGACATAATAAGTCAAAGGGCCTTCCATTAATAAAATACGGGTGTGTCATATGTTAGAGAAGACAGCGTTCATCTTTGACTGCACACTTGCTGGTTTACCTAAACGCATACAGCGGCGTACGTAGGATTTCGTTGAGGAGTTATTGAGTATTGAAGTTACTGTGAAATGCCATTTAAACATTTAACGACTATCGCTTCTTAACAGCACCTCATTACTGTTAAAAATGGTGCCCTAAGCACATTCTTATTTTGCTTAATTGTAAATTCAGCCCTGTTAATATTTAACTTATAATCACATTTTACCACATTCGAATAGAGAGAGACACAAAACTCCGACATCGCCTGTTTCACCCATGATTTGATACGGGTTTTAAACCACAGTTGGTGCTCTCTTTGAACCATTTAAATCATATTAATACCCACGGTTGAGGAGGCAGAAATCTCAAATTTCCAATCGGTGGTTTTGCAAATGGAACATTTCGAAAGGTGTTAACTGGTTTTGCATCTTTAACTTTGAGTTCCACAAGTTTTCCTTTTATTTTGCCAGTGACAGTAGCTACAATTGGAGGACTCATGCTGTATTGTCAATATCCTAGTCAGTACAACTGCTAACATTAGTAGAAAATAAAACGAATTATTTTCGTGCATTTTTTTATTTCCTCCCTATGTCGCGCTGTTGCTTTCCAATAGTAGTTACACATGATTGGCAGTGCGTGGTTGTGGCCTCGCTTTTCGTTAATATTTTAAACCTTATTGAGTTTTTTCCATTTGTAAATGAAATATCAACAATCCTGTTGTCAAATTCATCTCAGACCTATCGACACGTCCTACCGTTACTCTCAAAATATAATCTCAACAATGCAGCTTACAGGTTCAAGCTTTATTAACTTTGTCAGTAAAGCTGCAGAGTGAGTTCCGGTGTCTTATTTATATATACCAGTTTGCTTGCGGTAGTAACCAACTAACCATTATAGAAAAAATCAACAGTTTTACTAGATAAATCAGTTATCGTGGTTGCCTGCTATTCTGCTTTTGAGACCTAACTTGACTGACGATAAATCGAACAAAAAAGCTCTCGAGGCTTCAATAGAAAACCTATGTAACTACCGAATTTCAGTAAATTTCTCGAACATTAGTCCAAGCATACCGACTTAAATAAGTTTACATAAGAACGAAGCGTTGGCCACTATCTATCCCATTGGCATATATATCCTCATATTCATAAGTAATATTTGCACTTCTAAGCGCGACACCATCTTTGTTAAGGTAGCTTTACGCCATTGTTTATTCCATCCGTTTCCTTTTTAGGCAAAGCACGAGAGTATGATCAGAATCAACAAATTAAAACGAGAGAATATATAGCGCGAAGCGTATTATTTACCTATCAATCGACACCCGGGCTTTCGTGTCTAGAATTCATGCCAAAAATGGCAGCAATCAAAATGAACTGAAGTTTACGGAACCGTTATTGCGATTTGTTGCGCAATGCAATGAATCAAGAAACTTCATGACCTTATATGGAATCCATAATTCGTAATGCCTAGGCATACTGATCCCATGTAGGTATGCTATGTAAAAGTACCAATAAGCACTGAAAGCTGATGGATATATGTGTCTGTAAAGATTAATTGGTATAAGCAGAAGATAACACAACTGCCTGACTGGATAAAAACCTAAAGATTCTCACCCAAATATAAAGGAACAATTAAAATATACCAACGGTTCGGTAAAGGTTGTAAAAGATTGACCATACGAGTTATAAAAACATTAATCTCCACATTTAAATTATGAAAATTTGATTTAGCTTGTTTACAACTCGTTTTTTCATTATTTAAAAAATAAACAGCCTCTTTTAAAACAAAGTACTGATTGAAATCTTCTTTTTTCCTTTGAGTTTTTGACGCGCTTTATTCGTGACCCGCCAAGGCACGAATAAAATAAAATAATGCTAACATATCAGTGATAAAAATTGATAAAGCCGGCTTTAAATTAAACTAACAATAACTAAACTATGTCTGCACCAGTCTGCACCGCTGTGAATCGTTATTCAGCCATTGGCTCTGACATCGTTTATGACATAACAATGCAATTGATCTGTTCATTTCTCACAACGTCTTGTCTCTTTCGGAAGTGCATCTGCAGACTGTTTTAGGGGTTATACGAGAACGAGATGCTACTTCGCATTTTATTAGTTTCTCGCCCACAATGCCGTTGAGAAAACAAAATCTTTCAAACTTGAAATAAAAACTATAAATCTGAAATAATAACGGGACAGTGTAAAAGTGCCCTGATGTGGTTAAAAACCGATAGAAAAATACACTATCAGAGTGTAATTCCCTCCGAGCTCTTTGGAACCGTAAAATAATTTGCCGCATCATCCTAAACGTTTTTGGTAATTCATATGCGTGGTTTCGTACTCTAATTTCATAAAATCAAGTGCCATAAAAAGTCCCTGATGGAGTGTTGCTTATAAGATTTGTTTTAAAAGTTTCTTATAGATGCAAACATTGGTTAAATATATGTGACCCACTCTCTTCTGTTCCACGATGAAAATATAATTCTTGATCCATTCACTGAAAAAGGTTCGCCATCTCTGCTATATACAATCGAAAATAAGGCTGATCTATGGTGGCCCATCGTTGTCACGTGTAAAATTAAAAAAAAAATGAAAAAATAAAATGAAAAAGCGAAAATAAAAAAATAGTTGTGATAAAACATAAAAATAATTGAAAAAAAAAGAAATAAAAAAAAATTTAAATTAAAAAAAAAATTGAAAAATAAAACAAACAAAAAAATTAAAAAAAAATTGAAATTAAAAAAAAAAAATGAAAAAAAAAAAAAAAATTGAAAAAAAAATTGGATAAAAAGAAAATAAAAAGGTTGACAACGATGGTCCGCCTCGTGGCCCATCGTTGTCACGCGTTTTTATTTTTAGAAAATTTGATGCTGCTTGGGACCAACGTTGTCAGACTTAATCCTACACGCACAAATGTGTTTCCTGGGTTTCTAACTCACTACTGATTTTCTTGAGCAATATTCAATATGAAAATGTTCTACAAATTCTCCATGCTACAAGTTCAACCACAAGCAATATATTTATAATAAGGATAAGAGAATATAGAATTGGATACGAAAATTTGTTTTTACGTGTAGAAGGTAATTTAATTGGAAAATGCTGCTTAACTGCTCAGACACTCGTGCGATGCCGGTACGGTATCGTCTGACCGTACCGGTACCCATGCAATCACTCGTGAAAGAATGGGAGATGATGAGTGATTGTATGGCTACCGGTACGGTCAGACGCAAAGCGACTATAACCGACTACCGGTATTTGGTAAGACGGTACGGTACCGGCATCGCGAGTGTCCAGACAACTGAGTAGTTAAGCAGCATTCTCCAAATTACCTTATACACGTAAAAACAAATTTTCCGAATTTTCGTATTCAATTCTATATTCTCTTATCATTATTATAAATATATTACTTCTTGTTGAACTTGTAGCATGGAGAATTTATAGAACATTTTCATATTGAATATTGCTCAAGAAAATCAGTAGTGAGTTTGAAACCCAGGGAACACATTTGTGCGCGTAGGATTATGCCTGACAACGTTGGTCCCAAGCAGAAGCAAATTTTCTAAAAATAAAAACGCGTGACAACGATGGGCCACGAGGCGGACCATCGTTGTCAACCTTTTTATTTTCTTTTTATTCAATTTTTTTTTTTTATTTTTTTTTCTAAATTTTTTTTTTTTTTTTTTTTTTTCGTTTTCATTTATTAATTTATTTTTAATTTTAATTTTTTTTTTTCATTTTTTTTTTAATTATTTTTATGTTTTTTCACAAAAATTTTTTTATTATCGGTTTTTTATTTTATTTTTTATTTTTATTTTCAATTTTACGCGTGACAACGATGGGCCACCATACTGATCTGACGCTGTTGAAACCATTGTGTTAATACATTGACGGAGAATATACGGACGGCCATCCGCCCATTACGTTTGTGAACATATTGCGCTTCAGCTTGAATTGACATGTCTTGTAACCCACGCCAGTGGCGTTTCGGATGATATACCGGTATTGATGATGAGAATCAATTAGGCAAGTTTTCACATACACATTTTATGTTTCAACTTGTTCAATATATACTATTTGATTCGATTTAAATCAATTGATTCAAAACAACTTGCAACATGCTTAAATACTTTTTAAATGTTTCAGTTAATGGTGTCATTATACGTTTCGAAATTGAAACTGCGAAATTTTTCAATGATCCGGTAGCGTCTCGAAAGCAGTTTCGAAACACCGTTCGGAACAATGTTCAAAGTCAATATTATTAAAATTGACAAAACTGAACTGAGCTATTTCGGTTAACGGGTTTAATTGAAAACTCAATCGCACAGAAAACAATAAAAATGATGTGGACCGCGATGGGATAAATCCATTTTATAATTTCCCCGTCTAAATACGATAATAAGTCACATTTGAAAGAAAAAGAGAAGCAGAAAAGTACGTACGAGCGTTACAACGCAACCAACTTCGCAACCCATATTTATGGAAAATTGAAATTGAATCAGATTTCAACTATGCAATTTTATCACCCTTGCCCAGTAAAACAACCTGTACCACTCTCAAATGCAGTGTGGTACATATAGGAATTATCTAGAATTAGATTTAATAAGCAACGCTTTTGCTCTAAAAAAGGTCATGCACAACGTCCACTGTCAACGTTATGTAATGTGCTACTATTTTTTGTAATTACTACTAGAAATATTTTTGGTAGATTTGCCACCACTCGGCTTTTTATAGACTACCTGTTTTATTGCGGAATATAGATTCAAATGAGGAAGAAGTGATATATATGCTGGCTTTTCTATTTAAAAAACATCTATCTACTCGCTGTATAGTTTTAAAATTGATTGAATTAACATTTATATCTTGATTATCGCATATTTCTTTAACATATGTGCACATATAGTTGGTTCAGATTTAACTGTTAGGTTTGTCTTTTTTTGTCATTGATTTCATAAAATAAAATCCAACACAAGCATATCACACATATCATATTACAAATTTATAAATGATATATTCACATATTATTCCACTTTTTATTATGTATAGCTAATTTGTTAGACTTGTCGTTCACCATTTTCGAAATTGAGTATCTTACTTCACTAGTGACATGAGTTGATGGTACGTACAAATATTTCGTATAGAAAAAAAATCCGAATAATGGTTAAACACAACATTCAAACAAAATTTTCCGTAGCTCTGAATCTGATGGCACATTGCTGACGATACTTATGGCGTAGCTGTGACTATTTTTGGTTTGTATTCATAAAACTTCATAACCCAAGTACTGTACACATTTAATTCACATGTAGAATTGAGTTGATATCCAGTTATATTTATTATAAGAACATGTATGTTATAATTTGAAACAAATGTAGAATTACAATGTTGTAGTAAATACATTTAAAACACAGTGAAAATCTAAGGGTAAGAATGTATATTTTACGAAATTGTAGTGATTATTTCAAGTTCTATTTCAGGTATTAGGTAATGAGTGCAATTTAGATAAGACCAAAATGATTAGGTTGTAACAGAAAGTTGCAACAGAACTCTTTGAACATAATGAATGTCACTGTTCATATATCCCCGCTGTTATCATATCATCGTTATTCCACGCTCCTATTTTTCATGTAAGGAGGCATAACATTATCCCAGAAATCGACTTCTTTTTCGGCCAGGTTTTTTCCAACTGAAAATGTTTTGTCGACAACAAGATGTTCTCCTTTCGGCTTATACCTCGGCCAGTCTACATCCACGCTTTTCCCCTTGTTTGGGTCCCTGTATGGATGTAAATAAATATACAATCAGCGTGTTAGCATTACAACATTCAGAAATATCATGTCCACATATCGCTGCAGTAAAACCAAAGTATCTTATTTCACATTTTTTAGAAAAAAAAATCTGTATGTCTAGGTTACAAAGTTGTACCTGTTTCAGTTATGATTCTATAGGTAATGCCCTATGTTCATATTTAGATTCGGTTCTACATATCCTAAATTTACAAAAATGTAATTTTCTCAAAATCTTTATAAGCTGATTGATTTTTACAGTGATATATGTGATGAACAAAGGGTGTTTCTATCTACGTAAAAATTGCAAAGCGCTTCATGCATTACAATAACTCACCCAGTTCTGGCAAAATTGGTCAAGTATGTCATAAATTTCCTGCTAATTTCCTCTTCATCTTTCGTAAATTTTGCTCCGCTCGTCAACGCAAACGGTGAAAATGGCCATCCAAATGTCATGAATATATCATCACCGTGATCACATAAACACCAGTTTGGCTTTTTACTAACTTCAGGTCCGTACTCTTCATCTTGAAACATTTGTAGTTGAAAGCATCCGTAGTACAAGTACACAGGAGCTTCCCCAGCTTCAACATGATAAAAAAAAATTATTTCAAGAATCGTACCAATATGGAGGTAACTAATTTTGTTTGCCTATTTTACATCAAGTTGTGTAAAGGGACTTAAACCTATGGATAGGGGGTATATTCACTTGGCCAACACCGACAGTCTCGAAACTCGTAATAGAATTAAAATAAGGAAAATCGGAATCAAATTATGGCCTAACACTGAACCTGGTACACACACCACGGGAGTACCCGAGAAACGTGAGCTATAGCAAATCATAATTTTAGTGTTAAATTAGTTAATTTTTAGAGTTTGCGGCGTAAAGCCTGTTCAGCGCGATCAATCAAAGCAAAAATTGAAGCTCAAATCACACATTTAACACGGAAATACAACATAAGTACTCATCTACCAATTCCCTAATACAAAACCGGTCGGAGGAACGCTTCTAATCAAATGTGGGGTTATGCTTATACACTCAATTGCTTTATGCCTGTCAAAAAATAAGATTTGTTACATATTGTGAGGACAGTGATTCATGGAATAGTATATTTATTATCGGTTTTAATATTTATATATACAGATACAAAGTGACTGTGAATAATATTTATGACAAATTATTATACATTATATCAACGTGAAGTTAGTTTACCAGAGTATGCCGATGCAGCCTGAATTGCTTTCGACACAAACATGGAATCTCCCACAATATCACCAACTAATTTACTGAATCGTTTTTCATCTTTATCGTTTTTGATATAATGCTCCTTGCATTTTTGCAATCCTTCTTCTGTAACCTAGAAGAGTATAGTTAAAAAAATAAAACGAAACATCTTAAGTCTGAAAGTAACGTGGTATAGATAAGTAGTCGTAACTGGCGAATGACAAAGATAAAGAACGAGAATATCGGTTGGAAACCGAAGACTTATCGATCGATAGTTAGGGGATCCCCCAAAACAGAAACTGCAGTTTCGATTCATCCGCTCTTGTAACTTGCGCACTGCGCATCGCACACACACACTCGGCGGGTTTCAAAATTCTCTCGCTTTACAAAAATCTAGATCACTATATCAATAATTGATTGATAACTCGCTAATTATACGACATAATTCGCCCAAAATCAATAGGCTTCTGGTCCGAGATAAGATGAATGCACATGCAAAATCTGGAGCAGATTCAATCTCGCTTTCGTGAGATATCGCGTGCATCTAACAGACACACACACAGACAGACAAATACCTATCAATATACTTACCGATATTAAGATCGATAAGTAATGAGAAAATATAAGAAGGATAGTAGAATATACAAACCACGAGGAATGGCATGTTGTTCAATTCTTCTTCTGTAATTCCTTGTGCGAAGTTTGGCGACCCCAGGCATGAAAGGAGGCCACATCCTTCCGTATTGTTGCATCCGATGATATAAGGTATTTTCGAAAACTTCGCGTCTTTCATCATATCTTCGTGAGATTTGGGAAACACTTTTCCATCGTAACAAGGTTGAAATGAAACTTCCAGCTTTTTTTTTTTTGAGAAAAAATAAAATGTTTTATAAATTAGATAAACGCTGTTGTATTGTGTAAGCTGTAAAGTAAAATTGTCCTTTTCCAACCTCCATGAGTTTCAACATTGCCGCCATCAAATCATTAACTGGTATTTTTTGTAAAGCTTCAACAATTTTGGAATCAACCTTTTCATCTATTTTAAGATATTCCAGAAATTTATTTTTCATTTTGATTGTTTTATCAGCGTCGGGAATCAATCCTGAAACAAAGTCAATGAATTCAAAGTTTTATATATATATAGCATTATATTCTTCAATATTCCCATAAGATTTGTTTATCGCTGGGAAATTATTTTGATGCAGTTTCTTACCAGCCATGTTTGAGGTTCCACTGTGGCTAATAGCCTTGTTGAATAAGCCACGGGCCAGGGGTGACATGAGTTGCATCTCGACAGAAACACTCCCAGCGCTTTCCCCAAATATAGTTACATTATTGCCATCTCCGCCGAAAAACTCAATGTTTTCTTTCACCCATCTAGATTTAAGTAGTCATACATTAAAAATAGTTAAATTCTAAATATTTTCTAAAAAAATTTAAAATTGCATACTTTAAAGCTAGTTGTTGATCAAGGAGTCCTGCATTTCCTGAACAGATAGACGATGGGCCTAGGGAAAGAAATCCAAAAACACCGACTCTGTAATTTGGTACAACAACTACTACATCGTTCATTCCAGCTAGCGCGCTTCCTTCATAAGGACGCTCTGAACCTGAGAAAAATCCCCCTCCGTACAAATACACCATGACCTGAAATGAATACAACATATTACACCATTTATTGGAGAACACGCAATGGTATCGATATTTTTGCAGTACCAAAGGTCTGACCACCAGATCACCGAGACGTGATTACGGAACCACGGCAGGGTTTGTAGTCTTTAATTTTGGTGACGTCATCACCCAAACTTCGAAGTGGAAAACGAATTCCATGGAGTCCACAACAATTTTTGTTTGATATAAATAAAAGTAATAGTGACAAGGACAAGCTTTAACCACTGAAAATTTCGAATTGATTATTCCCGTAATTCGATAGAGAACCGTGTCCAATAAGTTTGTGTTCTTCGGGAGATATAAATGTCAAATTTAAGTTTAAAGGTACAGAAAAAGTTATGCAATGCCTTTCATTATCAATGGGCTCAGTACAGCAGTTCTCACCGGCAATTTTTTCCCTTCATCCAGACTTGGCGTATAAACAGATACATGCAAACAATCCTCGCTCAAAACCTGTTCACTATCATATTGATCAGGTGTTGGAAAATATTTATTCATCATTTCATCATATAATGTTGAATACATCGGCAGATTACCAGGAGTTATTCCATCTCTTATGCCTTCCCAAGAGCACGCTCTAGGTATAAAATATTGCAAATTTTATGATAGGTATTTTCTAGTTTGAAGCCTTTCTGTTTGGCCCCTAATACGCAATTTTGTACATGTCTAATATCGTAATATCGTTTAGGAATACCAAACGACCGCGAGAGGACCACTATATAAAATTGGTATTCCAGTCGGCTACCATGCAGTTTTAATATATGTAATATTTATAATACTTACGGTTCAGGAGGCATAAATCTTAATTTTCCAGTCGGCGGTTTTGCATAAGGTATATTTCGAAATACATTAACTTTTGTTGCATCTTCTACCTTAAGCTCTACAACTTTACCTTTCACCTTACCATTAACGATTGACACAACTGGGGAGCTCATATTTCTGCTTCGGCAATCACGATACAATCTCATGAATTTAGTGATGGTGAACGTAACTTAACGGCAGATTTATATATCGGTATAGTGACTATTACGTCATGCTGCGACATTGGTTTGTGTGAATCAGGTTTCATAGTGAAAATAACTAGAATTTCATAGTCGCAAGTTAGTTATTATTGATATCTATTGTGAGGCGACTGTACAAGTTGATTGTTATTTTCCTGGCTCCGACTAAGTGTGCCTGGGTTCTGTGGCGTTCTCCATAACCGGTTCAAGCTAGTTCAAGCACCTCAACATCTGATACTAAGAATAATTCCTTTCAATGGTTATGATAGCACAGCAAGTTGATCAAATATAGACAGCCACGATGGGCTTCATCGCCATATTCGTCGATACCAAAGGTCTTGTTTGAACAAACCCAGATATGAATGTGTTTGTTTGCCGCTTCGCCGCAAAGAAACACAGGCTACTCCCTATTAGGATTTCAAATGATATGACAAATATCAAGAAAGGGGCGAAAGGTAAATGCAATAACTAACACGGCGATCCATATTTGGTACTCTACTTCTCTTTGTCATTTTAATACAACTATGCAATTCCGTATGAGTTTGCTTCCGTAAATAGCAGCATTTATGTATGTTCAATGTTTTAGATTTGATGTACTTGCCTTGTGCTTGCTGGTGGCCAAACTGTAAAATAGATTTGCCTAAATCAATGAAAGGAGTCGCTGCAATAGAAATCCCTAAATCAATGAAAAATAAAAACGAAGTTCATTTTAATCAATTCATTTGCTCTTGGCTTGAGAACGAGAGGGAGAATTGATATACAGTATATGAAATAACAGTCTGTCTGGACTGTTCGCTTTGACCTGTAGCGCAGTTTCATATGAAACCTGACTTACCGAAGAAAGTGTGCATTTAAGTAACAATTTCGACATTATGTACGAAAATACGTTGACATAACACCCAAAACTCTCGGTGGCGATATATGAACCTCACTCCCTTTCTCTCCATGTTCATGATAGACCAACATTTGAAAGATTAATGAAGTTTTGTCGAGTTTTAGCCGGGGAATTTAAATAATGACTACTATAAGAACAAAAAAACTTGCAAACAACTTTTAACTATATTGGACACAAAATCTACTTATGGATGGTTTTGCTGAACACTTGTTTGAGCACAAAATGGGGTGCTGCCGTAGTATGCGTACCGAGATGGCGCACAACCTGAAAATCCTATGTGTACCAGGTTGGGGTTATCAGGTTGTGCGCCATCTTGGTGCACATACTACGGGAGCGCCCAAAATGGACCTAAGGATCGTTCTGTTAAATTCTTGTTGTTTTTGTGTAAAAAAAATCGCTTCGCTCTTTAACTACTGGACCAATTTGTCTAAAATCTTCAGTGGTAAAATATTGTTGTTGTTTCTAGAAGACTATTTTATTTATTTTAAAAATTCTTAGGGCTCTATGAAATTCGTTTTTCACCGTGAAGTTTTGTGTTATGGCTTATGACGTCAAAATTATGAATTGCGCACCGTGTGGTGGTTCCACGATCGCATTCCAGCAATCACGTAGTCAGCAAAGTCGGAGGGGGTGATACGGTAGAATATCGTCGCTGTATAAGATTTGATACTACTTCGTTTTGGTATTCGTGTCCATATATTTGAGCTTTACTCTCTTGTTGTTGTTGGGGGAAAATCGCTTTTTTTGTTCTCAATAGACCAATAGATTCAAATTTTCATCTCTTAATAGTGAAAATGTCGTGTTGCTATAAGACCATTACTTTTACCACTTTTCATTAATCTGGGAAGCGATTATTCCAACTAAAATATGCTGTTTTATTTCAATTTGTGGAAACAGTTTAAATGAGGTACGGGAACACTAGTTCTGCCACGCTAGGTCAACAAACTTTCAGCAAACACGGTGCTTAAGTCAAGGCTTATCGGTAGGAATGCGCAATCTTCAGGTTCACATTGCATTGAAAACTTAATGATGGCAACAGTATGCGAGTCATGTGACTACACTTTTTTCTAGTTGCTTCAACATCAGTAAAATAGAAATGTAGCCTAAGACACTTTATTTCATGTGCGTCTTATATTGTATATTGCATTGCGAAGACTAGAATAAATCACCATGTATATAATAATTATCAAAGTGCTAACATTTGTAAAAAAAAATTCTAGTTTATTTCTTTTCTGTCATATATGCAGGCATAACATTATTCCAGAAATCAACTTCTTTTTCCGCCAGATTTTTTTCTACTGAGAAAGTAGAATCGACTACAAGGTGATCTCCTTTAGCTTTATATTGAGGCCATTCTTTATCCACTGGTTTTCCTTTATTTGGATCTCTGAAATATGACAAAAAATGGAGATATTTAAAGATAATTAGAGAAGATATTAATACGTCATTGCCATTATAAGTCCCAGTCCTCATGGAGGCGTGTGAAGGAAGCTACACAACATGTGTAGCAGATGAATTCCAGACCTAACTAAACTACCAGGCATGCACTTCCAGTCGCACATTAAAAGGGTAACATCGCATTAGGTTCCAGTACAGTATCATAACAATATTACTAGTAGACCGTTGAGTCGTTTTTCTAAATTGTCGGTTGTTGTTCTTATTGAAAAATAAGTCGCCTTTGTCAGTAACAAATAGACCAATCAAATTCAAATTTTTAGTTATGTAAATAAGAAAGAAGTCGCCAGAAAACTGTATATAAGTTTTATTTTCAAAATTCCAGATATTTCACCCAAAATTTCGCTGTCTCATTTTGATTTTCGGGAACACATTTTATGACGTATGGAAATATTTAATTCGTCGCGACCGTCCGACTGATATCCTTTAAGCAAAATTGTTGCCCAGCTGAAGACCAAAAGATACAGCTGCTCAACCCTCCCGTTAGCATATATTGGCAGTGCTCTTTTGTTTATATTTGAATAAAGATCAACCTATTCAAAATATTATCTCAAAATTTGTTAATATTTTTTTAAATGCACTAAAATATTTGAATTTATCCTAAATTTAAATAGTCGATTCTATAAACTATATGTGCATATATTTGAGCTTATTGCCGAGATTGAAGTTATCCCAAAATTGTTTGTATATTTTTCAAGTAAATGATTTCAATTTGACGTTTTCCAAATTTAATTTAGTCAATTTAATAAACAATACCTCGCTCGCCGATTATAAACGGCCCATCTTATTACAAAATCGTTTTTCGTAATAGCACTCACCCAGTCTTGGCGAAGTTCGTCAGATATGCCATGAATTTACGACTAATCTCCTCTTCTTCTTTGGAGAATTTTGCTTTTATTGATAACGGGTGCGGTGAGAAAGGAACCCCAAACGTCATCATAATATCATTACTGTGATCACAGAAGCACCATTCTGGCATCTTCCCAACTTCTTCCCCATATACATTGTCTTGAAACATTTTGAGTTGGAAAGTCGCGTAATACAGGTAAATCTGGGAGCCAGAGTCTAAAAAATAATTAAAAATCATTTTATATCCAGTTTTATATTTAAAATATGACGGAGTTTTCTCTCGGTGGAATGCAATTTTGCTTTAAAATATAAACAGCAATTTGGGATTTTTCAAAATCATGTAAATGACTTTAGAGACAAAAGAAAACTGCGCATTATTAATGTGTGGAAAATTGATTTTCGATACATTTTACTAATATAACAAATGACTCGAAACTCTTTATCAAGAAGCTTGCGAAGAAATTCGATGTATGGGATTCATTTATTGCCAATGAATATAGCTTAAGTCACACTTACTATAACAGGTCAGTGACTGAATTAGAACAATTTACCCGAATAAACTGATGCCGTCTGTACCGCCTTTGAAACAAATAAATCGTCACCCATTACTGCACCAAACATTTTGCTAAACCTTTTTTCATCAGATTCATCTTTTATGTAGAAATCTTTACATTTCTCAAAACCCTCTTCTGAAACCTATAAATCGAAAACCAACATGACTGACAGGGCAATGAATGGTACTCCTGTAGTATGTGAATTACTATGGCGGACACTGGTACGGAACGCAGTACGTGTACCAGGTAAGAGTTGGGACCTAATTTTATTCCAATTTTCTTTATTTTAGTTCTATTACGAGTTCGGGAACTACCCAAGTGACTTCCGTAGTATTTGTAGCTGAAATTATGGCCTAACCTTAACCTGGTACACATACTACGTTTCGGTGTCCGCCATCTTGATTCTCATACCTCGGGAATATACCTAAAGAATTATCAAATCAAACAGTCCACTTCTTACCGGAATATAAAAAACTTGACCTAATTCTTCCTCTGTAATTCCTTTCATATAATTTGGAGAAGACATGATAGAAAGTAACCCTTGACCTTCCGTGTTGTTACAACCAATAATATAAGGTACTTTTGTGAAGTCTTTGTTTTTCAGAACTTCTTCTGGAGTTTTAGGAAACACTTTTCCATCAAAGCATGGGCAAAACGATTCACCGCTCTGTTGCATAGACAAGAATATTTGAAACATTATAGAGAACAATGCCCAAATATATAAACACAAATGCCAAAAAGAATCAGTATCAAATGTATAACAGTATCCCTTCACTGATCACCAAATCATGGAACTCCCAGACGAGGGGTAATATTCAACGTTGGTGACGTCATCACACAAAACTTGGAAGTCAAAAACAAATTCGAATGAATTCAAAATGTATAAAATTAATAGCCTTCTATAACTATAATTATAATCACTGAAAATTTCAAAGCGATTGGTCCGCTAGGTAAAAGGTAAAAAAAAGTACGAATTTTCCACAACAAGAAAAATAATTCCAAGAAGAACAACAATTTAACAAAACATTCCGTAGGATCAATTCGAGATCAATTACCTTGCATTGTAAAAGCTGTGAGCATACAACAACTTAGTTGCAAAAATTGATTTTATAATACCTCGACTTCCAATTTTTTCTCCAAATATTTTACCTCCATCAAACTCATCATAGCTTCTACTAAGTCGTCTGCAGGTACTTTTTGTAATGCTTCCAAAATCTTGTTGTCATCTTCCTCGGTGATTTTTAATTGTTCAAAAAATTGTTTGTTATATTCACCATTTTTTTCAGCTCCACGAAATACTCCTAAATAGGAAAACGTGTTTGAGTTAGATAATTTAGAACCAGATGATGTCTCTTGGAGCATAAACGTTGTATCTTTTGTAGAAAGCCCCGCCACTAATGCAAAATTGTGAGATTTTAGAAAAACACCCACGCAAATTTTTAAGTAATTGCGTGTTCGCCACCTTTTAGCAGGGACGGTTTTTTTTTACAAAAGATCCTAAACTTTAGCAATAAATAGCCATTTTATTCTATCTTGAATGCAGAATTTATTATTTATTAGTTTTTAGGTTCAGTTAGTCAGCTTGTGTTGGACGGTAGGTCAAACAGTGAATATATATATTTCATTCTGATACTAAGAATCCAATATTATAGGTTATTAGACGCGAAGTTGAACTATGTTGTTGTTGATAAAATTCTTGTTCATATTGTTGTAAAAAAATCGCCTTCCTCTTTAATTACTGTACCAAGTGCTTTGAAATTTTCAGTGGTTATTACTTTTTCGTAACATAATACTTTGTTTTGGTCTCTTGTTGTACAAGCAAAGACAGATTTGGACTGTTAAACAAACACTCTCGTTTTTTTTTTATAGAAATGTTTGTAATTACCACGCATTGTAGATTGTCCACTCTGACTTATCGCTTTATGAAATAGGCCACGAGACAGAGGTGATATCAAATGATGATTGACAGAAACGGCTCCGGCACTTTCACCGATTATGGTAACGTTGTTTTTGTCTCCTCCGAAGTGTTGTATGTTTTCTTGCACCCATCTGGAAATGGTAAATATTGCAATTTTGAACAAGAACTTTTCTTCGTGTATTTTATTTCACACCACGAAGATGATTGAAGATATAAAAGCATGGGTATTCCCGTAGTATGTGAACCAAGATGGCGGACACGGGAACGTGATATGTGCATTAGGTTAGGATTGGGCCACAATTTCAGATACAAATACTATGGGAGTCACTTGGCTAGTCCCCGAATTCGTAATAGAACTAAACTAAGGAAATTTGGAATAAAAATATGGCCTAACCCCAACATAGTACACTTACTACGTTCCGGTGTCCGCCACCTTGGTTCACATATTTCGTGAGAACAGAGCGTGTCCAATTTAAAGTGTTCAGGTTTTTTCATTCTATTATTTAAATATTTATATTCTTTGCATATGAATTCTTTGTGAATAATTTATTAAAACATTTGTTACTTTGGCAACTAACATTCTATATATAAAAACGTCTATATTTTTTTTCACCTCAGAGCCAATTGCTGGTCCAGAATTCCAGCATTCCCCGAACAGACGGATGAATGTCCCAGTGATAAGAATCCAAAGACCCCAACTCTGTAATTCGGTACAACAACTACAACATCATTCATTCCAGCAAGTACCGTTCCATCGTACTCTCGTTCAGAGCCAGAACTGAACCCTCCTCCATAAATCCACACCATCACCTGCAGAAATGAAAATAACGGTATGCAAAATACTATCTTGATGTACTTCCCGGTATCTATATTATTAATGCACAATTCATTCTATTATTCGCTTATTATTTTGTTTTATATAGTGTAGGATGAAAGTAGGCGGCGCTTCATATGTCTTTAGCTCCAAAAAATTTAAAATATGCCTATTGTAAGTATTCTATTGGTTGACTTTACAAAATAAAGTAGTGAGGAGGAAGGTTACTTAAAATAGATTGGTTCGAAAATCAATGCCATAATTGCGGCATTTGATCTTAAGTAATTGTCTTCCATCTCATATTAATGATTCTCTGATATTCGCATAATGGCGCAAAAAATATAATTTTCAATCAAAAGTTTGTGAAAATGCTTCCGCGACGATTGAAAGTTAATTATTTGCCGATAACGGAATCATTATCAACTCTCCATTCTCGATTATCACGTAAAATTTTCAAAAGTAATGAATTCCCACCGCAAGATTTTTGCCTTTTTGAAGCGACGGTGTGTATACAGATAAGTGCAGACAGTCTTCTCCTAAAACTGGTTCGGTCTTGTATGAATTGGGAAATGGAAAATACTGTTCCATTCCTTCCTCCATTGCAGTAGGATACATTGGAACCTTCCCAGGAGTAGTCCCGTCTTTAACGCCATTCCAAGGTTCCACCCTGTAATATTTAAAAAATTACTAGAATTAATTTTGTCTTGGTGTGGCAGAGACAGATCTGGTCTTGATACCCAAAACATATACATTCGAGTTATCAGAAAGCCATGTATTCAATATTTCGCTGGAAAATACTTTGGGTGAGAAAACTTGGAGCGCCGAAAACAAAACATGTTGCAATTGAATGTTCTGACATTGTGAAAGCGACATAAAACACTGTAATATCTAAATGTTCCTTATGACCACCGGACGACATTGTATTTTATTTTCTGCAAAATTGTGGCAGAAAAATGGCTTTAATACAATGTTATCTCATAATATTATCAGCGTATTTCAATCACTTATTTATCTCAGTTGTTACAGCGCGTGAATTCCACAAAATGACGCTGTTATCATGGATAAAAAAATATAAATACTTACGGTTGAGGAGGCATAAATCTTAAGTTCCCCACTGGTGGTTTTGCGAAAGGAATATTTCGAAACACGCTGACACGTGCTGCATTTTTTCCTTTCAATTTTACAGCCTTTCCCTTTATTTTCCCATTAGGCATTGACACAATATCCGAACTCATTGTAACACCCATTTGTATAATCCACTGTTAAACTCTTCAAAACTTGCTGGAATATGAACAGACTGGTAACCAACTATTCAACTATAGCCACAGTTTTGATTTCACGTTAGTAACTATAGCGCCGACACCGTATATTTGTTTGCATCGAGTAAACGAAGAAACTAAAAAACGAACGGAATCATATTGATTGTTTGCTCTGTCTATAGCAATAGCATAATGGAATCGTATTCGACTTTTACAAAACGTGGGACCGAAGTTCAAATCGGGATATTCAATCTTAAAACTAAATTAAATTTCTCATTTTCATAAGCGATCTATCTACTACTGCTGAATTGTGAATTCAGGAAATAATCAATACTTCAATGAAGCGAAATGTAAAAACATAATAATAAATTTGCTTAAAATATCCCATTCAAAATTTCATTTACAAATAACAATCTTATCTTTTTAATAATCAATATTTTCAAACAGTCGGAACTGGGCATGCATTTTTTTTAAGTATAAAATTTAAGGTGCTTTTATAGATATTCCTTTATTTCTAAAATTACACTAGATAAATTGTGTACAACTAGTTGCAATATTCTTCTCAAGCTCCCATACCAAATCAAAAATTGATGAAAAAGTGGCGGGACGCCTTGAACGTTTGTAAATAATTAACTAGCATTGATGAGACATTCATCTTGAGATAGTTATATAGAAGTACTAACTAACGTATATTAACATGGGCGCAGATATCGTTTTTTTTTTAAATAATCGCCTTAAAAATGGTACCTTTGATTTCGGTTAATAAATCTGTTCTGGAGGAATTCAGTTCTTGCTTGAATCAGTTCGAATGAATACGATGTAAAATGCGCCTCCTTGCGGGTTCGCGCTTGAAAAGATGATTGACTAAAATATTTTGGATCACCATGACCTAATGAGAATAATAACTAAGTAACGATGCGCAGTAACTAACAATAATAAATTCGTCTAAAATATCTTCCAACACTGAATTTGTGTATGACAAAAACCTGGGAACATGAGGGGCCATCAGAAAGTGTTTGTACGAAATGGATTCACAATATAACGACGAAAGATTTAAGGCGAATCAACAAAACGGCGTACGACTATTCTGTGTACTGAACGATTTTTGTTTTGTTCTCCATTTGCTTTTGTTCGCGCTTTCATGGCTCATTACACATGGTCTCTGGCACACATTTTAGGACGCGCTTTGTCCGCTTCTTCGTTCGTTTTTGTTTTGTTATTTCGGTGTTTGCTGTCGACAGAATATCTTCAACGTGCTAAAATGTACAGAATGTAATGATTGTACGTCTTCAATGCAATATGGGAATGGTCTGTGTATTCAGTAAGGACTTTCGTAATACGAATCCGCCCAGACCGCATGCGAAGCACTTTGTTCATCATGTTTGAAAAAATTTGCATCAATCTTCGCTTGTGATGACTAAACTAATAATCTTTCTGCAAATGTAAATAACTGAGGTTGCGTAGATCACAATCCTATTCAGCCTTTAAACGTTGTGGAAACCATCGCGTTCTGTACACAATCGGTTATTTTGTCCCACCCGTTGACTATAAATTGGCATGCTACTTCGTTCTTTTGCACCGGTTTTACCTACTAAAGTTCAATTTATTTTGTTCTCATTGCTTTTGCTAACTCCAAGTCCAATCATATCAGATAGTATCGCATTCTTATTGTACTAACCCTACGAATACTTCGGGAGCACCCATTGTTTGTGTCGTCTTGGTAATATGTGTGAGGCTACCCACACCATATTGCGATACAACTCGCTCTTTATTGTCATCTATAGATGGCAATGTTGTATTGGAAATGGCCAGGTACTGTTGGGCCAACCTCGTACAAACAATGCAGGCAAGATACAAACAAAAACTGATGTAGGTCTGACTTGAAATAACGCAAAATGTCCTATACGCTACCAACTCATTTTATTAAAGCAATCAGTGACATATATATGTAATTTGTATATAGAATGTAGTTAGAAATTATCATTTTGAATTTTAACACTCAAACGGAAGTTGGTACAAATTAGAGAAAATAACTAATACCGAAATTTGATTTATAATCACGTAATATTAAGCTTCATAGAAAGTCAATCATATGTTTATATATTTTGCAACATTTGATTACATGGATAATATTTTAAAATCTAGGAACTTCTATTTTGCTGGTTTGACAACCAGTGAAGGTATAACGTTGCTCCAGAAATCGACTTCTTTTTCCGCCAGATTTTTTCCTATTGATAAAGTAGTGTCAACCACGAGATATTCGCCTTTCGATTTATATTTTGGCCATTTCACATCCAATGTTTTTCCTTTATTTGGATCACTGAAATAAAACAGGAAACTATATAGTGAATCTCGTGAGGTGGCTTGAATAAGCTTTTGCAAACAACAACTTGATCACCAGTTGACAACGAATGCGAACGCGGATGTAATCAAAAAAAAGCGATTTTTCATAGCAACTAGAATAGAAACAACAACATCACGATAACAAAACGATTTTTATACGGTAACAACGGTACAGTAGAAGAAAAATACAAACAAGAACAACAACATAATAACAAAACGATCGATAAATGAATTTCGTGTCCAACAAGATCAAATATACCAATAACGACAACAACATAACGAAATAGCAATCGGAGACCGCCGACCTATCGATCTTCAAAAAAACCAACAACAAAAAAAAATGCGCTAATTATACGACATAATTCATCCAAAATCAATGGATTTCTGTTCCGAGATATGATGAATGCACATGCAAAATTTGGAGCAGATTCAACCTCGCTTCCGTGAGATATCGCATAACATACGAAAGTGTCTAACAGACGGACTGACAAACAGACAAATATCTAAATACCTATCAACATACTTATCGATCAAGATAAGTAATAACAAGACGATCCATAGGTCCTTTTTGTATCCAATTCTTTTAGTTATATCGATACACTTACCCAGTTCTAGCAAAGTTTGTCAAAAATGTCATAAAATTTCGACTAAGATCTTCTTCTTCTTTGCTGAATTTCGCACCCATCGTTAAGGGGTAGGTTGTAAATGGCATTCCGAATGTAATCATTATATCATTACCGTGATCACAACAACACCAATCTGGAAGCTTGCCCACTTCTGGCCCGTATTCATCACCTTGGAACATTTTAAGCCGAAATGTTCCATAATATAAGTAAATTTGTGCGCCCGCATCTGGAAATTAGTGAAAGAATAGTCATCGCATGGTATGTTTGGTGTTTAACAAAACAGCCTTATGCAAGTTCGTGCGAACAGATTCAAATGTTCCAATATTTGCGAACCAAAATTTATACCTGCTGTTTATGTTACTGGCAAATCAAAAAGTTATGGGTTATAACGACAATAATTCAAAATTTAACTTTCCGAAATGAAAGAAATATTTTACCGGCATATACTGAGGCAGTCTTTACAGCTTTTGAAACAAACATGGCGTCGCCCATAATCGCACCAAACGCTTTACTGAATCTTTTTTCATCGTTGTTGTTCTTTATGTAAAACTCTTTACACTTCTCAAAACCCTCATCTGAAACCTGGAAAAATGCTTTCAGATAAAATGAAAGAACGAAATCTTAAATCAACTCAAATTATTAATTCCATACCGGAACAAAAAGAAATTTTCTCAAGTCTTCCTCTGTAATTCCTTTAATAATATCTGGAGATGTGAGGACTGCAAGTAATCCTTGACCCTCTGTATTGTTGCATCCAATAATATAAGGTACTTTTGTGAAGTCTTTGTTTTTCAGCATCTCTTCTGGAGTTTTGGGAAACACTTTTTCATCGAAACAAGGATAGAAGACGACTTTTTTCTGGATATAAAATAGTTTATTTTAGAAAAAGCAACATATACTCATTTTAGAATAGAAATGAACCTTTTTTCAATTTGGAATGCAATCAAAATATTGGCTCATTGTTTCAAATATCAAATTTTTACATATTTTTTCAAAAAGCGTAAAATATACTATTGTCTATCGTCAGTTTTCAAGATTGATAATCCATTGAATCGTTAACCAGTGCTCATTGTTAAGCTTGTTATCTTATGGGGCATAGTTGTAGAAATGAAACGCTTCTCATATTTAGACTTTAAAATTGACCATATACCTCAATTTCATTCAAATACCCCTAGTCCAGGGGTGGGCAACCCCTGGCACGCGTACCAAACTTGGCACGCGAGCCCGTTTATTCGGCACGCGAGCGAGGCCTCAGAAACGATATCATTCTCTTTCAGATGAAAAGTTTCGAGGCTCTGATTTATCCGATAAAACTCGGTGTTTGTTTATTCATTATCGTTTGTTAACAATCTGTTATTCATTTAAATTTTAAACTCTTTTTGTCTTTTCATGACATATGGCTACAAAGAAATATATTATGACGTAACAATTGAGTTAGCTCTTAACGAATTGTGACGAGTCACAGCATTCATTGGTGGTTCATTGTTACGTAATATATAGTTCTCTGTTCCACCATTTTTCTTCATTTCTGATTGATTTATGAAGTTGTACACTTCATGTTGGTTAAAGTTACATGCTAACTTACTGAAATAAATTTATTTTGAAAGAAATATAAGCAATTATAGAAGGGAATACAAGAGAGAAGTGCAGAAAACGAACTATCGCGTGATTGGGAAGCCATTCCCGAGAATTTTTCGTGTCTCAAAAACTTTGCAACTGCATGTTTTTATCTACATATGCTTGTGACTTTCTGTTCTCAGTTATGAACTTCATTAAGTCTTGTAACAGGAGTAGCCTGAAAGATGAAACCAGTAGTTCGTGTATTTCTTTGAAAGGTACAAAATATAATCCCAATGTAAATCTCTATCAACGGTAAAGCAGCAGCAGAAGTCTCACTGATATAGAATAAGAAAAGTAATCAAATCTATTTGTCGGGCTGATATTTTCCCGAATAGTGAATCTGTCTGTAGCTTACATGTTTAGAAGGTTTAATATTGTGTATTTTTGCTTTAAAAGTAACAAAGCATTTTTTTTAATTTTAGTCTGGTCAGCACGCGGAAGAATTTTGTCGTTAAATTTAGCCGATTTGGGCACGCGAACCGAAAAAGGTTGCCCACCCCTGCCCTACCCTTGTTTATTGATTCATCGTAATAGAGTCTGTAAACTGGAGGATGGAGTCCCGTTGAACATTTGAAAAGAGAATTATCCAAATTCTCCCAACCTAAAAGCTGTCGAAAAAGTTTCTATACTCCATTTGAATTTTACTCCATTTTCGTATTTTTTTATCCAGCAATTGCTAATAAGGATACAATGAATATAAAATTACCGCCATCAGTTGGTTCAGAGCTTCTATCAAATCGGGTGCTGGTATTTTTTGCAGAGCTGCAAGAATCTTTTTGTCATCTGTCTCCTCAATTTTCAGATGTTCAAAGAAAATTTTGTTCGGTTTATCGTTCTCTTCCGTTGTACGAAATAACACTAAAGTAATATTTATAATTTATTTATCGAGAATTCCGTTCGTTTTGTTTACTATTTTACAAGGCTTTATGTATGTTATTCTCCGTTAATTTTTACTATACCATAAAAGAAAACTTAGTTATAATTTAGTCTAAATCTCGTATTTAAAAAAAACTTTGGTATTCCCGTAGTATATATGCCAGGTTAGGTCATAATTTTATTCCGATTTTCCTTATTTTAGTTCAATCACAAGTTCGGGGACTGTCTGTATTAGCCAAGTGAATATATCCATAGGTTTCAGACCATTTACACAACTTGATGTAAAGTGGACGAACAAAATTAGTAGCCTCCATAACATACACCTCTGAAGCGCCAAAACTTTAATATATATACTGTGGTTCCATTACATTTGAACCCACGTACATTTGAACCCACGACGATTGCATCTGCATACTATTGCACCTACAGATTTTTTTGTTTTGTTTTACGGATAATTGAACCCATACTAACCTAACCCATGGGTTTTATCACCCGCACATTGATTGAACCCGCGGATATACACATGGGTTCAAATGTACGTGGGTTCAAATGTACGGTCACCATAACTGTATATAATATGTACAAATGGTTTATCCCAAATCGTTTATATAGGCCTTATTACTTGGCATTGTAGATTGTCCACTGTGACTTATAGCCTTGTGGAACAGGCCACGTGACAGAGGTGATATCATATGATGATTGACGGAAATTGCTCCCGCGCTTTCGCCAAATATAGTTACGTTGTTTTTGTCTCCTCCAAAAAATTCCACGTTATCTCGAACCCATCTGAAAGGAGTTTAAAATTTTTTTAGAATATACGTACAAAAATGTTGAAATTAAAAATGTTTTTTGAAGACGTATTTATATATTATTCAGGTCCCGAATAAGGCTCTGTGCAAGAAGTCACTGCTTAGTAGTTAAGACGTTACCATTTTTTCGGACCAGAGTCTTTCTTCCGCCTCAATTCATCCCTGAGTTTGGTTGTGGGCATGGAATCTGAACCATGGATTTTAACCTGTGATGCCATCATCATAAATAATTTGAACGATATTTTACTGCGCAACACATGGTATAATGATGTAATTTATGCATTGACTAAGGTTCGTTTATTATGAGTTTTATGGAGGTGTCATTGTGTCAAACTGTATGAAATTCTGATCCTTCAGTAACCGCATCATCATGGTTAATTTTAACGTTTTTTCACTACACAAGTAGTAAGTATATACAAGTATAATGATGTAGGTTCTGTATTGACTGTGGTTGTATATTATAGACTTCATTGGATTGTCAAAATGTACGAAATTAACATAAAAGACACAATATTCGAAAGAAGTTAAACGACGATCTTGAACTAAATGATAACCAGGATACACTCAAGTGAATATTTGAATATTTAAACAAATTTTAAAATGTGTTTTGAGCCAAGCTAGGTTTTATTGTAACCAAAACGAATAAAGCTGGTTGTAGACAAAATCGTTATATGCATATATGTATGGTAGTTGTAGGCATACGAATTTAGACATTTGCAAATTGCGGTCTCTAAATACACGCAAGACTTACTCGTCGCTTCTATAAAGCCTGGCTTGATAGCGAAATGAATTCATTCGACTATTCCCAGTCATTTGATACTGGTTTAATTCAGAATTCTAGTTCTGAAATATCCAATTCTACCTCAAGGCTAGTTGCTGGTCCAGAATCCCAGCATTTCCTGGACATACGGATGAAGGTCCCAGTGATAAGAATCCAAAGACTCCAACTCTGTAATTCGGTATAACAACTACAACATCATTCATTCCAGCAAGTACAGAACCATCATATAGTCGTTCAGAACCCATGCCAAATCCTCCTCCATAAAGCCAAACCATCACCTTCATAAAGAAACAGGCTATTATAATTGATGGTGACCGTACATTTGAACCCATGTGTATATCCGCGAGTTCAATCTATATGCGGGGGCTAATACCCATGGGTTAGGGTTAGTATGGGTTCGAATATCCGTGGAACAAAAAAAATTCCATAGGTCCAATAGTATCCAGGTGCAAATGTCGTGGGTTCAAATGTACGGGAACCATAATTGATAAATGTGAATGTCAAGCAACTTCCAAATTTTGTTTCATCGATTGTATAAATGCGATGAAGCGTAGAGCTATATCATGATAAATTACTGTATCCAATTCACCACAGAAAATGTCATTTGGCGTTTTATATCTTTTGAATAGATGTGTTTCATTTGATATGTTCACAGTCATGTTACAAACGCATGTTCAACGTCGAATTGTGAGATAAATAAAGTGCCGTTTCAAGGTCATACAATCGGCAAGTTATGTAGACATAACCACTCATCACTTGTATTCAGATACAAAGTTCTCGTGAATGTGTCACGTAACATTATTGAGATGAAGTGCTATTTTATTGTTTGCTCAAGCCTTCTTGTATTTGACTCGTTTTAGTATAAAATTTTAAAGGTGTTTTCGTGTACAATATACCATTTTAAAAGCACTTACTTTGTGAATCACTCACCGGAAGGTTTTTGCCCTTTTCAAGCGTTGGGGTATATACAGATAAATGTAAACAGTCTTCTCCTAGCACTTGTTCGACGCCATCGTACTGATCAGGCAATGGAAAATACTTCATCATCGCTTCGTCCATAAGAGTAGAATACATCGGCACTTTTCCAGGTGTGATGCCGTCTCTAACGCCATCCCAACTTTCCACTCTTAAAAATGATTGAAGTGTAATTTTCAAACATTCCAAAATTGATATTCAGTCCATGAATTTAGTAAAATTAACTGACAATTATCCCTATAATAACCGACATGGAATGATGGCCGGACGAGAGAGTGGTTCGTCATATGATCAACAGCCCTATTGGCTTTCCTTGGAATAAATATAAAAATTCTATCCTAATGACGGGTATATTAGTCTGTTTACTGAAAATATCAAATACTTACGGCTGCGGAGGCATAAATCTTAAATTTCCCAACGGCGGTTTCGCAAAAGGAATATTTCGAAATATGCTGACTGGTGTTTCATCTTTTAATTTCAAAACTTTTCCTTTCACTTTTCCATTTAATGTGGATGCAATTTCAGAACTCATATTACCTTGTTATACAATACCCTGATTAAAAAATTATGAGTTCCCTCTAAGTCAGTGATCTTTCACAAATAACTCTCTCCCTTGAGTTTTTCAAACAGTTAGGCCTACTCTGTTGCCCTAGCGCTAACCGAGTATGTTGTTTGCATCGGGTAAACTAAGAGATTGAGAAATAATCGGATTTGTTCTATAGTCTGTTTGCGTTTACGCGATGACACTGCGTTTTGAAATCCTTATTTGAGCACACACGAATAAGGCTGAAGTGGAAACTTAAACATTGATTTTAGGCTTGTTCAGAACGTGAATTTTCAATATATAAAAAAGATATTTTGAAATGAATACATATGCAAGAACTACTATCAATAACCAGAATATAAAAAGCGTAATTTTAGGACAGGCTGTGAACCGCTAACTCACTTCGCCTAAATGAAGAGTCGTAAAATCTTTAAAACCTACCCGCTTCTATATTTATAAGAAAAGATACTGTCAAAACCGCTGGTCGGTTACGGCTTCCTCCACCACCAAGTCCATGCTTCCGGAAACAAACAATATAACTAATCCCATACCCGACTTGGAATGGTAACCGGACGAGAGGCCGTGGTTCGCCATATGGATAAGCCGTCTTATCGGCTTTCCTCTCTCCCGGGATAAATATGTAAATCTTACCCTGGTATGATCGACATAAAACTTCAATGTTATGCCTGCATATTCCAAAAACCCTCCAGTATGTACAGTATGGATGCCGCCAGAGAGTTCTGACAGTTTGAAGCCCAATACACAAACGCTCGGCTCAAAAATTAAGACAATAAAACTCCCCCTTTATGCATACCCGGCCCCACATCTCAAATGCCCTCTATATATTGGCTCTACAACACTCCGAATGGGAAGGAATAACCCTAAAACGAATATACCATAAATTGAAACAAAAAAACGTACGGCTGCAACGAATTTGACAGTAGGCAAATTCTATCTATCTATCGGTTTCACATAAACAATGTTGACATATGTATCTTTATACTCAAAGAATAAGTTTCTAATAATACAGGGACAGAGAATAAAATGAAAAAAATCAAGAACTACTACTTGCATTTGGCGACGAAATGCGTGTGTGTCGTGTGATGGTATAACTATAACCTCACCAGTTTCAATCCTAACTATCCAAGATTACATTAGAGTTTGCAGAACAGATGAATTAAAACTTTGTTTTGTAATATGTATTGCGACTAATTTGTTAGCGCACCGCACGCTGAAATGGTTTGAGAATCACTGCTATTTGGGGCCATGAAGCAGTAAAACATGGGTATTATGTCGAGTGAAATTATATATATATATATATATATACACTATCTGTTTTCTTCCTATGTGGACAAACCAAACTCTTTGAAACACTGGACAAAAATGCGCTTTCTCCAATAGGTCATTCACCCTTGAAACTGGAGTTAGAAATGGATTTTTCGGTTGTTGCGGTAGAACTCATCTAACTCATCGCAAGAGACTTTTTTTATGACACAACCTTTTCATACTCTTATCCACTGTCCGGTGTAAAATGAACACAGGCATCAACTTTTCATCAATATCATTTCAATTATAACTATTCGATTCAACAAAATGCGCAAGATAGGTAGGTTAACTGTGCAATAAAATTTCACTGACAAAACAATACAAGAAACAGGCAAAAGTACAGAAAATATCAATATTACAAAATGATAAAATAATATATTAATACAAAAAAATCAGGCAGCTTAGAATCAATAAATTATCCACAATCAAACATGCAGCATTATGTTGTATATGTATGATCAAGTATGGCAATGTTAAAATCGAAATAAATGGCCAAGTGTAAATCAAGGCAAAAATCACTACAAGGTGATAAAATTGTTATAGATGGGAAAATATATTTTAAACCAATACTATAACATATTGTATATTCCGTATCAGTAACCTCTGTGAATATGTATTATGACATCATATCACGAAACTTTATGACGTCATATTCACGACGTCATGACATCCTTTCCAATAATTTTTCTCCTTATCAACTACTAACAACGTTTGAACTGTATCAAGTGTCCCGTTTTGACTAATATTACAAAAATATGAAACGAAAAACACTGCATTGTTAAGGTTAATAGTATCGATTTAGATTAGTACAGGAATATGTAAAGAAAAATAAACTGCAGTGGGCGAAATACAAGTTGTAATATGAAAATGTAAGTGATGTTGAATGCTGACTGCAATGAAATATTAAATTAGTACTCTTGATTAGGGTATATTTAGAAAAAAATTTCAGCCTTCAACTACAAGTGGTAAGGTACTAAGGTTTAAAACGAGAATATCGGTCGGAGACCGAAGACTTATCGATCTTAGATCAGTAATTAGTTAATAACTCGCTAATTATACGACATAATTAACCCAAAATCTATAGGCTGGTCCGAGGTAAGATGCATGCACATGCAAAATTTGGAGCAGATTCAACCACGCGTTCGTGAGATATCGCGTTCATCTAACAGACACACACACAGACAGACATACATACAGACAAATACCTATCAATATACTTACCGATCTTAAGATCGATAAGTAATGACACGAGGAGTGTTACTGGTTTGGTATATACTAATGTTTCAAGGACTGGGTAGAGTGATGAACTTGGGTTATAGGGACTAGAATCTTAAACTTTGAAACTGAAATGCCGAACATACAATAAATATTGCGATAATGGCATTGTAGACTCAATTGCGGAGAGAAAATTGAGATGTTTAGAAATCATCGCAGAACAGTTTACTGTACTAAATAGATTAGTAATTGTGGCTGTTTTTAGTAACAACAGTTGACTGACTGTCGCTACTGAAACAACCCGACTAACAAAATACATATCAAGTTTCCCTAAAAAAATCAATCAAAATTTTAACACATGATTGCAAAATTAATAAACACTGTTTATTCATTTTTAATATGATTTCATTAGTGTTATAGCAAATAAAATGGTATTGAAAACTGTACCATACTGCAGAATTATTGTATCAAAATTGACTCTACCAGCAAATAAAGACTGCACTTAGACAGAGAGAAGTATTGTATCCTATTTCAAGATGATTGTGCCAAAAATAAATAGGTAGGTATAAAATTCTTGTAGGCTAAAAATTGTAAAAATACTGAAATGTTTGGATAAAATATCAAGTAATCCTATTCAATTCAATGAATCTTACACTTAAAAAAACCAATGTTAAAATAAATATTCGGTCGAACAATAAATACTTCAATTCGTAGACTAGACAAATATTTAAATAACAGTTCAAGGCAAACCAAGCTCTTTATTTTAAAGTCTTCGTCTCTTTTCATTCAAACAGATTTCCTTCACTGATCGTTATGTCGTGGTCCGTTGTCTTTGTTTCGATCAGTCATGACAGATCATCACCAAGCTTTCATTTGAATTAATCTGATTGAAAGAATATGAATTAAGCATGCAAACAATAATCAAGTAACTGAAGATTTTTTAAGCTCCTTAAAGAGGAATCCTGACTGCAATAAATGTCCAGTGTCGGTCATTGTTTAGGATATGCCAAAATATTTTTTTAACACAACCTTAGCAGTTTACCTCATCGGCATGATTGGCTACGAGCGTCGTGTCAATCAGTATTCACTAACACATAATTTATACAGCGGAGGTTCCAGGGGGCCACAGAGCGATGGGGGGAACACAATGCTCGATTTTACCTTGGTACCTGTAACTCGCTCAGGGACAAGTCTCCTCTTTTTCTGAGTAAGCAAATTGTATACCCAATTTATTACACCCCAAGTAAGGTGGTGGACATGAGACTTGAACCTAAATGTTATTGATATTTTAGCTGATCTGATGTATCCAATGCATACACTAGAAATGAAAAGAAACATGAAAATTACCTTTAGCCTTCTGGAAATCAGCATCATTATTTCTTTATAACTGTTATGCCCAGATTCCTTCTCCATCATCCTAAATCAATATAAAAATAAATGTTAGCAATTCAATATGAGAATGATGTACAGCTGTGGTTTTCAAACGGTGGGGCGGGCCCACAAGATGGACGTAGTAAATTATAATGAGGGGCGTAAAGCTAATTAAAGATAAAAATATTTGTTAGATTTGATCTTGCCAGCTTTATTCTGGATATTTACGTTTCTTTAATTTTGATATTTATATTCCATCAACGTATTTCAATGTGTTTTTTGAATAAAACATACTTTCTTATTACTATCTTTTATTTGTAGCTTATCGTTAGCTAGTTATTTTTGAGTTGGGTGCGAGAGTTGGCAAATCCTAAAAAGGGAGCGGGGTTTGAGAAGCACTGATCTATAGCTACACTTTGTGTCCAATAAAATAGTATTAATAAACAAAAATACTGTCAAAATGTTGATGAAACAAGCTAATTACCTCAGTTGGGCTTGGTCTATGGTTACTCATACCACCACCACTTCTGCTCGAACCACCACCGCTACTTCGTTTATGTTGCGAAGGTGAAGATGATCTAGGTTTAGTAGTTGGTGTAGATAATGAAGGTGGGTCATCAAAATTATCTTGCATCAACTTAAGTCTGTTTTGAGTCTAGAAAAGAACAAAATTTAGTCTACAATTTTCAATTGGATAAAAGAAGTCAGTTATAAAAATGATACACATTAAAATCATATGGTGGAAAGTTTATTTTAAATTCTGGAAGGTTGACGAGACTATTGGAACGGATTAACACCCCAAATGACTCCCCTGTACAAGTAGCCATTGATACCAAGAACTACTGTAGACTATGAAGGTGAAGATCTTCTGAAGGCAAAAAAGGCCGTTACGAAAGATTTACCATATGGCGGATTCATATGGTGATTTCATCCAGTAAAAATTGCTGGATTGCTTCCAGGCAATGTTCACAGCGGGACCAATAAATACATAACATTAAGTAGCATTAAAATATGAATTCCTTCCCAGTCGTCCAGTTTTTACTCTTCAATCATTAGGCTCGGAAACTTCACTCACAATTCTTAGAAGCATATGCATATGTTATAACTAGTGAGATGACCCTAAAGACCCATTTCTAATCAATTTTTCTCATACGCGAGCCAATGGAAAAAACCTTCTAAAAAATGACACAAATGTATGGTGAATTATTTATTTTACCTGTTGTTTAAGCTGCGCAACTAAATGATCTTTTTCTTTCTTCAATGATTGAATTTCATCTTGGTTCGCTTTCTTACGAGCAGATAATTCTAATAATGCGATATTTGCATCTTTCTCACTGATCGCAGACAGAAGAGCTTCTTGTCTGGAAATAAAATGGACGTCATTACTATACCCTCCAATAATTTATCCTGAAACAACTGAATGTGTCAAACACCGGATCAAAACTGAAACCAGAGAAAGAATATTTTTAAACAATGCTCATCCACCACACGTTTTGCACTGAACATGGCCACATACATGCAGCCACTAATATCTAACAATATGTGAGAAGCAATTCGGTTTGACATTGCCTTCCGATTTAATTACACCCTGGGTGAGGTGGTGAGCATATGGGATTTGAACCTGAAATGTCGGTACTCCCGTAGTATGTGCACCAAGATGTGGTTAGGCAATAATTCCAGGTACAAATACTACGGGGGTCTTTTGGCTAGTCCCCAAACCCGTAATAGAACTAAAATAGGGAAAATTGAAATAAAATTATGGCCTAACCCTAACCTGGTACACACACTAAGTTCCGGTATCCGCCATCTTGGTGCACATTTTACGGAAGCACCGAGATGTCTAACCTTTGATACCAACACAGTAAAGTCTATTGCTCAATGGCTATGCCAACTCACTTCATTTCTAGTAATTCTTCGAGTTGCTTTTTTCTTTCCTTCCTTAAAGTATGTAAAGTTCGATCTTTCTCATGTAATGAAGCTTCTGTTGCCATTAATTTCGAACCAGTGTGATCTAACAATTGTTTTGTTTCTTTCATTTGTTTCATCAAATCTTCTTGCTGAAATATAAAATACTTTGATAATATTGAAATTTGTACGAGATGCTGTTCCTCAAGCTCTCTTCAGTTTCACACTAGATGGTGGAGAAAGCATCCAGTGCATAACTCATTATATATGAATGAAAATTTTTGATAGTGGTACATAATAATAAAGTATTTTCGTTTCAATTAAGGTAAATTAACAATTTCTATGATAGTTTTACAAAACCACACATTCACGAAGATGCAACTTCTTAATAGAACCATTCGTTTTATACATCGAATTTCAGATCATGCATTCTTGATCTCTAGAAAATATACAGAACATTGATATATTAGAAACGAAGAAGCTATAATTAAATACCTGTATTTGTAACTTCCGAACAATATCTTGTTCTTTTGATAAAACAGTCTCACGTTCAGCAGTTATACTAACACTTTCACGTAATGCTTCTTCCAATTCTTCTATCCTGTCGTCTTTCAATTTCATTTGAGACTGACAAAAATATCATCAATAATATATATAAGAGAGCAATGCTTAAATATATGGACACGAAGATCATGTGTCATGAGAATGACATGACAATTTGAGCAAAACTGCATAAATGCAAAAAGAATTTTACTGAATGTCATATGAAGGTGTGCCCATGAACTATGAAAAATAACAAAAATTTGCAAAATACAGGCCTCATAGACTTGAGAGAAAAATTTTAAAATGATAGCCTTCTAGCGACTTATTCCATTTTTGAGTACTTGAATGTTGAGTAGTAAAGTGACTTTGTCTGAACATAAGCAACTCCAATACCCGCAACAAGAACAATAACAATGTAGAAAAACAGTTTATTCATTAATCTACTTTGTGTCCTATACAGTTTCAGAGGTACCATTATTGAGACATGAATGGACGGGTAATATATATTTACTTATTCTTACCAAAAATTGAGCAGTGTCTTTTGAGTGTGCAGCACCTTTTAGTTTGGAATCTTCAGCCATTTTATTTTGAAGTGATTTGACTTTGGTTTGAAGTTCTCGTACTTGTCTAAATTGCATATGGACAAAAGAATATATTGTCATTGTGGTTATCAGTTGTTTAAAAAGAATGTCGTGATTAAATGTGAGCTTATGAGAACAGTTTCTTAATTAAAGGAAATATTGCTTTGAATTCAGAAGATACAAGTCTTTGGGATGTACTGACTCGACTATTTAGTAGTGTAATAACAGGAGTCGTCTGAATGAAATGATTCGAACAAAAAGTCTTATGAAAAAAAAAAAAATCTGACCTCCTGAAGTATGCGCACCAAGATGGCACATAGCCTGAACTCAGGTTGTGTACCAGGTTAGGGTTCAGGTTATGCGACATCTTGGTGCGCATACTTCAGGAGCACCAAAAAAGCATTATATCTTCATATTCACGTCGAACAATAAAATGATAAATTTTATATTTTTTCTTACTTGTCATATGTTAACAACTTTTTATCTTTATTGTGTTTTTCATTTTCTGTTTCTTTCAAAATTTCAAGCAGTCGATCAAGATCATTTTGACATTTTTTCGCCTAAAATTGATGAGGTTGAACTTATTGAAAGAAATACACAATTGAAATATAAAAACTAAATATTCAAATTATTCCTGGTGTTCATCATATGTTTGCCCGACTATATTAATAACAATGATTGAGACAAGCCCTGGCCTGACCTACTGGGAGATCAATTAAGATAATGCTTACCACCAAGCACCAACTCATGAATGGATAAACAAATAAGCAGGCTAGGGGAAAAAGGAACTGCCTAATCAAAGCATTGTCGACACTGCATGTCTAAATGGCTGCTTGCAATTGAGTGTTGCTTCTTTCTTTTGATTACTACTTGAATAGTTCGAAAAAAACACTTGAAAAATTGAATTTACGTGATATTGCTTACCTCTTCATCTTTTTCTTTAGCTAATTTTTCAACCTCAGATAATTTCTTTTGGTTTTCTTTATGTGTTTTAGCAGATTCAGCTTCCGATTGTGCCTGAAAAATCAAGATATTATTCAGATCGAATCAAAACAAAAAGTACATGTCACCACACCAGTAAGTTGTTAATAAAGCAAGAAAAAGGGATATAATTTAGTAAGAAACATTATGGAAATATAGAAGAGAAAAAATCACAATGAAAAAGATATCGGTATTGAGAAGTTTGTTTGAAGAAAGCTGATCATAGTAAACACCGTTTTACCCAGGGTTTCAAGAACAGGAACACTATTTCAAAATCTAGTAGCATTTTACAGGTAAGTGGCTGCTTATGTAGAGCTTTGTTCAGAGTAAAAATGTCAACGACGTTGTATAAACCATCACAAACGGCCACAAAAATAGCCATAAAATGTAGAATCCAGCTAAATAGACACTGTAGCTCATTACAGTGGCTTTCTACTTAGGATAGGATTTACATTTTCATCTCTGGAAAGAGGAAAGCCGACTAGACGACTTAACCATGTGGCAAACCACGCCTCTCGTTCGATTATGTGTCCATGTTGGGTATGGGATTAGTTAGCCAGTTATTTGTCCAGAAGCATGGACTTGACGATAAACGAAGCCGTAACTGACTAGTTACATGAACCACTCTACGACGGCAAGGAGTCCAGCAATCCTGTTGCACATAACCATCCCTGCATGGTGTGGTGGCAAATGTGTTTCTAACACTCAGCATGATGTGCCACACGATCCCCTTCTCATTCAGAGAGTGTTGATTGCTGAAGAATACCGTCCTCAAACTAATTTAATAATATTAAGCTATAATGGATAATTATTCATAACAAAATTTAAAAGCCTACTAGCAGTTGAGTTGATAATTTAAGCATAAAGCATATTTAAGATTCGATTAGCAATTAAGTGTACAGGAATTGTTAGCGTGCAAAAAGAAGCTTGCTATCCAACGTGCAATTCCGGATACAAGGCGCAAATGTTTGTTAAATTCAAATGATGTGCAAGCAATCATGCAAATCTTGGGAGTAGTTCATTCCGTTTAAATCATTTTAGTATTATGAGATTGCTGCAAGCAATACACTTACAATATTCTGAGTTAGGTCTTCTTCTGCCTGAAGTAATGTTTTATAATACTTATATAATTTTATAATACATACATATTTAAATTACAGATAGCTGTGTAATACCATAGATACATATTACAAAGTTTTTACATAGAACTCACACAACAACGAGAAACACCTCAAAAAATTCCAATTTTAAGTCGAGAATAGGTGCAGGGAAATAGCAAAATTTTATAGCTATTTTCTAGTATTTGAATTATTCCTCTACTTTTGTTTGTTAGCTTTTTGCTAAAAATAAGGACAACTATTTTTTATTTGAAAGCAAAATGTCACAGACTGAAATGAAGCCACGAATCCAAAAAGTTTGAGAACATATACATTCCAAATTAAACAATATCGACTGAACGTTCACAAATACATTTGTATATATTACCTTCTTTAATAGGGTTTCAACCTGAGCAAGTTTTTCTGTCGTTTGCTGAAGATTTATTTCAATTTGTTTGATGTTAGAATCTTTCTTTAGTGCGGCAGAAGCAAGAGATGATGCATGTTCTTTCAAATCACTTAAACTTGTCTGAAAAAATGAATTCTATGTAGAAAAATTCCTTAAATTAAACAATTCAAAGTGGTTGAATTATTAAAAAAAATGTTGTTTTTTGAAGTATTTTGATTCTAATACACAAATTGTTGAAATATCCAAGTAAATCAAGTTATAATTTAAGTATTCAAATAGTTACAACTTGAAAATTTGATTAATCAAAATCTGTCTGCAAAACTAGAAAATTTTCTAATGCCCTCAGATTTTGAATTTGCCATATCTAGGTCTGAGAAATTAAAACTCTTATATCTTGGAGTAAATCCTATTAACTTTTCTTCAAGAAAATGCTATTTAATGAATAAACATGTACACGATTAGGATGAAGCATTTTAAATGCAATAATTTGGAACCTATCGTTAAATTTTCAAAAGGTAAATATTCAAAATCATATTGGCATACCAACGATCAATATTTCGACAGTCCAACATAAAATTCAGAAAAACAGAAATATTAATACAAATTTCCGAAGACGGCCATGTAATATCATGTAACTTATTTCTGGCCAAATGTATTTCTAATTCATAAATCTTCTTAAAAATTAATTTGAATAAGAAATTGGATCCATTTTTACGCAGTTAAGATGTCATAATAAACAGTTCCAATTCTTAAAAATAAACAAATTTGTTTATTTGAATGTGATTATTTCTAACATTATTTTATACATTTTTAAGGACCCCTATTCATCACAACTCTGGATTTATCCCAGGGATATGGAGTCGAATTGGCACTCGGGGTCAAATTTTCAAACTGTCTCTAGTCTGGGGTAGGAATTCCAAATTTCAATGGTGATAATAAAAGTCACAATTATCTTCAAAAAAGTATTAATTTTTCCCAGCATTATTGAGAGATTAAGGGAGATTTATTATAAAGTAATTATAAAGTCTGATTCAATTTTTTTTACTTCACAGCCCTGGTCAGTCACCATGCTAAAAGCAAACAGATATTAGGTACCTCTTTCTCAGATAATTCTTGCTTCAGTGATTCGCATGTAATGTCGAAAGACTTTCTTTCGCTTTCAAATCTATCAGAATCCTCTCTCCATTTATCTTCACCATTTTCTAATTCCGCTCGAAGCCTAGTGATGATTTTCTCCTAAAAGAATAAATGAATTCTTAAATTTGTTAGAACAAAATCCAGAATTTTAACCTAATTTAACTGAACTAAGATTGATGACAGCCATAACATAACAAGATTTTATTCACATTTGTCATTTAAATTTAGCTCACCTAATTTAGTTTTATATGTTACTGTATTTCTTATATTTAATGTACATGGCTACCTGACAAATATTTATAATAGTCACTCATCTTTGAACAAAGTTACAAACGTGGTGGTGCTTTTATACACCAACTTTATATTGAAATTATGTCCCTCTCAAAGGAAAAATTCATCGTGTCCCACGGCCATATATAATAGGCCTTGTACAAGTAACCACAGATATTTACCGATATATAAATAATATATATCAAACATTATGATATTGCATCATTCCTAACCATCATTCCTAATTTTTATTGCATATAGCAGATGATAATACCACCTTACACTCGCCCTAACTATTTATATACCTTAACCTGCAACTCAATTAAAAAAAAATCCAATCTGTCAATCATATTTCATCTAATAACCGTATGTATACCTTTTCAGTTAAAGCTTCCTCCATAGTATTAAGTGCGGAATCGCTCGTACTCGAGTCTTGCTGCAAAGAAATAAGTCGATCTTTTATGACATCGAGTTGCTTGTCTTTCTCTCGAACAACTTCTGCCAGGCTTTCGATCTGAATAAAAACAAAAGTATGTTTTTAAACATATTCTATGGTGCAAAATAGAAAAATAAACTAAAATAGTATAGTAATTATCAACATACTAACCCTTTTCTTAACTTTTAGAACGAACGGCATATTTTCAAATTGTATTTTCCAAAAAATGATTCTAATAAATAAAATAAATAACAAAAACTACAAAATTCTCAAGTCAATAAATATCACACAATCTTGTATCACCAGCAAATTGAATAGACACTAAATACCCGACACCGCAACTAAACGGTTCTTATATATGACCCGACCGATCAAAAAAAAAAAACGAGAAATTCTAATAATTCAGTGAAACAAGCCATGTGATGTCATCATCCATCAAAACTAATAATACTACAGAACACTCAAAGAATTTCCGTCGAACGTTAACGCAGCGACAGTCTCGACTTCGAAGGAGGCCAAACTGTGCTATATTGGTCTTTTGGTCACATGATATATTAAATCCAATCAAACATGGGGTATAAATAAATAGAATCACGAAGCACAATGTATCACTATTCCATGCTTGATCATACACAATACCACATCAGATCAAATAAAAAAATATCTCCTTCTCAAAAATTTGGGTGTTTTCCAATTTATGTATATTGAACTTAAATGTGTCATTATACGTCAAAAAGCATGCATCTCGGACAGATTAATTTTGTCTATAATCACGACTAGCCGCTGATATGTATTTTTAGAATAGTGACATTATGATCAAACAATTGAATATAAAAAATGATCTCGAGAGACATACATTCATTATATTGGTCTGTACCACATATCATATTTCCGAATCACGCCAAAAAAATTGAAAAGATATACGAAAATTAGATACTGGTTTATGTTGACCAGACAGGAAGCAATCAGCACAGATTAAAAACTTCTGTATGATAGACATATTAATATTTACAGTCATTTTATTATTATTTAAATTCATAACAAATCACTAATTAACTGACCTGAACTAATTTAATAAATAGTATTATTATAGTTTCAGAATTGAAAGTACAATTTCCACAAAAATGCAAATGAAATTTCATGAATGGGATTAAATTTATTTTTTGCTTTTTTTTTAATAATGTTAGCAAACATATTACAAACATAAAAAAGGAAAATTACTGGAAATTGGGTAATATTTAAAGACAACATGTCCGATTCATTACACTTTAAGACAGTAGACATGATCAACCAGTTGGGGCTCGAGGATTTTATGAATAGACATACCATAAGCATAGTCCGACCCAACTACTAAGTAAAATGAGCTAACATGGTGTTCCCCAATTCGAAGGTCGCGATCCAAAGCTGCTCGCATGCGTCATTTTTTTAAATAAAAATATAAAAGTTATTTTGCACATATTGAATATTGAAATGTTGCTTCATAATATTCATATGGGAAGTATCACGGCATGAAAACTTAGCATTTGAGTATATTCTTAGACTGAAAAAATTTCACAAAAATTATTTTGAATGTTCAAAACACAATTTCGCTCACAAAATGACCATTGCAGTTTAGTTAGGCTTGCACTAAATAATGTTGCGTCAGGTTTAAATATAAAATATTCATATTTCAGATAATTTTAGTTATGAAGGTACATATAGGTAAATAACACTAAAAAAATGGAAGAAATTATTTGCTTATTTGAGTATGCATAACCAAAAATATACTCAAAAAATAGGATAGGATAGGATTTACATATTTATCCCGGGGGAGAGGAAAGCCGATAAGACGGCTTATCCATATGGCGAACCACGGCCTCTCGTCCGGTTACCATTCCAAGTCGGGTATGGGATTAGTTTTTACTGTATTGTTTGTTTTCGGAAGCATGGACTTGGTGGTGGAGGAAGCCGTAACCGACCAGCGGTTACGTGAACCACCCAACGACGGCGAGGAGTCCAGCAATCCTCTCGCACATAACCATCCCTACATGGGATTCGAACCTGCGAACCCACGCAGAGTAATTAGAGGTGCGGTGGCGAGCGTATTCCTAACGCTTAGCCCGTTGAGCCACACCGCCGCGCCAAAAAATACCAATATCTACCGGCAATCATGTTCGTATTCAAAAATTTCTTAATAAATAGAACAAGCATGACTGACTTGTAACGTATTCAGCCAGCCACATCATGCTTGTCCAAAAATATATGTGTAAAAAAGTATAAAATTCACTATGTGATTAGATATGCAAATAATGCGTAGAAACGTATCAAAATATAATAATACATGATCACGTCTGTACGTAATCGTGCCAATATGGTAAGAGTAATTAGTTTGCGTCAAACTGGCGCACAATGAAGCGTAATAGTGGAACGCGTAAAATAATACAATGTTTAAACTAATAAAAATCATAAGGCTTGATATTCACTAGACTCTACAATAGATAACTTTTTGAGTATTAGTATATGTATTCCTAAATCTGAACTAGTGAATATCAATTCTCGAAGACTTGAAGGGTGTAATCAAATATAGGAACACAATATAATACCAGAGTGCCATGGACATTTAAAAAATTAGGGGAGACAGAAATGAGATTCACTTATGTATACAGTTGTAAACAATCCAACTCCAGGTTTTTTAATTTTCAAACTCAAAGTTCTCACATAACAAAGTTATGAGTTAAATAGTCGCTGTTTTGTTAGACCATTCATTAATTGCCTTCATCTGGATTTTTCACACCTAGACTTTATGGCAATGACTCATCATTTTGATAATATATTTTGGCAGTGGGTTCAGATTTTTTTTTTTTGTATTTTTTTCAATAAAATGTTCAGTTCCAAAGTTGGAAAATAACTGGAAGCCTATTAATCTTATACTACCTACAAATTTGAATTTTCCGAGAATACTAGCACACGTATTACGGATGCTTGTATATACCAGATACTTGCCAGCCAGTTCTCATTATGCCAATTTATTCACAAACTAGTTCCTGTTCAATTCTCCCTACCTTACATGTCCGTTAATTGGCTTAGTTAGGAATATATATTATTTATTTATAAGTATACACGGTCACGTATTCATTTATAAAAAAGTGACAATGTTGAGATCTGCGCAAATGGTTGGCACTATTTCACAAAGATAGCTTTTAAAATGCTACCAAAGGTCGAGTTAAAAATCTATTATGACTAAAATGCTTTGCAAATCATGAACAGTGAAAGTGGTACAATAATGGGTTGATTTTAATCTCAGTGAATATTGAAATTTCATAAATCTCAAACTGATCTACTTTTATGGACTAGAGAAATTAAAATTTGAATTGAAGCCATTTAATAAATATATTTTTTGGAGAAATCTGATGATCGAAAATGTTTTTTTTACAAAAAAATGCCATTATGCTCTGAAATTAATGTAACTCCTCCATTCTCTGGCTTCTTTGCAATAAAAAATGTCAATTCAAAATATTTGAATCAAAATTTATTGCTGAAGAATATCAAATAATCAGATGTGGACAACCATAGCTTCTATGCAGGCAGATTATACCAATCAACCATTGATTCGAAATTCAATAAGGAATATTCTTGAAGGAAATATTTTTTCTAATATCATTATTTTTAATACCTGAAGTTGGCATCAAATGCAAAGGTTATCTACGGAATTCATACTCTAAATTCACACTGAGAAATGTTTCTCCAAAACATACGTCATCAGGATGTTATACACGTCAATACTACGTCTATACAGGATACAGAAAGCAATAGGCATCAATCATTTCAGTAAACGTGACATAATATTAGCGTTAATATCAAATGACTCGTTTCATGTTAACGATGAAATTGAAATCAGGAAGAAGAAATTTGAAACTAGATAGTGCTGAACATTCAAATAGACCAGACCTGCCCAACCTTTTAGTGTCACGGACCACTTTCACATTGAAAAATTCATTGCGGACCGCAAACATCTTTACCAAACTAAAATATCAACCAACAATCGAGGCCAAGATGAAAGTTAATAGAAAAGATACAACAGAATAAAATTAACCTGGAGTTTTCGAGTTTGTCGAATAGAACGCACAGTTCGGTGAGGAATGGGAAAAAAATAGACATCAACTGATACATGCGTAATAAGGAGAACCGACATTTGGATGTAGATGGCCGGAACAATCGCACCGAAATCACGAAACATATTATAGCCTTTACAAAATACTAAAAGTTTAGGAAGTTTGTCTACAAACTTATTTACAGCGAGGGCAACAGTAAACAGACTGGAGGGCCGCATGTGGATGATAAAGTAATTTATCATTCTACTAATCTATTGATTAATAAAACAATCTAATCTATTACGGTAATTATTATTATATTAACTAGTAATACATAACATATAGAATAAATTCGAGACATTGTTGATTGCCAATAAACACCTGATATTTATTTCCTATTGTCACATAGCAGACTCATTAATTATGTTTTTAAAGAAAATCTACATTTGACCTTTATGTTCTTTTCTCAAAAATAGTGTATTGTTTTATTTCACCATTTTGGGATGAACGCCAAATTAGCAAAAAAATTCTTTGCATTTTTTAGCGACCGCATATACAGAGTATGAGATTTCGATTGACCAGACATTTGCAATACACTTTATTATCAGCCCATGTTCGATCTAACATAAATAGACACTTGTTCCATTAGATAGTTCTGATATTACAACCTTGAAGTACTTTTTTCAGGTAGAATTTTTAATCAGACAAAAAATTATCTGAATATCCATAGACTATAGTCTTAGCATATAAGAAGTTTTACTATAAATACACAGTAATTTTGAATTTGGAAAAAACTAATATTCTTCTTATGATGCTTTCCACTGTGAACAAGTTTCTCAAAGCGGGCCCTCGGACTCCTTAGAGCGATTCTCTGAGGGACATGAGAAAAGGCCTTCTCTAGAATTTCTTAATGTAATACATTTCTTTTTTCCTCGCATATCGACTTTTAAATTATTAAATGTGCCGCACAAGAATATTGATGGTCACCAGTAAAAGTTAAACCAGGTATTTTATGTGAAAGAGAAAGTATTAAGGCTGAGGAAATGGCCATGAATCATGAAAGTTCGACAACACTGCTTGGATAATCAGTCACTCATAAACGAGGAAGTAGGAAGCATTAAACCAACCTTTCTATGCAAAACTGTGATCTTCCTGTCTTTAACTTCCAAAGTATCTTGTAGATGAGCAACCTCACTCCCACTACTACTTCTCTCTTCCTGCATCACCGTTAATTGTTCTTGTTTTCTGTCAAGAATTTGTTGTTTTTCTTCTAGTCTGGTTCGCAGTGAATCAACCTGAAAAAATTTTGGGGTCGAATTAGTTGCTAACAAGGATGACGGTTGATTTTGATATCAGTTTAAACCAGGAAAAACCGAATAAATGACTCTACTCTTCCCAATAATCCCAATAGATCTTAAAATGAAACTTTTCAAATATGAAATATTGAATAAATCCTAGTTCACATTTAGCATAGAACACATACATGTCAGTGTTCGAATTTTGAAATGCTGGAAGTTAAGATGAACAATGACACGTTCTCTATTTCATGTAGTTTCTATAAATATATTAAAGGCATTTTTTGTTAATACTGTGAAACTTCAATTGCTTTAAATAATAATTTTTTCGAATGGAACTATTCTAAGTTATTCATAAAATCAAGAACTTGAAATATTGAATATAATTAATTCTGAATCGATGAGAATATTCGATATGTCCTTGGTTTGAACCGGGAGGTATTTAGTGTGAACAATGTATAATCATAACATGTTCAAAAAGAAAATGTGGATCAATGGGTCGACAATATTTTGATGCTTAAGTTACAGTAACAGACTGACTGGTAATTGCACTTGCGAACTTATAAGGAATCAATTTACATTTTACTATGATCAAATCCAGATCTCTGACCACAGAACATTAAACAACAAAGAAAAATTATGAAACAATCTTTAGAACAAATTTTAAATCCAATTAGAATGTAAAATGTCGAATAATTTGCATAAAGTAATACAGAAGAAAACGATACTGGCGGAGATTCAACTACTTTGTTAGTCAGACATCTGAGGTAAGGTTTGACAGGTAAGAGATTGCCAAAAAACATTGAAGAAAAATATACGACTACTTGAGAATAAAATGTTTGGGTTGTATCCAACATTTAATAATGTGTCAAATTGAAACCTATCAGTTTTACATAGAAATACTACTCCCGTAGTATGTGTACCAGGTTAGAATTAGGATAATTTCATTCCTATTTTCCTTATTTTGGTTCTATCACAATGTTCGAAGATTGTCTGTGTTAGCCAAGTGAATATACCCCCTGCCCATAGGCTTCCGTCCCTTTACACAACTTGATGTAAAATAGGCAAACAAAATTAGAACCTTCATATTGGGACATAGCCTACACTTCTGGAGCACCGAAATACAAAGGGGCAAATAAATTTTTTAAGATAATTTTATCAACATTGTACAATGCTGAGTGATTGATTGAGGGAGAGTAAAACGAAATTAGATACATTAGAAACAAACTGTTTTTCAGAATCTTTTTTTTTTTTCAATTTTTTTATATAACGCTCGGTCACACATTTCTATCCAACAAAACATGGTACGAGTAGCTGGTAATATTTAACAACATATATGAAGTTACTATATTTGGGAGGCCCAGATACTTTCCTGTTCCCTGTGTTCAGCATTGCCTACCCCGATGTGGGGTGGGGTGGTGTGCATGGGATTTGAATGCGAGATGTGTTATCTGAGAAGCCAACATAGTGAATCTAATAGTTGTACCACTAGACATCGCACCGTATCGATTATTATCAATTGCAACTCTTTTATTAGTGACATTTTCAATTTAGTCAAAAGCTTGCGATATCGCTTAAAATTGCATCGAAATTTTTGTATAAAAAAGATTTGAAACCAAAAATTTAGAATGCTGACCTCAGCTTGCAGTATTGCAGCCCGTTGTTCTTTTGCTGCTAATGATTCTTTCAGTACATCGATGTGTTGTCTGCTGTCTGATTGTTGGTTGTTTAATGTATCAAGTTTGGTTTGCATTGTAACTAACATCGTATCTTTCTTCTGAAGTTCGCATTTTAATTGTTCAATCTGAAAATACAGAGATCATGTATAATATATATAAGAATTTCGAAACCAGCGCGAATGTATTCAGTCTAATTTTACAAACGACCACTCAAATGCCAATGGATACTAAGGCTATAAGTACCAGTAGTTATAATGTACAATAGTGTGTTAGTGAATACTGATTGGACAACACTTGAACCAATTCATGTCAGTACGATAATAAAAACAGCCACCAATAAAAATTCAAAATAACTTTTTGGAATCGACATCATTTTAAGTTTTCTCAAACTTATATTCAAATTACCGGTACCTCATTTTCAATAGTACTAGTATTTTTACATATTACAGTAGAGGCAAATGTAATGTCAAATTTTACAAAGAATTTTATAGTTCTAAACATTAGACATTAGAAAATTGATACCTAAAATTGATTGAAATATACATTGAATTTACAGTATACAAAGATCCCAAGTCAAACTCTAATAGTAGCGAATCCCATGTCGATTTTCAATAAAAAAAAAACTATGCAGTAGTCTGATTACTATTCATAAAAAAACTTTTCTAAACCCAAAATACAGAAGCTGAAATGAAAAATCTGAAACTCAATTCGAGTCCCTTATTTTTTGACATTTACGGAATAAGATGAATGATATATACCAGCTGTAAATTCCGCAAAGGCTCTAGCCAATTCTGATATTCTGTATAAGAAAAGACAAGTCTAATGCCTATAGATAAGCATACAGCGTTGTGCACTTTATTGTATCCTCGTTCCAATACCTCATCGTTAAATTATTAATATATCTATTATATATAAAACCGAGCTTATCACATATACAGGACAAAATACTTAGTAAGATGACAAAATAGACATAATTAGGAATGAAATTCTTTTTGTGAAAACTGCTTTTGAAAATAAGGACATTAAGTTCAGATTGTTATATAATGAGTCTTGACTGACTAACCCCAAGGGAAAGAAATTTTGTTAATGCTTCAATTTTTCAAATAACAACTTCGACCATTTACATTTATCAATTTTTAATTTATCCTTTATATTGAATACTCTGAACAAGGCATGGATGACCAATCCAAAAATGAATACTTGAATAAATGCAATATTTTAGCCTATATTTCATCGAAAAATTAAAAATTTGATTTAATTTTTTAAAAGCAAGACCCTATATTATTTATAGAAGAACAGGGGGAACAACTGTTCTTTACAGTTATGCATGGCGTACCTTGGACTTCATAAATGCGGAATGACTTTTATAAACTTCAAGTTGTTTTAGTTCTTCTTGTCTTTCCTCACTTGACACACAACCTTCTCGTTTCATTTGAGCCATTTCTTCTTCAAGTTGATTCAGATCTCTTTCAAGAATTGCCAACTTTCCATCCTACAAATTGCACAAGATTACAACGAGTCAACGAGGTATTAAAAAAGAGGTAAATTCAAGGTCTTGTATTTATGCCCTACTCTGTCTAACAGGCTTTCTTATGTTCACCACCGTGGTGCAAAAATATCACCTACCTACCACTAAGTCTTGATTGATAAGTCCAAGTACTGCATGGTCCATGAATTGAGCTAAGTATTAAAAACATACTGGTCAATGGTCATTATAGCTCTAATTACCCTGGGCAGATGCACAGGTTCAGTTCAAATCCTGTTGGTAATAATTATGTGCAAGAGAATTGATAGACTTATCACGGTCGCAGGATGGTTTATAGAGTGTGGCTTGTAGGTTAGATCTTCATCTCCAATCCAGTCCGTGTATCTGAAATAACAGGTAAACTGTTCCCATACCCAACATGACCTGGTAACCGGATGGGAGGCCGTGGTTCACCATATGATTAAGTCTCTTATAGGCTTTCATCATCCCGAGAATAAATTTAAGCATCCAATCCTAACAACTTAATAAATAGCAGTCCGTTCAGTGAAAAAAGGTAGAAATAAGATATTCCTGATCTTATGCATGCATGCACACACAATGGAAACAGAATTCTACCCTTTGAAATTGCTCAACAGACAGTACAAACTGTAGCCTATTTCTGCTTGTGGCATCCCTCACTATCATGTGAAATTTAAAACAAAATTTGATGGATAAAAATAACAATGCAATGACATACCTTCATACTTATGATTGCTTGCAATGATTGGATCTTAGGAATGTTATCTGGTATCACAGGACTGTTTGAAATATTCTGAAATGTAATGATTTTGATGAAAATGGTAATAGTTTTCACTCCTTTCAAGCATGCATCTGTTTTCAATCAAATAGCAAATTGCCTGACAGTAACTAGGATTAATGGGTACTCAAGAAGTATGTGCACCAAGATGGCGATCACCGGAACATAGTATGTGTACCAGGGTTGGGCCATAATTTCAGGTATAAATACAACAGGAGTCACTTGGCTAGTCCCCGAATTCGTAATAGAACTGAAATAAGGAAAAATGGAATAAAATTATGGTCTAACCTTATCCTGGTACACATACTACGGTCCAGTGTCTGCCATCTTGGTTCACATACTTCGGAAGTACCCAAAATTTGACTTAACCATGCAATGCTTATCAACAAGGGTAACAAATGGAATGGTAATTCATGTAAATGCAAATGGTCACGATTCTTGATTTTATGATTTATGAAGAAGATATTAGAGTCAATAGCATCTGACTCTGATTGATGTGTGAAAAAACAGAATCCGTAATTTTTGGTATGAACAAGCGCTAAATAATAGAAAGTTCATGAATTAGATAAATCGAATCCAAAACAAGCCACAAAATTTTAGGAAATTTCATGCCCATTGGAAGATTGGGTTGAATGTAATCCTTTGATAGGCAATAATAATGATATCCAGTTACTTATTAGCGTCTGCTGGAGAGTCTCGATCAGAATGAACATGTACGAATGCAAAAATAATGAACTCGCCAAAATTTGCGAAATTCAATCAACTGTTTCAATGAATCGATATATCAACAGTTGCAACACAATAAAATTCAACAGCGGTTCCTACCTTTACTCTTGAATCTTGGTCAAGTAGTATAAATATGCAATGTCACAATAAACAAGATGAAAAAACTCACAATCGACAGTTATAGCGAAAAAAACTGAAGCAATAAATAATACCTTTTTCAACTGACTGATTTCACAATTTCTTTCCATAATTAAAGAATCAAGTTGAGCTTGTCTTGCTTCTGCTTCAACCAATTGCATTCTTAATGAATCGGTTTCACTTGCATCCTCATCTTGCTGCGATATTGCTGAAAATCAAACAGAAATTCTTGGGTAAAAGCAGACCATTGGATTGAGTAAAATTTTTCATTGTTTTCAGAGGTTAATTGCAACAAGTTCATAGACCAGTAGCTATTCTGCACAACCTTTTGAACAGACAATCTTTTTCAGTCCGTCTATACCAGTACTTCCCAGCCAAAGGTTCACAAGCTTTGCATGCATAAGATGAAAACAAAATGGCAAAATTAAAGTACCAGTCACTGGAGTGCATTTAGAAAAAAAGTGGAACTCTAGGAAGCTAAGCGTGCAGTTTTTATGCAAAAAATTATTCGTAATTGAGACAGCCAATTGTTTTATTTGAAGGGGGCATAACTTCCGGGCAAATTTTTAGAATGGCCCACAAAGCACTGAAAACATTGGGAGCCACTGTCTACACTCTATACATTTGAAATGTCAGTAAAACTAAAATTATTTGCTAGTTCTTACCAGTTGTATATTGCTTTATTATGAGTAAGCTTCATCGCAAACACTTTCTATCCCAGGTTTAATCAATTATTTAAAAAAGTGATAAAAGATAACCGAACTAGCCTATGGAAATTGTCAATACCATACAAACTCAATCAGCATTTGCATGTAAGCACAGTAATGTACCACTGTAATTCCATACAGTTTGAGTTTAATTAGCATTTCAGTGCAAGGTTTCCAGGGTTTTTCCACCATTTTTGCAATGTTTTGCAACATTTCTGGTGATTTTTCACGTTTTTGGTGGTTTTTCACCATACCTTCGTTCAGAGATGAGTCTCCTTTACTTTCAAGTGAATACGCATAACTTTGAGAAAATTGTGTTTAAAAACCGATACCTTTGCTTTGCAACATCTCCAGCAACTTTCTGACAGATTCGTCTCTTGCGTCTAATGTTTGTCGTTGAGCTTCTATTCTCGATTCCATTTCCTCCATTGTTCTTTGTAAAAGTTCATTTTCTCGTGTTAATCTATCAACTTCCTCTTGTAGGATCCTATAATTAAGTAGCAGGATTATCAGACCGAACTTGAAAGGATCGGAAAGATATGATATCGGAAAGCGTAAATAATTAATCACCAAATGATAACCTTCAGGGAATAATTGGAATAACTGCTGAATATTATAGGGTATAAAAATGTAGCATCAAGAGAACAAAAATTTTATAAAAATAAGTTGTCCTTTGTCGGTGTGGCTGTAGCAAGATTGGCGCAAAGACTTCCGATTGTGATGGAAGAAGAGTTCCCATAGGAGCTCGAAAGCATAAGTATGCTAACTCGCTAAGTGATGTTAACTTGCATATGCAAGGTTTTGTAATCAAAACTTTTTTTAAAACTGAAGTGGGATTGATTCAAACATGAAATTTTTACGACTCAGAGTATAGAGTCAAAGACAAATTTTTGTCAGTCCGAAGTCGGTGGTCGATGGTAAATTCTCATGGAATCCTCATATCTGTACAGTTTTGGGGGAAAAGTTGCTCAACCCCTGCGATGAACGCTTTCAAAAGCATTTAAAGATAGTTAAAACACTAGAATAAAAATCCAGGATTCACCTTGTATCAATAGAAAATGATCCAGAAGTTAAATTATTAGAATCTCTGTTATGTGATCCTGACATGTCATCTTGTAACAATTGATTCAAATCTCTTTGTGCTCTTAATTCATCTTGTAGTGCTTGAATAGTCAGCTGAAGATTCTAATATAACAATACATAAAAAAAAATGTCAAAATTGTTTCTCTCCATGACTGTATCTGTGGGTGCTCTAGTCGAATGTTCAAAGTATAACGGCATCTTAGGTTAAAATCTTTGGTTCAATTCACGAAACCACCGGGTAGGCAATGACCACCGTGAAAAATTCCATTCCATAAGATTAGAAAAAATTACTAGGTAAACTAGCTGTTATGTTAGTTATTTGTAAATAAACTGCTTTTATTCACAGTTTCATATTGAGCCTGCAGTCCCGTAACCAAGTATATTAATTGTGACTGGTTCATTCAGAAAGTAATTCTGAAATTCGATTTGATGAAACGATACAAACCTGATTTTCATCCTGCGAACTTTTAAATTGTTCTCTCAGAACAGTAGCTCTCGTGCTTTCTTCTTTCCTCAAAGCTCTTTCTTTTTTCAATTCGGGACTCCAAAAGTTTTTTATGCTGTTCATGTTTGTCTGTAGCTTACTTTCCTGTAATATAAGGATAATTATGTTTACTATACGTTATACCTTATTCAGAAAACAAAAGAAAAAGCATTAATATTTATATCGACATAGTTTATTCAATGGGTGATGTATGGTCCAGAGGATAGAGCGTTATGCTTTACCTTACTATGACGGCATCGCTTGTTAACAATCTCTGGCTAAAACCCCATTGTCACCACTTCACTTTGATGTAAAAAAGAATTGAGTAGGCCCAATGCCAAACCAGAAACATTTCAGTAATTCTCTAATATGGCGGAGCCTTGCTCTGAGTGAAATCATGAAAAATGTTATTTGTAAAAAATATATAATATGATGGACAGGTGCAACAATTTAATTAGTTACATCCATGAATTTGCACAACCCATTTTTTAGAAAATTATTGATGTTTGACTGTTCCTTGTTGAATTAGCTTCGAAATAGGCTATACAAAATATTTAAAACAAAAATTGGAAATGATTCAGTTCTGACAGCGATAAGAGATTCTGACATGACCTCACACTGAGAATTAAAATAAAATGTAGGATTCCTATTTAGAACTGTTTCCCTATTAGTCAAATTTTGAAAAACCTAACTAAGATAGAGCATGCTATGCATCAAGTAAAATATACAAATGATGAAATATTCATGAGGGCACAAGAGGTAATAAATCAGATGGATAGGTTCAGACATGTATTGAACATTTCTAAAGGGTATATCTTAAACATCCGAAATGTTCCTGGACTGGCTGTCTGCGCCTCTAGGTTAATCTCTGAACTAATTGAACTTTAATTCTATAGTCTCTGTCATAGTTTCACCACTGTTAACCAGCATAGCTGGCATTGTACAAAAATAAAGTTGCAGAAGTAAAATGTTTTGTGCATGAAACACGGTCTATATAGGAAAGGCATACGGAAATATAATTTGAAAAAAAAGTTTAAAATTAGTCACAATGACACATGTTTGATTAAAAAGGTATTGTATTGACAGATGGAATTGGATTTATAAAATATCTATATTATCATAATTAGATTAAAATTTATAAAATCTGTCCAATTCTGTGAAAATTGAAATATATTATCAAATATTAAAATATTGATGCCAGAAATTAGGATACTGCTCCAGGCAAACTTGTAATGAATAGGCAGAGACAACACAGCAGCTGGTAAACGGCTACCTTAGTTTTGGAAGGACCATAATCTATTCAGTTTGGCATGACCTAGCTGTTTTATCACATCCTGGGGGAGGTTGTGGTCATGGGATTGGAAGCCGAGATTTAACCTGCAATGTCACTACATTTTCTGTAAAACCCCAAAACTCTGTAAATAACCCTGCCTGAAATGAGTCATGTGCTTTTTAAATTAATTTTTATCCCAGACTTTCACATGATCATGCATTATTTAACAATTTTTTTGACTTTGACCGAAAACGGGGATGTCCTATTCTACATAGAAAAATCAAATTATTCAAACTTTATTAGAAAGTACCTTTATATCGATTTCTCGTCTGAGCGTTTCATTATCCTGCTGGATTTGAAGAATATAATCACTCGCACTTCCTCGCTTGTTCGATTTTCCATCTGTCGTGAGAAAAGTTTTGAAAAGGTCAAATTATGTCGATAAGGGTGGAATAATCACATTAATAACAATAAACTTATGCAATTATATATTATTCATAGAAAAATCAAGGATTAGAATTGAAATGAACAGTATAACACAGGCACAGCAAACTTGACATGTATGGAAACGCAGTGTGCCACATAATTTGAAATAAAATTAAAATCATCTAGTGTGAAGAGAATTCATTTCTTATTTGTTACAATTACTCACACAATGAAGTAAAATCTCTAAAAATATAAACTAAATATATTAAAATAGTGACTTTTATTCATCATTTTTACACCGCTATGAACAAGGCTCTGCACAAAAATCCACTCCGCAATTTTCCGCAAGAATCAGCTTTCAAGATATTATTTAGCAAAGCCATAATTGAAGTTGAAAGTAACATTAAAGTAAGAACCAGGTTTGAAAAATAATATAATAAAATAAAGAAGTCCATTCAATTTAGCCTATTTGGCATTAACCCATTCATAAATTTTTGCTGAAAATCGGAAATTTAAAAAAAAAGAAAATCAATGCAAGCATCCTACTTTCATTAATATGAAGGGAGTTATGATCACTGATTTCCATTTTCGGTGAGTTACTTGATTGTGAAGAATTAGCAGGAGAGTCTCGATCGTTTTTATATCGATGTCCTTGAGAGAATATAGCAGCAGTAGATTGGGATGAGATACTATTCGGACTGTTATAATTTGACATCATTAAATTCGGACTTGATCCGAGTATATTACTACCGGCTGATCTGAAATGTTAAAAATGAAAAATGTTTATACAGTGATGAAAAACGTATAGGCCTAGTGAAGATTTTGTTAGCTTAAATTAATAACTAGAGATTAAATAGCTAGAAAATTTCTGTGGAAATTCAAGAAATAATTGTTGCTGCTGTATATGAAAAATTTCACCTATGAAAAATTTCACACGTATGAAAATTTTAAAGGAAGTCTAAATATACAACATTTTTATATGAAGAATCAATTGAAAAAGCCTTTAAAATACAGTTAAATTCTGTCTATGTGGAATTATTCCATCACCGATATGTAAAAAGGTTATAGACATAGTAAGCATTAAAATAACCTAACACTGGGGTGATAATGCATCTATCATTACATTGTTTAGGTTTAAAGTGCAATTCTGCCTAGGTGGAATATTTCTATTACTAGTAAAGATGCCACTAAGGTTATTGCTGACAGACTTATACATAGCATGAGACACAAATAAGTTTTGCCAGAGTTGAAAAAATAGTAACCTCTGCCTGATGCTGTCTATGAAGCATTTGAAACAGTGGCAAAATATATATCATTTGCTTCCTATTATGTGTGCATTTACTTACTATATAAAGACAATATTTTATCTGCAATTTAAATCCTAAAGGCTTCATTGACAGTCATTCTTATACAGTATACTCAACTCACAATACCTTCCACTTTCTGCAAATAACTTTCTATCAACCATGACCAAACCACAAATTCTTTCTCATATATTAAAAACTACTTCATAAAAACAGGGAGTGTATATGCCTCACATACCATAAAACTATATATGCATATCTGTAGATTTAATCAACACAATATCAAGGTCATAATACCTCTAATAAAACTAAAATTTTCACTTATATTGGCTCATTTTTCAAATGATATGCATGACTATATTTAATGTTGCATTGCTTATTAATTGTGCACTTTTTAGAAATGTCTGTAACAGGACAGATAAATTCCATTCATAAGCATGAATCTCTATTTGACATTACTGTATTTCTCCACATATAATAAGTAGCCTACTTTTGTGATTAAATTCAATTTATAACATTAGCGTAGAAAAATATCAAAAAATAATAATCAATATTTTACACATAACTGGATAATACTTTTCAATAATATTATGAATTCATTTCCATTTTTTTGTGGAAAACCAGATTGTTCGGTGGAAGCATAATATTCATGAAATTGACTATTCCCACCAACAAAAGGTTAATTTAGCTGTAATAAAGGTAGCAATTATTCTAAACAACTCAGTAACTAAAGCGTTGCAATGACCATTGAAATAAAGTGATAGAAACGCCACTGGTGTTGATGTGTTAATTAATGATGATCATTAGGTATCAAATATGTTATAAAACACATTAATCCATGGATGTAGTTAACACAAAGTAGACAACATGTCTGAAACACTAACATAGAAATGCATTTTATGTATTGGTGAGTACTATGCAATAATAGAGAAAAATACAGTAATTCAAACTTTAATGTAAAACTGGAAAATCCTGCAGAAAATAACACACTAACTACAATTATCAAATCTGTTAATGATAAAAATATTTTCACAAACTCTATTTCTATTTCCATTTAAACGGCGACACTTTTTATTAATATAAGTATGCACTATAAAATTGTGCATGCATGCAGAACTAAATGAAATTGGTAAGCATACAATGATATTGTATGTTTTCACTAATCCCCACTATATAAGGATATAATCTTGATAATCTGCATGTTATTGACATAATATCATGTGTTTTTGCATTGCATAGCAATTGTATATCTATAATCTAACATCTAAGGTTTATTTAACTTGATATAGCAGTACAAATAATGTAAACCAATCTCTGAAAACAATTTCTGCACCTCACGCATCTTACTGTGCTTTCATCTAGATGCTTACAAAAAATTTGTAGAATTAGCCCGAAGTTGAAAGTAATGAAATTGTCAACCCTTTGAAGAGTTAAATTCACTTTTATGAATGTATCAATGTGTCAATTCATTGTTTTTTAGAAACAAACAAATATTAAATATGTTTATTTGTTATTGAGTAAGGAGTATTCCAAATTATATAACGCATAAAATACATAATAAATTAATTCAACATATATTCACAAGACCTTCAATTATTTCGATGTAAATTGTGTCCAAAATAGAACTGAACTACAAATCATAATGAATGAAGGATTCATCAAAAAAAATTCCCAACCAATTAAATATTTTTAAAAAGATAACAGGAAACCAATCTATTCTGTTAATATGAACAACACAATCTAAATTGCAAGATATATCTTGTTTAGTCTGAGAAAGTTAGACTATGATCTCATGAAGGTTCACTAAAAAACTTGCTAATTATAAAAAAGAAATTGCCGTATGCTATTTCTATCTACATTTATAATTGAGAAATAGTACTAGTATGCCTTATTCGCCTTACAACACTGAGCTAACAATACCAATATATCTACTCTATTGACTCCAATAAATCTCAACTAAATAGTCCAACAAAAAACTAAGTACATGACATACTATCACCTTTATTGTCCCGAGAGACAAAATAAAAATCCATCATTCCCTACATAATTGTGTCTTGAGGTTAAAAATCAATAGCCAGGTCACATAGAAAATCAAAATATAGATCAAGATGTTTAGCTATTTATACAGATTATAACAATATTTTGTCTGATGGATCATTTGAGGCCTTTGATGATTAGCATTGACATTGGGTATGTATATTACATTGACCGTCAACAAAGAAAACATTCCGATATTGTATTTACAGTAAGCTAATAAAATGTGTTTATACAATAATCCTAATATTTTGAAAAATATTTGTACTAAATACATACCGGTATTATAGGCCTGCTATTGTCCTGAGACGTAACACACTATTTGTACAGTAGTACAGTATGCCACCATATTAAGCCAGCTACAAACCCGCTTTTAAGCAAAAATCATTGTCAAATGTCCACATATTGCCTTATTGTGGTAATATATGACATTATTCTATATTCTTGAGTTTGAGAAGAATTTACATTTTTATTTAAAATTATCATTCTGAACAATTGAGGTCTCACAGTACGAACAGAGATGTCTTAATATAGTAATTTATGAAGACTGCAATATATTAAAAAACCAATCAAATCACTGTTTAAAATTAAACTTTCCTGCTTTTCCAAATTCAAACTCATTAAATATAAACTATAGTAACTTCAATTAGGAATAACATAATCTCTTTCTACAAAATAGCAAGTATATTTGTGAGCTTTCGCTAGATCATAGTTAACTTCTTCAGACAAAACAAGATGCAAATATGTAGAAAATACCAAACCAGGAATATAACAATCCTTAAAAAATTGCAGCTCCTTAAATACCAGCAACTGCTCATTCAGGGTATTTTTTGGAGCAAACAGGGAGAATAAGCACCATATGAAAAGATTAATTCTAGATTCCATGTTCGGAAATAATATTTTAGAATGCATTTAGAAAGCAGATTGCTCATTTTTGGCCTTTCATATAAACTCCCAGCCAAAATTTGACATCTCCCACTAAATTTAAAATTATTTATTTATTTCTAATCAAGCTTCAATCCTGATGCATACTAATGAGCAACATGACTTATGAACTGAGTTATTTATATCATTAGGTAACAGACTAAAGTCCAGTTTATGATCAGAGTTGCACCACAATTCACTCAAGTTGTCATCACAGCAAACAAAGGAAGACTGATAATACAAATTCAACATACCAATGCCGTGCATACTCACAAATATAATTATGACCGTTTGTAAAAATGACTACAGCAGCAATTGTGCAATGTAAATGACTTATTGCAATTTGAAAAGAACATAAAATGATGGATTCAGCAAATAATTATGATTTATTGGATAGCTACTAACAATCTCATTAGCAAACCTCATTAGAAATAGCTTGCTTGAGTTGGAAAGGAGAATTTTAATTAAACCATTACAAAGCAAGGTTACAATTTGAGGATAGGTATTTACGTAAGTTCGTTGATAAACGTTGAACAACTGTTATTAGCTATTTATTTTGTATGAACAGAATTTAGATTGACTTTAGTCTCGCATAAATCGACTTTTATTGGTGTGTAATGCCTTAAAATAGATATATTTGGTATTAAAAGCTCTTAACATTTCAGTTGTCATTTAGGACTTAGCTCAAAAATAAGTCTTCTGTAATTATAGGTTAGTGTATGTGACATTTTTTTTTTGCAGAGTTGAATGTCAGGTTTTTTTTTGGTTCAAAAAAAAACAATGCCAAATAAAAAAAATTTTAGCGGAACATTCGTTTACTATTTATTAAATTTCCTTAAGTTTTAAACTAGATTCTTTAAAACACTGATTTCTGATGAGTTAAGAGCAAAGTTTTAGAATATTTAACAAAATGAATACAATATGTCACTTTAATACATCCCTTTTCCATCAAAGGGAGGAAATTGAAGGTCAACCAGCCAGTAACAGTTGGCAAATAAAAAACAGCAAACAGATGGTGAAGTAGAGCCTAATCACATGCTTTCCATGACTCAATATTCCTTTCACCATATTTGTAAAAGAGGTCGAATAAGAGAAAAAATGAATTTAAGTTTTAAACAATTATCATTCTAAAGTAAACTATTATTAATAAAAGTTTATATTATACAAACCTATTTTTCTTGTTTGATGAGGCATGAGATCCTGTTGATATTCTTCCCAAAGTTTTTGATCTTGCATTTCCCAAATCAAACTCACTCAGATATGCAGGACTCGTGGTATAGGCTGCATTTAATGACTGGAAACAGAAAAATTAAACAAGTCAGACAGCAGACATATGGGAAATAATAGTTCACTGTTATTACAGGTAGTAATTCAATGAATAAGACAGCTAGAAAAGATAATGTAAACACATGAATTCAAAAAGCGAAAAATATGTTATAAATTAAGTCAGCTTTTGTTCAATCACAATGAAGTATTTAACACTACAACTGTATCCAAAAAAATTCTGAAATAGAGGAAATATTTTCTGTTGTGTATTTTTGCCTTTTTTGCAGCATTTATTGTTGTTTTAACCATTTGTTGAATTAATAATAAACATCAGTGGCTGTTCAGTGCGGAAAGCATAATAAGCAATAATAAAAAAAAATAAAAGTTCTCACAATCGAAAACAATGGAATGGTATGATATATATTTCAATGTGACAGGTGTGTGATATAGTACATCAATATTTGAGATAACATATGATATATGTGCAAAACAAAACAAAAATGCCACGCGAAGCCAAACCTGCTGCAATTTGAAAGAAAAATAATCACTCAAACTCTATTTACTGCATATAATTTTGCAGTGTATGAATAGCCACATTCTTGAAAGGATTCAATGATCTGACAAAACAACGCTACAATTATAGTCTAATGATGTGTAATCCTATCAGCTATCAAAATGTGTTTGCCTAAGGCCAAATCGACTTGCATCACTCTAAAATATCAATACATAATTGGTATGATCATATTTGAAAAGACAGTCTAAAGGTTGTAAGAAGAGCAGCACCGTATGTTAGTCCTCACATTATAATTCTCAAGAGGTTTTATTCTTACCGGTAGTATTATTCAGTAAGTAAGGTTATTTCAAGAGAATTTACTTTTTATTACAGGGAGTAATGTACAAACAAGAATACAGTTGCACTCTATTAAATTAATTTCTGATAGTAAGCTATAAGTTGTATAATATTCAAAAGCATTTTAGCTAATTAGCAAGCAATAATAGCCAAGGTCAATGCTCAGCTAAGAACGTCATTATGATTTATTTTATTGTAAATTACTGGAAGCAGGTTCATTCTTTGATATGATAGAAATAATCTCAACTGAAAAAATTTGCACTGAGAGACTTAATTTTGTTGTTTTTTCATATTTTTAGGCTGTTTGGATGGCAAAAGTGCTCGTATAGAATATTTTGCTTGAAAAACTAAAATTTCAAGTTCATTACAATGATGAAGTTACAGAAATTATATACACACATATATCTTCATAATAGGCATGCAACTACTTGGGTCTTAAACTTGATTAGGTATACATTAGGGTTGCAAGTCAATTTATAGCATCCACATAACACATTAGCTTAGACCTCAAAATAACGATTCAGGTAGATTTCCACTTGGACATATACGAGCAATACATTTTCAATGCCCATATTCAAAGAATAATGGTGCAGTGTAATTGCCACGACTAAAAATTTACAGAATTCTTCAGGACAATTTTAAATTTGCGCCTGCATGCTAACAGAGTTATTATTATTATTCCACTTCATTAGACATTAGATATAAGTGGAATATAATTTCTGAAATAGGGCTGCAACAGCAAGGTCTAGAAAAAGCTGCTCAAACTATGAACGACCACAATTTGGAAATCAATAATAGAATCTGATAACTGGAACAAATTATAGGTATTATAGCTAGTATGTAAAGCATATCACATGACGGTTTATTATGACGTTTGCAAATTTGTATTATAAATATTCAGAGGTGTAAAATAGAAAATGCATTAATGGTTTACTGCCTATTCAGCATGACAATAAATAGTGGTATAAAAATGTGATCTGTATAATCTGTAATCTATATTATAAAGGCGATTGTGTAATATCATGACAATATGTATTCCGGTACACAGTCATGTGGAAATTACGTGTTTAGAATGCAATAACAAACATATTACTCAGAAATTAGAAAAGAATTTCAGAGGGATTGTCTGTTGAAACTGAAATTGCTTTAATTTGAATATAATGGAGATGAGAATCTTAAGAAATTTGAAATTTTTTATAGTAAATTCTTTCTTCCACTTTCAGTATGAGAGAAGAGTTACATAGAATTTTATATTGACGTAATCAAGCTATTGTCTAAACTAAATTGCGTAAAATATTTGTACCGCTAAGTGTCTATTGTATATAATTGTGTGCGTCATTTCTTACATCAGAAGGGTTCAAAAAATTTGTGTGTTCGCAAGTAAAAATTTTACCAGTCAAGAATTGTAATAGGTAATGTAAATTCCGTACTGAAGCTGCAGAAATAGGATACAAAAGGATACATAAGGAAATATCAATAGAGCTTCTAATGAGGAAACTACTACCTACACACCATGTATTTATCGATTATGAAAATATGAGATATTCAGGCTGTTTATTAATTAAGTCTTTTTGATTCTATAATATGATAATCATTTACCGTAGTTCATTTGTGCTTTGTAGTATATTATGACTCAGCTTTAGTTAGGACATATTATTGCAACATCTGTTAGTTTCTCAAGACACAGCAGAATTGAAGGTTCACTCGCAAGCTGCAGTTCTTGAGATAAATTCCAAATAAGGTATTTATAGATGATGTAATATTTTTGCTATCTCATCACTTAATACTTCATTATTTTGTCAACTGCATGCATAACGTGACAATTTGAAGAAGTAACGGGACTGATACCTATACGCGAATAATGTACCTTCATGTGTCACGTTATATGTTATAATCAAAGTGATCTTACCTAAGATATAAGAAAACTGATGTTCATCATTATATTTGGCTACATCTCAATGGAACTAGATTAAGATGAATGAATCTGGGATAATATACAAGCTCTCCAAAATGAATAGAATATAAAAATAGCGGCCAAACTTGTTACAAATTTGTTTGTTTTTCAGGTAACTACAGTAGTTAAAAGAATCTTTATTATAGTTATATTACTAGCTACTTTCAGATGACAGACTGAGCTTAATACATAGAAAATAATTTAATGCTATCTATTGAAGCTCTTTAAAACAAATAGAATGAATTCACAACTTCTATCTAATCTTGATTATAATAAATGAAGCGTCGTTTATAGTTCAAAACCCCAAATTCAAATCTTTTAAAAACTTAGAAATAGAAGTTTTTGAACTCTTAGGTGGAGCGCTGTATGTTGCATATTTAATATTTAAAGAACTTCGTTCAAATTTGTGTTCTCTATTCAACAAGACATAAATATAAGTCAGCTAATGAATTTTGAAAACAATTATTGCAGCATGACTGATAATAAGAATAGTTGACACATTATGGAATGGTTACAAAATTTCAATTTCGAATCTGTGATAAATCCCATATGAAAATTGTAACATAGGTCCAATGTTCAGAATGATGTGGCATATTGAAAGAGAAATATGCAAAAAATTGGGTACTATTTTAATCACAAAATGTATTTATAGATTTATACATAATTATACTTTTCTTAAGATCTGGGGAGTTTCCGACAACTTAACATAGATGTTGATTAATAGTATTGAAAATTGCATCATCAAATAACCTTAATATCCAGTATTGGTGAGCATATGCTTCAATAAAAAAGAGTTCCAATAAGATAATTAAGATGAAATGTGATATGACTAAGATGAGTGAAATTATAAACTACTAGCAGCATCATGTTGCAGTAAATGAGTGTTCCCATTATGCGATTTCATTTTTTAGATTCCGTAAAATATTATCAAAAAAACAAGATAGATTGGAAAAAAAATCAAACCAAAATGTGTATTGGATAAAAATTTAGGTAAACAAAGATCCAATCTAATATTATAGCAGTAATTATGAACTGTAGTACTTTATTGAGGTAACATTTTCCAAACCACATAATATAATCCTATATTTGCGGCAGAGTTTATTCAGGAAATGATTGCAATGTGTTATGACGTTATTCAATGACGAGTGGAACATAAGACATGCAGCATGGCGTACGTAAACATGCCATATATAAAAAGATATACTTTGAGGAAAGATATTCTGATAACACCATCATTCGTGAGATAGTGACAGTCGTGCAGAGAGTGTCATGAACAGTGTCAGCATGAGTATCGGGTTACCTATTGAAAGACTTAAAGAGTTATGAACTAATGAACATATAATGATTTTATCAGTAAATTTGATTACTACACATATTTGAAATCCTCAAAACCAATATATAATGCAAAATGAGGGAAAAAACTCTGATATTTTGATTGCTAATTCCGAATTGGCAAATACACATTATGTAATATAACCATAATGAGGTTTAGAAGGAATTTGAAACAGCATTAGGGAATTGAGTGGTTAAAAACACATCTTCTTTTCGCAGAATTTACTTCTTTTGCAATGGCATCATAATTAACCTAGTTAATGAGTGCTATTAGATAAAAGCTGGTCTCTATATAAACATGATTATTTTGCAGCATAATGGATAGATGTACATTTGAGTAAAACTCAAAATTGACTAGAAAATTAGAGATGATGATTTATTTCCAAAGATAGAAAATTTTTAAATGAAGTACATATAACGCAGTGAGAAATAATGACGAAAAAGCGATTTGTATAAACAGAAGGAGTAGGTATGACTGCAAGATCCATGGGGTCAACCTAAATCCAATTAAAATTGATATAGAGTGATCAAAGAAATACAGCATTATGTCAATCAGAAATCACAAAGAAAATGTAGTGTTTATATATTCGCTAACAACTAGACTTATCTTTCCTGTATCATTCCAAAAGAATACCATTGATAATGTATACTAATATTCTTATCTACTCACAAGCAGTTTGAGCTATAAAAAGAAAACTAGAAATAGAGAAAATGGTATGATGGTAACATGATTTTTTCTACTAGTATAGTTGAAACATTGGTGACAACTCAACATATTTCTTTTTATCGAAAATTTTTAGTTAAGTAAAAAGTTAAGTAATTTTCTTAGAAGAAAATGACACTTATAATATGGTCATGTACATTGGAACTATTTACTGCTTGACTTGATGAAATATATTACATGAATCATATTTCTAAAGGAAGTATAGGACAAGAGGAGGCGACTGTGCTTGAATAAATGCGCTGACTCAATGAGGAGGATATCGAAATTGATTTAAGCGCAGCATTTAGGTATCAGATGGTGTACAATAGTAGGTATATTGTGTTTCAGTATGCGAGGACTATTATAGAAAATCGGCATACGTTGTAATTTCAAGAAGGAAAGTGAGGTTGTCCATACAGCGAAAATCAACTAGAATGTATATTCAACATAGTCTGAATCGATTCTTGCGAAGGTTTTAACGAAAAGTTGATTCAGTTTTAAACAAAGGCAGATATCTTCTATCAAAGATGGTAAAATGTTGTCAGGTCTAGGAACAGCCACATTTATCAAATCATAAACGTGTGTTTTACAGTTGCGTGCATGCTTACTAAGAAAACTTGGTGGGAAGACATTCAAGATTGTAAGTGGAACTACTTTTGACTTACCGTATATATAAATATTTTACATTGATAATGAGCACAGTGAAATAAGGGTATAGACTAGATAAATTTTATAACTAAACAGCCAGTAATTTTAAAAGATTTTTGGGAAGTTTTTTTTTTCAAGAATCATTTTATATCATTTTAATTTTGTGTGAATGAAACATAAATCGGCTTACAGCCCTACCTTAATTGCAATTTTTAACGCAGCAAAATCAAAATTTGATATAAACTGAACTCATTTGGCATCTCTAGTGAAATGACGAATTTGGAAAATGTCATTTCCGGATCAAGCATCCTCTAAACAAAATACAGAATAGCATGAACTCGAGCGCCAGTGTCAAATTTGAAAACAAGGAAGTTGAATAAAGGATAACCTAGAATTGAAAAAAATGGACTTTCAATAAGCGCTAAAGTTTACCATGATAAATGAGTGATTATAATTTGTAAAAAAAGGCAATTTAATAAAATATAATAAAGTACTGCCGTATCGGTATGTATTTTATCCAATAAAAACTGTGCGTCTGTAATTTATCCTTGTCGGAAAATTATTAAAAAGGTATAAAACCAATATCAAATTACAGGGTTTTAATTAATCATTAATGGCTGATAATTGTGCTCAAATGATGGTTACCAGCTGTATATATATAGATAGATATAGTAGAATAGATTATGATTACCAAAACCGCCTAACTAGTTTAGTCTTGATCAGTGGGGATGTTTAATAATAGTCAATTAAATTGACGTAAATGGTAGTTGTTTATATTAAATTAAACGATGTGAATGTTCATTTATTGAAAGGTATAGACATTTCTGAATATAAAACGGAGTTTAGATCGTTAAAGTTCTTTGTGGTATTCAGATATAAAAATCAGTGGAATAATGAGCTAGAAAGGATAGCTATGTTTTTTTACTACCATGTACTTCTACAGCTGTGTAAATAATTAAATCGTTAGTATAAATAAGTTAGGAATTATTATTTATAAAAGAGGAACATTTACGAAATTGCTACGTTTAAAAGTATCAAAATAGATAGAAAGTGTAATTTTTGGGTGGATTCCAATTTGACATACGGTAATGAAAATGTTTTCTTATTGATGTGAAATTGACATTGATGACACATAGAATGAACATAACTATCATTAGGTCAATAAGATAGAAGAAGACAATCTTGTCAGAAGTGATACAGGAAATGTTTTTCTCAAAGGAAGTGATCAGCACATGTACTGTGGTAACTGCTTGTGACGTGTTGATATTTTGACGAGAGCATAAACATCATGACATAGTATCGATATATTACGCATCCTATGTTGAATTGAGACTAGAAAAGTATACACAACTGTGTTTGAGCAAGGGATATATAATTAGAAAATTCCAATTACTGCATAGCATGATATGAGAATCATTTCCCACATCAAGGGAAACACTTTTCTCAACACAAATTCAAGGTTGTGAGGCTGATATAAATACCAAAACATTTAACCCATAGATAGCACTACGAATATGTGTTGATTGCATGCAAGACCATAACCAATTAGCTTGATGCATGCACAAATTGAACGTTGTTAGGCAGTTATAAATAACAGAATTTCCAATTAATAGATAGCAATACGAATATGTGTTGATTGCATGGAACATCATAAACAATTAGGATAATGCATGCACAAATTCAATGCTGTTAGGCAGATATGAACAATCTATAGATAGCACTGCACTATCTGTTGATATATTGCAGCACTAGAACAGACCTAGAACATGAATGGCATGGCAGATTCCTATGAGTTTTGTTGATTTCATGCAGAAATATAAAAAATAGTGCTAGTAGCGTAGTTGCCTCTAAAATAATGCATCAGCTCAGAGATCACAATATAGAATCAGAACAGATTACTGTAATTATTGCATTCAAACTATTTATGTATTCTGATAACTATCTCCTCAAATGCTGGATTTTTTTCATATATGGCACTTCTTCATGTCTTTCACTCTGATTAAGACCATGTTCAAGCAGCCACTGATACCTTTTGATATGTAAGGTGTTACTGTTACTATTCTTTGAAGAACCTATTTTTTGCAACCTGGTTGAGGTGGCACATGGGATTTGAGTGATGATTTCCATAAAAAAATAAAGAATAAAATTTTTCTTGCAGATATACAAAAAAAATATATCATTATTTAATTTATTATAATATAATTTTGAAAATAAGTAAAAGAATCATGTCTGGAGCAGAATCAAGGGTAAATGTTGTTTTAGAGGAAATAGAAACAAATTCAATACCTGACACAAGTTTGAAAATAACAACAGACAATGCTGTAATTATGGTTGAAAAAGACATCTACAATGACCCAGGTATGAAATTACTTTATTTCAAATTTTAACATTTATTTGAATTTACTGTTTTTTTATGGAAATCATATAGTGAATATATGTGAGATATATATCATACATCTGGTTGTAGATTTCCACAATTTTAAACAATATGCATGAATTCCTATTTCGAGAGATTTTTTACTTCGCATTATCTAATTTACTTTTATATTGATTACTAAACTCATAAGAGCTACTACACTGAGCTCAATGTAAGAACTATAATATAATCAAATATATATTTTCACGGTTCTAGCCAAGGCTTCAATCCTTTCAATTAAAACTAATGTAAGCCATATTAATAAATAGTCACAGATATTTGACCATATACATCCATACGCCAATCCTCATTAGCTTGTAAAAAAAACTTTTCCAGAATAACCAAGCAATACATCAATAAAACACCATGATGATTAGTTTCATAATTTGTAATTTTATTTTATTTTTTCTTAGGAGAGTGGAGATATTTCGGCTTTGCACTCGGACTTATTGTTGTAGTATTGGGAACAGCTGGCAACGGACTTACAGTGTGGGCTTACAATAATAACAGAAATCTTCGAACTTCATTTAATGTTTTGATAGCAAATTTATGTGTTGTGGAATTAATATTTTCCCTCATCATCATTCCATTGCAACTACCAGGATATATAATAGAGGTGAGAATTCTTATTATCAACATTCTTTGTTTATGGACGCCAGGATTCAAAACAGAAAGAAGTATTGTTCAGTACTAGGCAACTGTTCTTCAAACACATTCCACAAAAACAACGACTCAGAAAATTTTATGAAGTTTTTCATACTGACATGACATTCCAAACAGTGCTAGTGTATAGGTTGATATTGAGCCAAACACCAAACTTTTTTAAATTCAAGATTGCCTTCTGAATTTCATACAACGAGAATGCGGTTGAGTAATGTACTAACTCTCAATTCGCACAAATGAACAATAAAATAGTTAGACGGCCTATTAGCCAATTACACACATGTTGATTACAGGATATACACTAAGTCGCTTCAATTTACAATTATTTTTATTGAACATTATACAGGGCAACTAAAATTCTCAGATAATCCCATGAGTATTCGACACCAGACAAATGTCTGGAACAAAAAAATCAAACAAGATAATAGATGGATTTCTTGCCTTTCCCCACATTACTTTAATCCATTATTCTCATGAATATTTTAGTAGTTTCTAAGAATAAACATCAATACAAGCTCACTTTGACAATCTGAATGACTTTGAATGTTTTTTCGAATCCTAATGCAAATGGTCTTTGAATTAGAATGGACTGAGTTTAGAGAAAAATCATTGATACAAGAAATGCGGTACTCCTGAAGTATGCGCACCGAGATGTAGCATAACCTGAACCCTAACCTGATACACAACCTGAGTTCAGGTTGTGCGCCATCTTGGTGCGCATACTTCAGGAGGTCCAGAAATTCATTACTTTATTTGGATAATGTAAAAGTTGACAGAAAAAAGATAACTTCGATTGTACAAATTCAAAAAAAATATCTTCCTCAATTTGAATAAATTCAAGTTTTATTTGAAAGAGGTTCTTCAGACATTGTTATCTTCAATTTAAAAGTAATTCACTATGAGTAAACTGTAGTATTTGGCAAAATATAATATGACTGGAATTTCCATATTCAAATGAATAAATATCCTTTCTTCTTTGATAAGTATAATGATAGATAGACCTATGGCACAAATAGAGTAATGGGACATACTCATCTTCATCTAACTTAACTAAACTTTATGCATACTCTTAGTAATTGTATTGTTATCATGCAAAATGAATTAGGTCACAGATTGAAGAGTACAATTTGCAATTCTTTTATGAAATAGACTGTGATAAGTATAAAGTGATTAACCGTCACAACTCAATAATTGGAATCGCCCACTCCTATTATCAACTTTCACCACTTTTTTATAGAGGCACAGATTTTATAATATGTAGGTCTAATTTAAATTGTTCGAACTCAGAATAAATAATGACTAAAAAGTCTAAACTAAAATATGAAAATAATAGTCTTCTATATTCATTCAATTTGCAAAAATTCTATTTTCAGGTTGCACCATACTCAAAAGCAGTTTGTTCAACAATTGGATATTTTTATTACAGCTTAATTGCAGCATCATTACAAAATCTCGTCTGTATTGCGATCAACAGATATATCGGTATTGTGGACACAAAAAAGTAAGTGGAGCATAATCATAAAAGTACAAATTGCTAGGGATGCTACTGCTAATTTATAAATTTCATGATAACCTTGTGAAACTTTTGCTTTCACAAACACAAAGGGAACACTAAAACGAATAAAGTATAACACAGTGACTGCTTTATAGAATTATTTTGTGTGGAAAAGTTAAAAAAACATGACTGAGGAATGCTATCGAAGTTCCTAACCCTTTGTTTATGATGCAAATAAAAACTTTTCAATTGGATTATACCACCAATCATAACATGATTTCAAAGTAATAAGATTATAATTTACCGTATTTTTAACATCACAATATGATACTTCCTAGCAAGTTGATATAGCAAAGAGGCCATGTGCGATCACAGGCCAGACATCTGCATAAATGGACTGACTTTTTTGTTTATGACGATTTATATGCATTTTGCTCCAAACAAGGCTCCGCACAAGCAGTCACTTCTAGGCAAAAAGCTACTGGAATTCAGACAGGCTGGAATGTGGAATCATTCCAATTTGACATTGTCTACCCAAATTATTACACCCTGGGTGAAGTGGTGGTACGGCGTATGGGATTTGGACCAGAGTAAGTCAGTCCATCGCACCCACAAATCTGGATAACAATATAGAACTTTAATAATACAGAATCCTGTTTCATTATATAAATCCTCTTCAATTTATACTAAATTGGGAACTAAAAAATGTAATTTTCAGATATCAAAAGTTATTCACTGGAAATCGTCTACGTCTCTGGGTAGCAAGTATTTGGATTTTACCATTATTGGTTTATTTACCAATTGTCATAGGTAAGCCGAATCATTTTATTATAATTACCGTATATATTGGCATTAATAGCATGCCGTGAGTTCACCAAAGTTTTCTTTCGTTTATAGGTGGTTCAATTAAATATAGAGAAAACACACTCAGATGTTCAATAGGAGGAAGTGATAGCATGGCAATAAGGTAAAATTAGATCAGTGTTTCTCAGAACCTCAGAGAAAGATTTTAAAAATTAAACAACATTTGATCAATGGGATGTCTGACTCTGTTTGATCTTTAGAATCTCAGCAATGCCAATAGTTTATGACATAGCACAGAGGTTGAGAAAATTCGGATCATAGAAATTTCAACTCCTTTTGAACTCGGAGAAAATTAAATTTCAGTAACAAAAACAATTGCATATTTGAGTCTCCTCAATTATAATCTGTTAAGAACTCTTAGTAAACTTGATACTTATTGAGTTTATAAAGAAAATTCTGACATTTATCATCACAATTAAAAGTAAGAAATTACCACTCCCCACTTTAGAGAACTCAAATTTCAAGTCCGGACTCCTGAGCAATTTGTAAATTTAACCGCGGTAAAAACATGACCCCTGAATCCACACCCTGCTCGATCTTTGTATCAGTTTCATAAACTCAATATTTCCTATTTTCAATATTCTCTATTTCAGCATATACAACATTATCTTAAACATCGTTTATCAAGCTGGAGGATTGTTAATACTGATTGGATTATATTCAGCTATTATACAACGAGTCAGAAAAGTTCAAAAAAAATTAAAAATCCACAAAAAAGCAAGTTTCAAGGCAACTAACAAAAGTAAGTTAACTTAGGCCTCGTAAAATCAATCGATAGTATGGAATTTACTTGGAATTAATAAATTTTGGTTGTGGATAGTATGCAAGAAATACACAACCTAGCAAGATTACGAACAAAATACCTTCACACTTGTACGAGGCAGCTTAAACATATCAAGCAATTTCAATTGACTTGTAAACAAGTTTGCCATAATCATATCATCAATTTATAATACGGATAAATAGCATCCATAATATCTAAACTACCGGTAGTTACTTCGCACGATAGTTCCAGACAATCCATGAAATATATGATGTTACTCATAGCCCATGCGTGCGTAACTTTACTATCTAACAACTTCCGCAAAACAATGTAAAACGGATTTGCTCAAACCAAGGTCCCGCACACTCAGAAACAAAGGAAATTTATTTCAGAGCAAAGTTACAAAGTGTGCCATTTGCGTGTAAGTAAATACCGATCGACGTGAGCACTTCAAGTCAATATGATCAGGAAAATAACTATTCACATAACTGAGGTTTCTGAAAAAATAGAAAGTCAATTATGATTATGAATATAACTGGGTGTAACTCGTGATATTGTTCATCTTGAAAACAGGTAAATTAAATGGATCGCAGAGTAAACCAAGGATCGAAATTCATACAACTCCTGTGACAACGAGTGGAGATGAAGGAATAGATGATTACAGACCTTCAAGTATAATAAGCGGTGGATTCCAATTCAGACCAGCAAAAGGTTTGTTTTTCAACAGTTGAAAATGTGAAATATAAAGGTTGATTATCGATTAAGTACAAGAGTTTAAAACTTGACTATGCTGGCATTCTAGGTTACACATTTAGGATTCAAATGCCATGCCTACAACATCACCCAGGGTGTGATTGGGTGTGCGTCGAATCAGAAAGATCTGAATCCAAAAAAGGAAACCTTCCGCATAGCGATATATATCAGTGGCCCTTGTACAGAGCCTCACTCAGAGTGAGAGTATTGAATAAGTGTCGCATAAAAAATCTTATGACATCATAATCCATGAAATGATGAATGAATCAATGGTCACATTATGGTCATATCCCCAATATACCAGGTCTTGTTTGGGCAGTGTTTTATTCAGTTTAATTGAAATGAATGAATGAACCCATTTTTCAAATACAGGTATATTTATTACAATTACTGGTTGTACAGTAGCATGAAGGTTTAATAATGTTTGTTCAAGAATGTTAATAAAAGGCCCTAAGAATGGCAAGTTTTATAAATCATCGAAACAATGAATGACCAAAGACCCGGGTATAATAATCACACCATGATGTCTAAGCATGAGTTCATACAGTAATATGATGTGAATCATTTTCAGGAGCAAGACATCATGATGCAGCAAGTGATTCAGGACACGGAAGCGATCATGACGTAACGAGTAACGGTTTGCTTAGCAAACCTACTTCAGGGCACACAAACTCTCGTGCATCTTACATGACAGCTTCTGATGAAGCATCACCAAAACCACAAAAACGAAGGCAATCTCTTTTTCAAGTTTTATTTCGACCGAAAGTCAAAGACGAAAAAGATACTCAAGGTCAATTAAGGACACCTGATTTTACAACTGATGATATGCCTGGACATTCACACGAAAGCCAAACACCAGGGTTCTCGAATGAACCAACTTCACCGCTCCCAGAGACAGTTCAAGAAGCAGTTGCAGAAGCACAAGTTATATTACGAGGTATGGAAGATAATAAAAAAGACATAAGACGAAAAAAATCGCTCAGTGCACCCACACTACCATCACTTGATGAAATTATGCAGACGTCACGAAAAAATTCTGCTGCTATTGCAAAAAACATTCCAGAGAAAGTTACCGAAGTAAATGAAATCGTCAGCCCTGATGTGTCCCCAAAACTTGTGCGAGGATATACAATCGGCAGCAAATACATAAGACATAAAAATCATGTCACAAATGGTGGCATAAAAGTGACAGCCGAACAGATGAACTTGCTAACTCCAGCAGCAATGAACCAACTCCGGGCAGTAGATAAAGCTTTGTGCACATCTATGCCAACACTTGTTCCTAATGTTGAAACTCCCCCACACACAAGGCATGGGACAATTGCGAGAAAAATTAAAGAACACAGAAGTAAAGGAAAAAGTAAATCAAGAAGTGAAAAAAGAAGACAAAAGTAAGAATTTTTATACTCTCAAATACATGCGTAAAAAAGGTTTCAAGCCTTTGAGTATAATATAATCATGTATGTGTGAAAATGACCTGTTTGGCAATAAGATAGTCATATATTACAATTACCTCATTCCACTATATATATATAACAATTAACAATGCTACAAAACTAGTAGCAATGCATTAACAACAATAAACAAAAGTTTGACATAGCAGAAAATTATTGAGATTGGCAAATTTAACCACCATTGAAGTGTTTGTTAGGCTTCTAGAGTTGTGAAAACGATTGGTAGTAGTAAAGGTTCTACCAGCAAGTGAATATAAGTTTTAAAAAAAGTTCAAATTTACAGAACTAACTAAATTACTAGTGTAACATGGTAGAATCTAAATTATTATATGCAATCTTACTCATATTTATCACTATATTATCAGGGTAAAAGCTGCAAGACGTCGAAATGCACGAGAGAGGCAACTTGTTTACAGCAGTCTTACTATTTGTGTAGCATTTGCATTGTGTATGCTTCCTTCAGCACTTTTATATACATTTCAGGTAAATTGCACAATAATTTTAGCATTTAGGTATTTAAATGAGAAATCTTGCAAATCCATTGTGTAGGCCTATTGATATTACAACATGCGCAGAATTTTGTGACATAGATAATGCCTAAACAAATCTTAATGTAGAATTAATAATATTATTCTATTAGATAAATCCTTTTAAAAGACTATTGATTTTCTATTTTTGTTTTTTGAGTAGGGAAAACTATTGTCCCAACAAATGACATTTTGACAACATTGACATTTATTGTTTGCCAACGTCTAAAATGTTTGACTTTAATTACAAAAACCTGACTTCAAAAAATTTTGTTCTGTTCTCTTAAACTCGCCTCACAAAACTACATCTGATTGCAGTTAATACCGACCCTCTCGGGAGAGAGGAGGGAATTTTAATTTGTATTTGCATACAATATTACTAATATGCTTTGATTGTTTAGTCTTATTGGAATCCTTTTTTACACACACATTATAAAATATTCAAGCTGTACAAAAGTCGAAGTATGAATTACACTAAACATTTGATAATGAGCCATCAAGGATTGATGGAAATAAGGTGGAAAATGGAACTTCCATATTGCATCCCAGAAAATTAGAAAACTCATTATTATTTTAGCCTATCTATGTCCATTGTCTAGTCACAATTTCAATATTTTTTAACAGACTCTACTTAATCTCAAAGTATCAGCTGCTGTTGTTCTCGTTGTTGGATGCATTTCATGGGTGCATGCTTTTGTAAATCCTTTCATTTACGGATACATGAATCACTTATACCGAAAAGAATATGGACAAATAGCGAAAGATATGGAAAAAAAGCTTGCATCTTGCTTCAAATGATTAAAAACAAATCATAATTAAAGCAGCTTGAGGCTGCAGAAGAAAACCAATGACCAACAACAGAGTTAAAGCAAGATAGAAGCTAGTTTAAGTAATGGACCGCAAAGTGAAAGCTTTACACTTTGGAAAGATGTCTAAAAGCACATTAGAACAAAATTGAATGGCAGAAAACAAGTCAAAAAAGTGGAATCACATTCGTGCCACACTTTCAACAAGAATGGCCATTACTAACTCTATAACGAAGGGTAAAGATGTCGTTCAGATTTTGTATATTCTTCTCATGAAAAACCCAATCTACAATCACACCACACTGAGAGAAAATGCAGTCATTCAAACTCTATTACAAATATCAATGAAAATGAAGGCCCAAAACGGTACTCAAGAATACGAAAGTACTGGATCTAGATTTTACAATGACTGCTATCTGCTATATACCGTCGATTGGGCGACATGCAAAATATCCATATGTAAAAGATGGATTGAATACTTGGCTTAGCAATCAATGAAGCTATGTATTATTAAACTGACTAACTGCCAACTCAGAATATTTAAAACTGACCTAAGATGAGAAATCATTAAGAATATACGTTACAAATCAATAATGAACTTTTTTGATTTACAATTCTTTAACATGAAACAGTAAAAGCTAAAAGCCATTACCAGCAAGAATGATAGCTGTCAATAGTCTGGTTTTATACCCCTATAAAATACCTGTGAATACTATTTCATTTTATTTCTTTGTTAATTATGCCTATTAAAATAAAACTATGCAGCTTATACTTTGCACAAATACACAATATTGGGGCATTGCATTAAAAAGTTAGGGTAGATTATAATCTTCTCAGAATTGGATTCTTTGCTTCATAAAAATGCACAAACATAAAATTTTGTGTGTGAAAACTCAAAAACCTTAAAACTTCCTTTGAGAAAGTTTAAACAAAATATTACAATTGCATTAAAACGTTCAACAACCATTATTTCTTTTTATTTTATATTTTCAAGCAATCATGTTTTGAGATTCTATCTTTATTTCTGTTTCCTCATTCTCATTTTTGAATAAAAAAGAAGCTAAAACTTGAGTTTTAATAGTATATTTGAAAACCACTAGTGAAAAGGATTTCTTTTCTAGAAGAGCAAATTCTGTACGCAATCTACACAGACGAAGTATCAATAAGTCAAGGCGTTCTAAAACAGAGCTTCTAGCAATAATGCAATCTGAAAGTTTGGGCTTACGAGTCTTATATATCGATTGGAAAAAATCAATGATTTAGGTATAACAAGATTTAAAACGGCGCTATTTTGACGTCAGTCCCGCCTAATCTAAATATCTTGATGAATAATAAATATTTGATACATTGTTATGTCATAGGATGAAAATGAAGAAATTCCTCAAAGATAGAACGTTGGTTTGAAGAAAAGCAGGAAAGTTTATTATTCGTATTAGTAATTTATTTGTACTTTTGTGTGATTATTACACGAATAATGAAATTAAAATTTACAGAAACTTAATTTAATGTTACTTAATTTATTGTTGGTGAAAACCAAGAAAATGGAGCAGTTTAGCATGCAAAAAAAAACAATACCTAGATAGTTATAAAATAAAAACTGATGGGTAACCAACAATACAAAAATATACAAAATGTCTTTGAATAATAAAAAAAAACATGCACAAAACAATAACAATTTCAGATCAATTTAAGGAATCATGCAAATCCCCCTGATATTAATATTATAATGTAACATATACAGATAATCAAACATTATTAGAAAAGTAACAAGCCAGTGGTGTCAATTCTTTAAGTTTGATTCCCAGCTCGTCATCAAAAATCACAGAAAAATTGGTTTATGGTGGAAACATGCCACATCAAATACATCAGTCATGACAAAAAACCACATCAAGGGAAACATTTATGATTACTTGTATATTTTCCATAGAATAGGTTCTAGAGCTTCCATTATTTCTTGATTTATTTGATGATTGACGAGGTGAAGAAGGAAGGTTTTCAGTGAAATTGTCTGTCATTGTTTTTACTTTACATCAAATTAGGACAACTTTAATCCATTGAAAGCAAGTAGAAAGAAAAATGAGAAATGAGATATATATAAAAATTACTATAAATATTATAAAATAAAAATTACTCAGCAGTGTGGCGCATCGTGCTAAGCGTTAGGAATACGCTCGCCAACGCATCTCTGATTACCCTTCGTGGGTTCGCAAGTTCGAATCCCACACGGGAATGGTCATGTGCGAGAGGATTGCTGAACTCCTCGCCGCCGTAATGAGGTTCATGTAACCGCTGGTCGGTTACGGCTTCCTCCACCATCAAGTCCATGCTTCTGAAAAAGCAAATAACTTGCTAACTAATCCAATACCAGACCTGGACTCGTAACCTAACGAGAGGCAGTGGTTCGCCATATTATGATTAAGTCCTCTTAAAATCGGCTTTCCTCTCCCAGGGATAAATATGTAAATCCTATCCCTACTCACCCTTGCCCAGAGATCAATGAACAACTGATCCTAAAATCACACCTGTACACTTACTGCCAGGTCATCCTTCATTGATTATAGTAGTGAACTGGTTAAAGGTGAAATTGAATTGTGATAAAATAAATCAGTCTCAACAATAAAGTTAACAATATAAATTAATATTAGTAGTAGTAGTAGTAATTAAATTAACAGTATTCAAATAATAATACACAACTAGTTGCAATTATAATTTAGTAATTGTATAAGGGTGGAAGGAGATTCTGAGAACACGGCACAGGTCAAGCATCAAAAATTAATAAACTGAAAAAATTCTTACATAATTCAGTAATTGTTCTCCAGTTTTCGTCTACTTGCTGTAAAAATATGAATCCAATCTACACCAAAGATTTACACAGATGATAACTTCATTCATCACACAAGCAGCAATTCTTTTTAAACAGTCAAATGATAATACAATACCGGGTACTGCACTACAAGCAATACAACCAACAAAATGAAATCATTATAGAAATCTACCGAATCATTTGCAAAATATATCAGCAAAAATATAATTATATTATAGACTAGCATAAGAATATTATTATTATTATCTTATGAATATTCAAAGTCCAAGGTCTGAAGGTTTATTTCAAATTACTGAAATCATCACTGTCAGATTGTAAAATTGACTTAAAGTTTTTGAAATTGGATTAAACGCCACCAGAAGTCATTTAACCACCAAATCAAAAAGAAAATCAATGTAGTCTAGGTTAAATCCATGCTACCATATGTCAGATAAATGCAGCATCAAAATATACAAGTATGATATCATACCCACGGAATATAATACCGGTACCGGTACCGGTATACCGTCAGACCGGTACCGGTACCGTATTTTATCTGATCACGAAGAACCCTTACTACTGTACTATGGTACTACGGCATTGTTCACTTATGGCCTACACATGGCTTATTCAAGTACGGTACTGACTGTTGATAAGCTTCGCATAATAAAATTGCATTGCTTTTGACAAAGAAAAACGAAACCGAAACCGGCGAGCGAACGACGAAAGACGTAAATAAAAGAAGAGAGATAGATTTATTATTTCGTCAACCAAAAAATACTTCACATACCATGGGCTTTTCCCCGACCTTTGACCTCCGAAAAATTATACCTATACTTTACCATCGCAAAAATTTCGGGCCTTATTTCAAGAGTGGTATCGCGAGTCGGCGCTTGTAAAATCGGGCATGTGTTTCAAACCATAATTATGATTCATTGCATACAACAATCTGTTTTTTTTCAATTACCGGTATAGAATTTTAGTCTAGTCTATCACAGCTATTTCTACACTAATTTTTTAGTACTGCAATTAAATTAACACTCCTAGGAAGTATAAGTACAGTATGAGTTTATTTCGACTCAATAATAAATAAAATGATTTATTATCAATAAAATGATTGGTAAAAAAAATAAATAAAAACTGATTATGAAATTAGGAGAGCAGACAAAACCTTAGATAAGGTTTAAAACGTACAGAATGTATACAAGATGAAAGGTTTTGCCAATAAGAAGTGGTACGTGTTCACTCACCTAAAATAATGGAAATATTTCACACACGCTCACACGCACCCACACACACAACCATACAGAAGTTATAAATTACATACGGGTAATTAAAAAAAGATAAATGAAAATTACTTGCCACACCATGTTAATAAATTTGTAACGTTTGCCACTGCCGAATTTATAGATTTTATAAATGGGAGTGAACAGAAGAGATAAACTTTTATGAAAAATTTATGAGTCAATTGCCAAACATTTCCAACCAAAGTTGCCAGAATTGGGTGGATGAAGAGGGGGGCTAGCTAGGGGTTCTCCAACTTTTGGTGTTGCGGAGCCCTTGACTATTATTCACGGAGCCCCAAAATAAATGTTGAAATTGTTACTTTCAGATTAATATTCCTGAGCAAGTTAAAAGTACTTTACTAAATTTAAATGCTGAACCTTTTTTAATAGGGTTAATACTAGTCATAGATAAATCTAAATTTCAAACATAAATTATATATACTAAAGCTGTAAATTTGACACTTGACTAACATACTAATACATTAGGGTTCGAATCTTTTCCCTTTTGACATTTTTGGAAGACTTATAAGGCCGCTAATAATGTGCGCGATTGCATTTTGTTACAATCGCCGATTATTTTCCTTAGCTTGGCGTGTTTTTGAACCTTTACCTTTAAACATCATCAAATGTCATTGTAATAATTTTTCAATAGGGCGACTGAGTTGAGTTCATGAATTGTCGCAGTTTTCGCGCGCTGTTCCGTTTTTAACTTTCAGAAAATATATGCGCAAAAGACTAGCAACCCTCAATTTTTTCCCGCGAGCGACATAAAATTTGCAGACCCCTGGGCCGTAGCCGATAGTCGGTCACGACTTTTTGCACATCCGAGTCCACGAATCTAAAACAAATGGCTGATTAATTCTATGGACTGGTGATCGGACTGGAGGCCATGGTAGGATGAGGAATCGAGGGTAAATTTTATCGAAGAATGTTATATATATATTATGTATTTTGGTGCAGGTCATCAGGCTGTAAGGATGAATGAGATGTACGCAAATCATTATCAAAAGTTTGGGAAAATTAACTTTGTTTTCATTATTTTAATGTGAAATGGGGTGAATTTCGGAAGTTAAATACAATAAGGTAGGGGCGGTAAGGGTACATGGCGGTTTTTGAGGAGGTAGAACCCTGGATTTTTTTCATTTCCGACCTCTTATATGGTAAAAAAGGGGTTTTCAGCCGTGCTACTATTGCTATCAAAACAATGAAATCGCCTTTCCATCAGTAAACGGGGTGATTTAAGATTGTGTCTGACGAAAATGTCACCTAATAATAAATAAAACTCGCTGTAGAACACCAAGTTCATCCATCTCATTAAAAAACACTATAAAATTGAGTTTTTTCCTTATTTGGTCTGTAATATATTCGTTTCTGACTTCACATTTTTTGTAGTGCTGGGGGGCGATGAAGTTGTATAAACCACTGTAGGGGGGCGATGGTACAAAAAGTTTGGGAACCACTGGGCTAGACCACTTCATTCCCCAAACTAGAGCCTATTATTTCCAGATTATAGTCCAGATTGTAATAAGTATTTAAAGGTACAAGTAACAGAATAAGTAATTATAATTAATTAAGGTAGGACAACGGGGAATAGGAATATGGTTTCCCAACCCGTGTCCGCGGTCTCAAATGAGTCCGCAACGAACCAGAAATTCACTGCGGGCCGCTTACGTATTTGCGAAACTTAACTATCAGCCACGGTACGATTTACGTTAGAATTTAGATTAAACATAAAAAGCAAGTTTATTCACATAACATTAATCGAGTCAATAGTTACTGGTTATTGAGTAGGGCTGAGCATATGTTCAACTATTAAAATAGCAATTTACTATTCGAAAATTTGGTAACAAATGACGCGACAGGTCACTTGCGCGTCGCTAAATCAAAGGATTGGAATTCACTACTCACTTGTGGATTTCCGACGGAAGCACGAGTCGGCACACGCGTCGATAGATACCTAAGTAATGCCTCTCGCGAGTTTAAACAACGTGGAATAAAAAAATTCTGGTAGGTGGCAACCCAAATTTTCTAAATTGAAAAGCGGCAATACTAAAAACAAAACGAAGAACACCATAAATTTTGTTTCATGATGGTCCGTGACCGATTAAAATAGCTTTTTTAGACATTCCAAATCGCAAAATTTCGGATGCTACCGTGGATTCTTTGCTTTACTGCCTCCACATTGGTACGTACAGTACTGTAGCACCGTAAGTGTTGTACCGTAGTAGTATATATTTACGGTTGTACGAACAGCTCAGATTTGTTGAAATCACAAAAATACGAATCAAAACAAAATATAATCTACCACGCATTTTTGTGTCCACGGATTGTCATGATATTTTCTGAGTAGTATTGATTTGATTTCGTCAACACAACCGCAGATTAAAATGATTACAATTGAATTAATATTAAAGCAAGGCGATGAATATGTATTTTGATTTACTAATATACTCTAAATATATTTTTAATAAGTACTAAATCAAGTTGTACTTTCTGGAAAATATAGTAGATAGTAGGATTTTTCTAACAAATTCGCAAGATCGCAAAAAAAGGTATCAAAACTAAATATAATCGGGCATTTTCAAAGAAGTAATGCTTTGTAATATTGTCGTAAGTCGACGCAACCTCGAGGTACCATGAACACAATTAAATTATAATAGAAAGACATTTTAAATACTCTTCGTTGTCATGGATTGAATATTGTGCGACAGAAAAGGCCATAATACACTAAAAAGTCGGCTCTTTTAACGAACGCGTAATTGTGGCGATTTCCGATTTTGAAATTCGGTAATATTCTGTTGTGTTTGGTAGTATTGCTTCTTCACATAGCGTACGGTTGCAATAAACGCACCTTGAGTCCCCAAAGGTGTCCGCGACCAAACAAGGTTGGGAAACACTGATTTGGATAGACGATGATGCTCCTTACCGTACCATCCTCTTGAGGGCGCACGAGTACCTTTTTTCTTCGTTGATTGTTTGCATTTTGGGCGCAAGTAGGATTTATAGGGATAGTAAACGATTATTGTTTTATTTTTGCTATATTTTTCAATCAATCAATCATTTTCGTGGACGTCGATGAAAATTTCTTTCTCGTTTAGCCGTAAGTGGAATAAAAGCGCCGTGACAGGTTAAAATTTGCACATCTGAGGATTAGCAAACCCCAATCCTGTAATCAGCCAATGCCACTAAATAGAGACAAGTCACGTTTGGTGACACACCGTAGCGTATAACCGTACGGAAGTAGCCAATAAGAAATCTGTAGGATGAATTTTTGCACGTGGTTGTAAACAAACGAGCACGCTCGTGATGGTTTTATTTTTGAATACAAAATAGAAATAAAGTAACTGACCCATATTCTGCTCATTGCATTGTGTGTTCTGATACTGCTGTGAAAGTATAAATATATTTTGATTCTCCTGCAAAAAAGCATACACAAAACGTAAATAATGAAGGCATAAAAGATAATACATAGCCTACGCCAGTTCACCCACAATCAACACACAAACATATAGGCTATTCGAAATAACAAAGACAAAAACTTGAACAGTGAACTTGTGAAACGTAAACACACGGTGGTCCCAATTAAATAGGTACCATTTGCGTCAAAATGGACATGATTGGACTGTGATTTGCGGCTTGTTTACACCAGATGCATATAAAACCAAACAAATAATTTTGAGTAAGTGAACAATTGAATTGCGAAAAAGCTCATTGTACCTCTGTACCTGTATTAGATGTAAACAATGGCAACAAAAGTAATAAATTAATCTTACAGTTAAATGTCTTTTGTGAAATTCTGTATCAGAAATAAAATCAGACGTGAGTGATGTAGCGCAGGTGCAAGTAGTTCAGTGTTTTCCATAGGTCAGTAGTTCTTGGAACTGTGGGAAGTATGTAAAATTGCAATGACAGATCAATCAATCAAGTTTTTATTTTTCCAACCAGTAAAAAATAAATATATAGCACAGGCACAAATTACAAGAAAATAGTACACAGTTTTACTGGGGAAGGGAAGTCGCGGGGAACCAAAAATGGTTATCGAGCAGCGACACCCGAAGTACCACTGTTAATATTGGATGAACAATAAATAAGGTGAACACTAAACACAATTAATAAGCTAGCCAGCACGTACAGTAATGTCAATGTAGTCTATAATATTCTATTGTTTTGCTGTCCACCGGAGTGTTAACCATTTCAGCATTTCAAACTTTTGTCTCCAGGTATCCCATTTGTTTCAAATTTTACGAACCAAGTTGTTATCTTTGAAGCCTTTTCATAGGGGTCGATACGTCCACCACATACCAAACCAAATGTTTTTAAGCAATAAATGAAGTTATTGGATACTATTTTACCATCAGTATCAGATAGAGCTTCTTGTCTGCACTATGAATGATTGGTATTGAGAATGTCCTCTTTTCCTAATTTTGTTACCTGCTATAAAGTTTGTTTAGGTTTTTATTCCAATTCAAGAATGCAACAAAGCTTTTAGTGGTGATTTGCGGATAGTCATAGATTGCTGTTTCAATGTCTTCATTTGGACGTCTACTACCACAAAGTGATATACATTCATGATGTTTCCTATATTTACTTTTTTTTTTCAAAGCATATGTTTAAAACAAATATAATATTTAAAATTAGTTATTATATTGTTATTAAAATAATATTCTGGATTGGCATTTTGTTTAATCGACATGTGGCACTTGAACAAAAATAAGACTTGTTTAAATATACTACTGAAAACTTTCTAAAGCAACATAACAAATTTTCTGCCTTATAAAGTACAATATCTATGAATATACATTCTGGGCTACATATTGATCCCTTTTACTTTGATTTTCACTGTGTCTTCAAATTACTAAATGAATTGATATTGGTACTTACAGATATATAGATTTAATTGAGTCAAGATGTCTTCTTCTAGTGAGGATGAGGAGCCAATTGTTATGCCGGTGAAACGTGTCAAGCGTCGCCATCATCCGATAGCTAATGTTGACCCAAACAAACAAAAAATTAATCTTTACTCCCACAAAATTCTTCCTAAACTCGATGCATTAGCGAAAAGTCCTGTTAGACTCAGTAAAGACGATGAAGACGAGGGAAATGATTTTGTTCCTTTCAGCATCAGCCCTGTTCGATCGTCACCAGATAAGTCAAAGGCGGCAAGCTCTTCCCCAACGTCAGGGTCACCAGTAAGAAGCGTGTCAGACGCAAGTCCGATGAAGGATGTCCCACCAACCCCTCCTCCACCATTCGTTCCACAAAAGAAGCGAGGGAGTAGAAAAGCCAAAAAACTTTTGAAGGAGGTGTCAACAGTCTTGTCACAAGTCTCAAAAAATGACACATCACAAGATTCAATAACAATACTTGACGATTCTATCGAAATCGTAAAAGAGATTATGGTCAAGATTCGTCTTCATGGTAAACTTCAAAAATATCCTATGGTGGAGAGCCAGACTTTTCATGAAGTTTTTGATACGCTTGCAACGAAAGCCAAAGTTGATGCTTCACGATTACTCGTAACATTCGGGGACCACAGAGTGTTTCCAAGTAACACACCTGCTGAAATAAATTTGACTATTGCAGATATATTAGAATGTGTAATTGCTAATAGGAGACTTGCTCCCGACGTTAAAGACACTATAAAAATTCAAATGCAGGGACCGTTTCAGAAAAGGAAGGTATCATTCACAATGGGACAGACGGAGCCATTCCTAAGTGTTATGGAAGAATATGCGATTAAGAATAAAGCAAATGTACAGGAGTTACAGTTCAGGTTTGATGGGGATTTATTGGAGAAAACTGCAACGCCGAAGTCTCTCGACATGGAAAATGGGGATTGTATCGACGTGATGCATATGAAAAAGGGATGACAGATATAAAACATATCCGATTTATAATGTATTGGAATTAGTTCCAGGATGATAAAAAATGTGGAATATTTTCCTTGCATCCAGTCAAAACATTCTGCATGGACAGGACAGCCATTCCCACGCATTTATGAACTGTGAGATACCGTAAGCACCATGTTTTACGGACCATGAGGCGCAATTCAAATCCTTTTCTGTCACAAAAATCAATTGTGCGCCTCATAAGTTGATACACTCAATGCAAGACAATATTGCTTTGAAAGCTGTCGTGTCTTATAGCCTGATGTGCCATATGTATGAAGAAAAACCCAATCTAAGCAATTTTTGACAGTACACCCTATAATACGGTGCTGCGCAATATGGTGCGTAAAAATAGGGTACTGTCTAAGATCGTTATATGCGTTATAGTACCACGCAAATCATCATGACCCCTTTGTCTATCTTCAATATACCATATAAACTCGTATGAATTGATTTCAAAGTCTGATTTTATTAGTGTATTACATTCAATTCAATATATATAATTGTATCAAACGTCAAATCAATGCCAAACGGTATTTTGCAATTGAGAGATGATTGAAACTAGTTGTGTAGATGTTGTTTTACTATGCTTTGTGCCACCTATTTTATTCTTCAGTTTTAATACTCAGATATCATATATAGCAGGGTTGGCCAACCTGATTTCGACCAAAATCTTTAAAATAGCTCGCGATCGGTAATAAGGTCATACATAAAAACGAATGACTACTGAATATGCAGATAACTGGACAGCTGCACACTCCTATACAAAAAAATTCCACCGTTGCAAATATTCTCGGTTTAGTGCGTGCATTTTTAATGGAATGTCAAAAAAATTTGTATTTTTTCTGTTTCATTTTATTTGTTAATTTGGTTATTCAAATTTAAGGCCTGCCTAATTTTTAGTCATAACCTTGACAGAAAACCTTGCAAAGTAGCGGTATTCGTGTGTTATCTAAACAGCGAAAAAAAATATTATTCTCAAACCATAAATGTTACGTGACTGATCGCTCGCTTTGAACTAGGAAAAAATTGGCATTCTGATGCCGTTGCAAATACACTTTACCACACTATTCTTGGGGTGAGAGTGAGACAATAACTTTCGCATACCGCAGAAGGTATTGTGGGATCTTTCTCGGTCAAAACATACGATATTCAGCATTTTCATTTCTAAACCTTGGCAACGGTGAAACTTTCATTTATTACGTATTAATATGCTCTGTCAGGCTTGCCCGGACTCATACATTGTATGTGTGTAGTTTGAGCATGTATTTGTTCTGTTTTAAAACACACATAAGGCGCTGCATGGAACTGTTTCAAGGCAACTTGGGGGAGGGGTATGTTATTACATTGACTTGAACATCAGACCCCGTGTTGGCCACTCCTGATTTATAGAGTACCGGTACTTAACATAAAATTGAGATAGCTTTTGCATGCATACTATTGAAAATTGGGAGCTGTGCATTTTTACTCATTATGTTTGATAGTGGAACTCCGGATTTAAGAATTTCTCTGGGGGGCCTATTTGTCCCACGAGCCACATGTTGCACACCCCTGCTATATAGCAAGACTGAAATTTACAATCTTCCCCAGCCCACACCAGCTTATTCACCATCATGGTGTGTAACTCGAAGCAATTTCCTGGGCCTTTAACTAAAATTAGAAAGAATACCAAAAAGCGACAAGCAAATTTTCTCTATCAGATCTACATACCGTACTTTTCAATACGCCTCAGAGGAACCTGACTTTTTTTTCATGGACACAAAGTGGACCTATAGATCGTTTCGTTATACTTTTTAATGTTGTTATTGTTGTGAAAAAAAAGCTTTTCTTTTTAACTACTGGACCAATTGCTTTGAAATTGTCAGTGGTCATATTGTTTTGTCGCTAATCAACATTTTGAAAGTATATAAGACTTTTTCAGCAGAAAAGTATATATCTTCCTATTAGTTCCATATAGCCTTTGTATAATAAATCCATATTATTAGTTTTGAATCTGATTTTAAATGTTGGCTTGATTACTACCTAATGAAACCTTTCAGATGAAAATAGAATTACCGGTAAATTCAGTTTTTCTTCCGCTCGTCTCATATTGAAAAGCGATTTCATACAATTATTTTATATTTTGCACTGTAGTACGGTTTGTGTTTCAGCTTTTTTTAATTGTTTAATTAACAAGAATATTTTCATGTGCTCTGGTAAATGTTTAATACATAAATGGGGGAAAACATTATTCAAGAAAAACATTACATTAATGCTTTCATAAGTGCAGCTGCAGGTAATCCGCTGTTTACATGTGTAGGATGTTTTGTCATTTCCACTAGACTAAAGGATAGGATTTTGAGCAGAAAAACCAGACAGCTATGGACTATCAAGCACTGTTGATTGAAGTTGTACTGCAGCTCAATGCGCAAACCATCGAAACTGAACACAGTTCTGAGTTGCAGCCGACTTCACAACACTACTATTTACACAAAAGTGAATCGCAAGGATGGGTAGAGAATCCAGAGATATTTCTATATAAGCAGGAATAGAAAATTAAGTACAAAACCAGAACATGATGGTTAGTGACTTGACATTTGATGTCGCTAATGTAATATGCTAAACAGGATTAAAACCCAACGGTTATGAGCAGGAGGGAGGGGAGGACTCCAAGATTGCTGGTTGGGATCTGGCAGGAATGATTATCTGACTGAACTGGTAATACTAGTTGTTCACCATATTGGTAAGGCAACTTTTAATTAAGACTTCCTATCCACATGTTGTAAAAAACAGAAATGGCTCGATAAATTCGGATTGAGAGAGCAACATTGCATTAGAACTTCGTTATGTGATTTAATGGAAGATAGAACAGACATGATCTTCGATGGAGAGCAACTCGTAACATAAGTAGCGCTTTGGTCAACAGAAGTCGAAGATTGCAGATTTACCAAATATAATACGAAGTACAACACTATCATAAAGGTCACATTATGGTTAAATTTTAGCAGAGAAAAGCAGAATTACATCGTATAATGTATAGGTTGTTAGAACCCATACTTGGACTGTGTTTGCTGCTTTGTTAATCTATTTTGTGCCCAGGAATTCTTCAACTCAATTTCTCTTGCCTTAGCTTGATGTACTAAATATGAGAGCTGATGTTTTCGTTTAAGAATACCCCCCGGCGCATTAGTTTTCTTTTTACTGTGAGAAGTCCGATTCATATTTTTCTCTTCAGATATTTGTTTGAGCAATAGTTCTTTGTTTCCCTCGAGAGCATCATCTGCACGAATGTCTATAAAATTTATTTCCTCTTTGCGATTTCTTTTGCCTTGAATCCGCAAAAATTCATCAGTACTATCACCAGCTGCCATATCGCTTTGTTCTGGCATAGGTTCTTGTTCATCAAACTGTGTGTGGTAAGGAATATTGTCTTGTGCGGGGTGATTATAATTGTAGTCTGGTGCCTCAGATAATTCAGGTTCAGTATCTATCTCAGGTAAGTCAATTTCGGGTATCTCGCTTTCTGGCAATTTTTCAACATAACTAAAAAATCCAACTGGTGCAATATCATCACTGTCATTTTCATCCGATGATGTTTTAGCAGCAACCTTTGTAGAAAGGAGTTTAGCAGCTGCTTGAGAGCTCCGTCGCCGAATCTCTGCAATTGAGGGGACTGTACTTGACGTAGTACTACTACCTGTCTTGTTGTCGTCATTTTGTGTAGATGTGGTTGTCAGTTTTTTGGGGGGTGGAATATCCTTTTTCGGCTTAGAGAATACATATGGCACAAAAGATGTATTTGAATGTTTTCCTGTAGAAATAGCATTTACAGGAGGAGGCAGTTTTGCAAAAAGTCCTGATCTAGTTTTGCTCGGTTGGAGTTTCTTTTTTGGTGGACCAATCTCTGATTCATTGTCAGAATCATCAGAGTCTAAAACCGGTATTTCTGGAGCACTGATCCTGATGGATCGCTTTTTTGATGATACAGGAGTACTGCTAAATAATGAAGTTGGACCTTCTTTGCCTATGGGCTTTGGTAAAATGCTAGATAGCTTCAATGTTGAACTGGTATGGCTATCTGCTGATGATGGAGTCGATATTGCTGGCACAGGTGTCTGCAATGAAAACAAATAACTGTTATGCTTAATCAGTTACACAAATTTACCTGCATGAGTATATTAATCCATATAATATATCATTTAAATTCTGCTTAACACCAATCAGAACTTAAGCCAGGCAAAGAGTGTCATAAAAACTAAGAACAGTTGGGACAATGATTGGCAAATTGTCTGCACAAGAGGCCAAGGTTCATCGAAAGATTAAATTGACTTCCATCTCCCCTGGGATAAATATGACAATGTGCATTCTGGCAGACGAGCCTACACTTGTCTTGTCTACACTTGTACACTACCGTCATAAATGCTTTGAGTTTCATTTTCATCATCTTGCAATTATAAATAAGACAAGAAGAAGAGATAGGCCCTATAGGTTTTTAATTTGAACAATCCCAATTAGAACAAGAATTATGTGGTATGTTAGTGAAGAAGTGCTGATTTTGAAAAAAACTGGAGCTATTCTGACATTGTCATGGCCTAGCCAAGTTCAGAATTTATTACACACTCAGACAATGTACCGTATACTGGTATAAGCCATGCCTTGTACAATAAGTAAAAAAAAATAAAAAAAAGTATCAACAAACCTCATTATCGTCGTTTTCGCTTTCTGAGCCGCTACTAACATCATACCCTACGAGCGACATTATTCTGCGATTAGTAGTTTTAATAATAACATTCTAAAAGCGCCATAGAACTGGACTATGAAATGCCTTCGAGGGCAAAATATTCAGAATGGAAAACGATTTACGGAGCTCAAAATTAACCGGCAATACTTTCAGAAAACACGACGCAAGTGCTTCGAAGACAGCGTAACTTTCGTATAGTCACTTAAAAAATATGAAAATTCGGGCAAAATGGAACCAGATCCACGAAAAATTGCTCACATGTGAAAGGCAATAATTTTGCAATGATTTCAGTTCCGAATTCAGAGAACGATTATTCATAACATAAACAACAGCTGCATACGGAACACAAATTCATGCGCAAATGCTACCCATATTCGACATTTCTTTTTCGAGAAGGTGTACTATGATAAACCTGGATAAACTGAACATGGCACCTCTACTGATTGCAAGATAAAGTTGCTAAAATTTATCTATGAGATGACGTCACAAGTATCACATCCATGGTCCATCACCGAAGTTGCTGTTTTTTTATTATTTTGTTAAAAAGTAAAAAAAAGGTGTTTTTTTTCAAACGTATTCGATGAAATAAAGACGCCAATTTACCCCCATACCCAGTCTGAACAAAATACCAATATATCATAAAGTGATTGACATTTTATGACAATGAGATATGGTAGCTTGGAAGAGCTCATCGAAAGCGATCCATCAAATTCTGTTTACATTTCCATGTCACTGCGTCAACAAGTGTGAGTCGATAACCAAGCGAAAAACAATTTTAACCCTGTCTTGTCGATGTACAAAGTCTGAACATATATAATATTAATTGGGACATCGATTACTTATTTGTCCTGCAGCACCGGGTGGTGTGTTCGGTTTAAGGTGATGAGTGTAATCTTAACGGTTGGGGCCGCATTTTGCGTGAATGCGCTATCGGTTGGTCCTATGAAGTCGCTGGGTGTATTCTTTATTCAATATGAAAGAGAGTTGGGTGCAAGTGCTGGACAGGCATCACTCGTGACTTCGTTGCTTTATGGAGCATTCTTTCTCAGTGGTAAGTGGAATCATGTAGTATATTATGTTGTGTGTGTCGCACAACCGTATTCAGCTCAGGGGCGCACTTTTAGTAGTATCTCATGACCGCGCAAAAGGCTCATTTCGTTGTTGTTTTATTGTCGTGCTAATTGATAACAGTACATGATTTTGAATCCACTGAGAAAGGTATAGAACAGTGTTTCCCGACCCGAGTCCGCGGTCTCAAGTGAGTCCGCGGAGCGTTTGAATGAGTCCACAACGAGCCAGAAGTTCACTGCGGACGGCAGACGTTTTTGCGAAATTTAACTATCAGCCAAGTTAGGATTTATGTTAGAATTTACATAAAACATGAAAAGCAAGTTTATTCACATAACATTAAACGAGTCAATAATAACTGGTTACTGAGTAGGACTGGGCATATATTCGAATATTCAACTATTAGAATAGCAATTTACTATTCGAAAATTTGCTAACAGACTACGCGACAGGTCACTTTGCTTCACTGCCTCCACATTCAGACATTGGTACAAACAGTACTAGAGCGCAGTAATTGTTGTACGAACAGCTCAGATTTGTCGAATTCTCAAAAATACGAATCAAAACAAAATATAATCGGGCACTTTACCACGCACAGATTGTTATGATATTTTCTGTGTAGCATTGCTTTTATTTCGCCAACACAACCGCAGGTTACAATGATCACAATTTAATTAATAATAATAAAGCAAGGCGATGAAGATGTTTTTTCGATTAGCCAATATATTTCAAATATATTTTTAATGAGTACTAAATCAAGTTGTACTTTCTGGAAATTTATAGCAGATAGTAGGATTTTTCTAACGGTGATCACGAACTCGCAAGTTCGCAAAAAATATGTTTCAAAACTAAATTTAATCAAGCAATATATTCTCACATTATTATGTTCGCAGATTGCCGTGGCATTTTGAGGAAATAATGCTTTCATCTTGACGTAAGTCGACGCAACCGCGACTCACCACGAACACAATTAAATTAATATATAAAGCCATTTTAAATTTTGGTTGTTGTCATGAATTGAATATTGTGCGACAGAAATGCAATTATATTCTAAAAAAGTCGGCTCTTTTAACGAACGCGTAATTGCAACAAATTTTGAGTACGATTGCAATAAACTCACTTTTGAGTCCGCAAAGGTTTTCGCCGATGAGAAAATAGTCCGTGACCAAAAAAGGTTGGGAAACGCTGGTATAGAACCTTAGCATGGCCCCTTGTGTGCACATAATTATAAATCAATGACTGAGAAGTTCAATAATAGTTATGAAGCTATAGACACGTGCACAATATCTTTCCGAGAATACTCTGAACAAACATGAGTAGAAATTTATAATGCCGTTCTACGTATACTTATCGACCATTTTAACAACCTCACTTTAGAGTGGAATACCTCTTTTATTTAGTTGAGTAACAGCTATTTTATCGCCTTCCAAGTTTTTTTTACTATGATCATACCAGGCCTGTTATTGTTTGTTTTTAAGGGCCCTTTGCAACCATTTTGGCAAATCGTTTTGGATTCAGGCAAACAATAATATTCGGTACAATTTTGGCATCCGCTGGTTCCATAGGGTGTTCATTCTCTCAGCACATTGCAGTCGTACATGCAACCATTGGAATTATGACAGGTATTTCTTATATATATACTATCTCCCTTATATGTCATTTATTCGCGTATATATGTAATAATATAGTTTCTAGGTCAACTATGTAATGTGATATCCGGAGTTTACATTGGCCAGTATTACATTCATTCCAGTCGCCGTCGATTGCACAAACACGTTATTGTATTATATCAGGCGATATTTTGCTAAATTACAATTGGGGCTAGCTGCTGACGCTTTTACGGCGAAAATGACGGGCGATATGTTTTTCTGGAGATAGATTGATAGAAGTTTATTCATCATCCAGTCATTAGCCAACAAATCAAACAAAAAACGGCGATCCCGGAATATGTGCACCAAAATGGCGCACAACCTGAATCCTTACCTGGTACACATACTATGTTCATGTTGTGCTCCATCTTGGTGCACATACTTCTGAAGGTCCCAAAAACACAAGTAATAGCACTCAATAAGTAAAAGAAAACAATCGAGTAACAACGGAATTAGGAGGTCGGAAGGACCATACGGCCACTAAATCAAAACAACTCTCCGGGCATGAAAAAGGTTGACGGTTTACCTTTTATATTATACCAATTATAAATCATGTTAATTCGTTGTAACTAATAAACATGTAACAAGAGTAATGTGACACATACTACTTCTTACTTCTGATGTCCCGAAGTTCGGTATTAATAACTAAAATTACCCATTTTGACATTAAATATTTCACTATATCATGTTTAGAACGCAATTCGAAAAGAATGCATTTTATCCGTTTGCATCTAAATTAGGATTAGAGTGAGCGTTAAATTGATCTGGCCTCAGGGTACATTTCACATCTTTGTTTATTTTGTTAAAATATACGTTTACCTTTTTACAGGTGTTGGATTTGGTCTTGTCAATGTACCGACTATAGCTCTAATCGGTATACGTTACAAAGAGAAGCGATCATTCTTTAATAACATTGTGACAATGGGGAGTGCTTTAACCGCGATACCTCTATCGCCTTTAGTTCAACTGTGGATCGACGTCTATGGTTGGAGAGGAGCTTTTCTTTTAATCGGCGGTGTTATTTTGAATGTAATACCAAGTTGCCTACTCATGATATCCGCGAAAATGAACAAACAAATTGCACCTGCAAAACGAAGGCTGATCGACTTGAGTCTACTCAAATCTATAACTTTCCCTGCATATGCCGTGGCTGCCGGTTGTGACATGGCGGCAATGGTTGCAATCACTGTGTATTTAGTTCGATTCGCTCAGGATCGAGATGTTGGTAACTACATTGCAGCGTCTTTATCTTCAGTAATATCAATTGTGGATTTGACTTTGCGACCTATTTCTGGCTATATAACCACGTTGACGAATATAGGTCCTATACCGATACGAAGGACATACTACTTCTGTGGCGTAGCTTGCATACAAGCCCTTGTTGTGATTATATTTCCATTTACTCAAAGCATTTACGCTATTGTAGCTGTTACAGTCGCATATGCCGTGAGTATATTTTCATATTTTTTGTTATTGCTTACAGCTGTTTAGGTTTCCTCAGCCTTGGTATTGGTTGCACTAAATGTCATTCCCAAATCGGATTCACAAAATAGCTGATTGTGTTGCCGAGGGCTGACAAGTAGCTTGAGGGCTCTTCTGAAACTTATACTTTTTAACTTAAGTCCCCGCATTTACGATTCGAAATTGGATCGGAAAACAACGGTTCTAGACTCCAGAGCAGACATGGGCAAAGTACGGCCCGCGGGCCAAATCCGGCCCATTGGGTAATTCAATCTGGCCCGCCTGATGCTGCCACAACCAAACTGAAATCAAATTTTGATATTTTAGCTGAAATAACTCAAGAAATTTGTTGACGATTGCGATTAAATTCAGTTTTGGCCAAGACTTATTGTTTCCACCTTTGCTTTGTAGTACTGAAAATGGTGTTCATAAAATGTAACTTTTCACGTCACACTTTCATGGCCCGCCAGTCTAAGTACACACATTTTTTGGCCCTTTGTTTGAAAAACGTGCCTTCCCCTGCTCTAGATAAAGTGTTAATTATGGTACAAATCGGCTAGATTTACAATAACTGGCAATTGTTTTCTATATGTGCTCGAGTTCAGCATAACTAAAACACTTTCACGCCTTACATTACAGATATGCATTGGATTGCGAGGCGCCCTTTCGATTACTATTCTCTCAGATTTATTCGGAACAGACAAACTCGTTAGTTCGTTGGGACTCAGAGCGTTCGCAGTGGGAACTTTTTCAGCTGCCACCCCTCCACTGATTGGACGCATTGTGGATTCAACTGGGTCATATGATGCGCCGTTTTACGCAAGTGCGGTGATGTCTGTCATATCAGCTATTTTGGTATCTATGGTACAGATAATCATACTGAGGCGGGAGAAGGAAGCCGCTCGAAAGACGAAATCCATTAATGTGGATGAAACTGCAGAATACAAACTGTGAATACAAACGTTTTCCAAAAATCAGGAAACGACATTGAAAAGGTTGCTACTCCATAAAATAAAAATGTTTGTAGTACAGCGATTTAAATACCACCCTCATACGTATTTGTATTCTGTGAAAACATAAAATTTATTCTGTTCATGTTAATATCCAAATGTGTTCATAAAGTTGGCTCAATGGTGTAGAATTCACCAAGAGAAAAAATACACATAGCGGATGATAGGCTTTAGTGATGGTAGTCGCATAATTATATTATCTGTTATAATTATATTATATAAAATGTAAGGCAATCTCAACTCGGTTTCCAATATATTTTTCAATTTGAATGTATTTTTGGAAAATTATACTACATTTGTAATTATTGGAAGATAGAGTTTTCATAAATTGAAATATGCCACTCTTGTTGATGTTTTTTGATGATGGGTAATATATATTGTTATTATTTTTCAAACGCAGATTTGATTTGTGTCTATGATGAATGCACAGCGTTCAATAAATTCGAAGACTTAATGAGACTCCAGACTTATATATATACAAAATTACTCAACTTTAAATCTGCCTCGGCAATCCGAAAATTGAGACTTGACTTCGGACTGAAAAATAATTTTGGGCGATTCATTGAGGACAGTTTCCATGTTGACGTTGAATTTAATATGTTATTCACACTTGTGTTGCATAAATTAAAAACACAATAGCTTATATTAGCAAACATCCAAGTTAAATTATTGCCCGATTATTTCTACTTTGGTTCTCAAAATTGCGTTAGTTAATCGTTAGACAGTGAACTTTCACGTCTTATTCCTCGGCGCGTCTTTTGACTATGCGAACCGCTGTTAAAATCCACTAAAACTGACTTTTAGCCGCAGGGCCGGAGTTTCGAGATTATACTGGGGCCGAACGAAAAGTTTGGTATACCCGAGCAATAGGACTTGCATCCAACTCCGGAGAAGATAAACTAATTGTATATAATTTATATTATTCATACCGCTGACTGAACCGATCGACCGCTGGTCGGTTTCATTTTGTTGGCAACTGGCAGTCGGTAAACAGTGCAAGAGTTTAATCATGAACTGTAAGCAAGTTGTCAAAAGTCAAAAAAACTAGTGGAAGTAAGATTGCTCGGGGTTTGATATAGATCACAACGGCCATCTTAATTTATATCATACGACTAAACTTTTCAATATATATATATTAACTTTGCTTTGCCACATTTTCTATGCTACAAACCGGTTTTTTATTTGATTTGTATTTAATAAAAATCAGACTCAATTACGCAAACATAATTAATACGATAGATCAAGACATTAAATTGTGCTACGATAGGCAGAGAGTTACAGTATTTCTGATATGAATATTAAAATTCAACCTATATCTCGTACTGGAATTGGATGTCAACATTTCCAAGTGCAATTTTAATATGCTCATCCATTTTTTCTGACTGGGCAACAGAAAAATAATTTTTCCAGTCTCCAACACCACCCTTTCGGAAAAATTTGATCTTTTCCAAATCACTGCCGGTCGCAGCATCTTGCATTACTTTAAACGAGCAACGTTTTTCAATTCCAGATATTTCAGCATCTGTTCTTTGCAGGCCGAGAAATTCAGCAATATCACGAACAATGACTTTAAAGTCTTTTTTCAGTTCTTCATATGCAATGAATTTTATAAAATTTTCATCTTTATATTGCATCCAACTTTTAATATGGTATGGATACCATTGTCCAGCAGGAACACCAGTCCATTGCTCGCCCTGCAACATTTGCTCAAGGTATTTATTGAAGTCATCAGTCTTCAGATTACTCAGTTCTGGGGCACAGGGAATATTTTGATTAAAATTAAAAAACGACACCAACGCGTCTTTTGGATTTCGGTAAACATAGATAACTTTAGCATCGCTTGATTTAATTTTCTCAACATTGATGAGCTCCGAAGGTAGATGTGTAAAATATATTCTAGAGCACGGTAAAGCATCCGCAACGGCGAACTTTGCCTCGGGTGGGCCGCTTTCTATTGCAGCCTGAGCACCTAGTATACCCTTGCCTCTTGCATTCATAATCTCCAAGTAGTTTGGATCTCGGATAAATAAAAGTTGTTTCACAATCGCGCAGGTCCATGTTGTTCCACACTTGGGATAACTTGCTACGAAAACATCTCCTTTACGTGGTGTCCAATGATCATAAGCATATTTTGCGGCATCCATATTGAAATTTGGTATTCCTCTAACATTTTTCCATACTTGAGGTTTAGGCTGGAAGGTTTTTTGAAATTCTTCAACTTCCTTTCCTTTCTTTTTTATATCATCCGGAAGAGAGCGTAGAAAATCTTCCATTTTTAGTTTGACGCAGAAATAAATCAAACGAATCTAATCAGTGCTTTGTGTATCGTAAAAAAACTAAAATCTATCACGCTCTGTATGATGTATAATACAAGAGAATTATACACAAAATGGACCTTTGGATCATTTTGCTAATTTCTTGTTGCTGACTTGTTTCGGAAAAATCGTTTTTTATCGAATTAATAATTTTCAATTTTCAGTACCAAATTTAGATGATGCGGCCAATTGAGGTCTATTCCGTTTTTTTCAAATACCGTCAGAGTTATACAGGATCCGTTATTCTACTCGTTTGGGGTGGTGTTGGCTACAATACATAATAACACACTATAGGCGTGAGATAGAAGCAGTTTTGACAATTCAATTCTGAATTTATATACAGTATATCGAATTCTTAGATGATTTCCCACCTATTTTTGATTGATTAGTAGCCTTTTTGAACAATTGAAACTGCTTATTTTGATAGTATATTTGCGAGTTAGAACGTAAAAACAGTTTTAAACATTCAAAATCATCATTTAGTACAAAAAAGGGTACTCCCGAAGTATTTGAACCAAGATGGCGGACAGCGGAACGTAGTATGTGTACCAGGTTAGGGTTAGGCCATAATTTCAGGTGCAAATACTACGGAAGTCACTTGGCTAGTCCCCGAACTCGTAATAGAACTAAAATAAGGAAAATTGGAATGAAATTATGGCCTAACCCTATCCCGTTACTAAGGCTGCTCTGATTAGTGATTACTGCAACTAAGCATGAATATTTCTGAGAACAAAAAGTCTGCTGAGTGCTGAGATATCTTGTTTATACCCAAATGCTTGTACAAAAAAGATTTTCCAATTTTAGTCCTCAAAAATTAGTTACCTGTATAAATTTTCTAAGTCAACCGCAGAAAGTCAAAGTTTATATCTACACTTATGTATTCAGTTTTGCCTTTTCATAAATTGTATTGTACGAACGGCAAATACTGATTCTGCTACGATTAAATACCCATACGCATTCATTATGCAGATGCAGTACTGGGGAAAATAAACGTAGATTGGCTACACGCAGTGCTGTAACACTTCCAACGCGCTTCAGGCTTTCCAGTCAAAGAGATGCTTCGGTCTAATGATTTCTATGTGAGTCAGTCGGCTGACTACTAAACGCAAAATAGTCGATCTATTCACGCGCATTGTAAACAATGACTGTGCGTTATTTAGTTGTAAAGACTGCATAATGATTGATGTGGATTTTTATACTCCAACTACTTATGCCTGCAACGACGTTTACTGCATGCCAATAAGGTTTATGACGTAATATTCCCGCCTTCAAACACAGACACAGCGTTGCGTATTTGTTGACGTCTGGCGAGGATATTTCCAATGAATGTGGCAATGTATGTTTTAATATATTTGGGAATTGATGTCTTAATTGATTCGATATGTTTTCACTGTGAGCTTTCATGTTGCAATTATATCAATTTTAAAACAAGCTACAGTAGGCCTAATGAACTTAATTAAAGCCCATATATATGAATTCGTTTGATATTGTTTTGTATCATTATTTCTCTTCAAATCTATATGCGAATAATTGATAAAATAACAATGTTCCAGAAATATTAAGCTCCCCCGTTTTAAAATTTAGGCAAGTTAAAAAAAATTGCTTGTCTGTGACACTTTTATGTGCCGAGTTTTGCTTTTTCGAATGTACTTTCGAAAGTACTTTATCTATTCACACTGCCATGTGACAGCTCTAGCCCTAAACTTTCCGCGTAATGCAATATATTTTTCGATGTTTTACAAAGCCATGTATTAGTAATAGGGTAATTTCCGGGCGGCGTGCGATGACCTATTAAACTGGTAATTTCTTAAATATATCTTAAAAGGTAGTTTTATTGCGTGGTTATTGGGAATAATATTTGTACTCGTTTGGAAATGCAGCATCAATAGTCAAGTGACAACCAACAAACATTCTGGACGGCTCTGCCAATTTCATAGTAATATCTTTACTTTTTACCAAGTTTTCTATCTTTGGCGCCCTTTTACAGCTACCTTCCGAAAAAAAGCTAAACTGAATTTTAAAAATGATTCCAATATAAGAACTCCCCTTAAATAAGACTTAATCAATAACGCGAATTTTTTTTACTGAATCGATAGCAAGTAATCTCTCTTACACGTTTTATAATGATTGATAATCTATCTTTTGTGTTTTTGTTTTTTTTAATAAAAACGTATTATCTATATATTTTGTATATTTGAATATCTCGTATCCTCTACTTTGTAATTTTGTTTTTGATAAATGAAAATATAAGACTTATTTTCGGGAAAACACGGTAGTTGAAGAAGTTTCAACTCAGAATACATTCGAGCTTCTTTTCACCCAAAATTGACATCTAATCACATTTACTATATTCACGTCTGATTGCAAACAAATCAACTGCATCATCCAAGCCCTCAGCTTATCAAGTTATTATCATGGCAGATGAGGATTTCCACGCCTACGGTTTGCCTCAGCTCATTCTGCGGATCGACACAAGTCCCGAGGCAAAAAGTTCGTGCATTACTCTTTCACAGCGATCAGCAGTTTTTCCCCTTACTAAAAATACATCCAAGTTGTAGATTGAGCCAAAACAGAATTTCGGGGTGAAGGAAGACGCGATAACCAGAACTGTACCACCATCGTTATTGAACAGCAAGACCATTGGAGAAGTCTATTATTAAATTCATAATAAATATGATTTGTTTAACATTTCTTCCGATATTATTTGCAGCGCGTCCGCAAATCGAGGATATTGTCCAAATCACAAATATGTCCTGGGTATTATGACCAATCTTGCCCCGACCACCATACAATCGCAAGAAAAAAAAAACGAGTTATATTCAGAAAAGCGAATAAATACAATCCTATCGGCAACAATTTTAAGCTACTGAGCCAATATAGACATTCGCGACAGCACTTCTTACCAAACAGCAAACAAAAATTCAGTTGCCGGGATTATACACCCAATTCCCGTGTATTTTGTGTTGGCACTCGACTTGGTTGGCTGGTTCAGTTGTACTCATGCAAGGTAGTTATGAGTGCTATTTTGACCGTCGGCTGTGCATTTAGCCTAAGTGCGTTGACAGTTGGTCCAATGAAGTCGCTTGGTATATTCTTTGTTCAATATGAAAGAGAGTTGGGTGCAACAGCAGGACAGGCATCTCTTGTGAATTCGTTGGCGTTTGGGGCATATTTTCTTGGTGGTAAGTCAGAATTTTATTATAGTAGTAGGATAAGCCGGAATGCAATCGTTATTTATACATATATTAGTTTTTCATGCAAACTACGAGCAACTATAACTGATCATCGTTAGCGCATAATGCAGTGTATGGTGCATTCCAAGTTAATTTAGTATTTTCTAGATTTTGTGTGTTAATGAATAGGAGAAGTACAAACCCTCTCTAATGGTCGCTTCCTGTAGAAACCATGACTGTTTTAGTATTGATGGTGTCCAAGTACGTGTCCGGAAATTCGCCGCAGGAAATTTCGCCGCATTGGAAAAATCGCGAGAGCAATTTGCTGTAAAACAAGTATTTGTGATTAAAACAGTTAGGTTCATAGGGTTAGGCAACCTTTGGTCGCTCGCGGGCCAAAATAAAGTGTTGGAAGTCATTGACGAGCCGCACATATTTTTAGAAAGTTGGAAACCGAACGGATGATACGTTTTATAATAAAAATTTAAGCAGTGATACATCTCTCGAATAGAATTTAGATTTTTTGCTCATTGCATCTCATAATATTCTATTTGAATATTTTTGGTGCCATTGAACCCTTTGCACAACTTTTCTGCATTTTGTTGCCATTTGTCTGAACGAATAATTGCAAATTTTATACTTGTTAGATTATAATGTAATTTAGTCTACGTGTGTCCCATAATAAATTCTGTTACATAAAGAATATACCGGTAATCGTCAAAACAGCTGTTTTGTTACTATAATTCAATGAGGCGTCGCGGGCCGGATTATATCACTCCGTAGGCCGTAGGTTGCCGACCCCTGGGTTAGGGTATGCTCTTAAATAACGAATCTTCTTTGAATAAGGCGATTTTTGCTATGCGGCGATTTCTCAATTCTCCAAGAACCGTCCAAGTATGCAATAGCTAACTTTTTGTATTCAGAATTAGCAATGAGAAGAACAAGTTTATAAAGTAAATCTTGAGCAACCAAAACCATAACATGTTCAATCAATCATAATAATACTCTGAAACAAATTTGCAATTTCGACTACTTTAGCGTTGCCATGTAATTGCTGTAGCAGTGAAGCGTTGAATTTGACGTTGAGTCGATTCACTACCGTCTGTTGCGGCTAGTATCGCCCAAAGCTCACTTTGTGTTATTCTCTATGTCTATGACAGTCTATCTATACTCTATATCAGGGGTGGACAACCTGTTTTCGACCGCGATCGACTAAAATCTTCAAAATACCTCGCGATCGACTAATCGGTAATGAGGTCATACACGAAATCGAATGAGTACTGGATATGCAGATCGACAACATGTTCAATCAATCATATTGCTCGGGAAAAATTTACAATTTTAACTACTGTAGCGTTGCCATATAAATGCAGAAGAAATGAAGTGCTTATTTGACGTTGAGATTGAGACGATTCACTACTTTCTGTTGCGGCTATTGTGCCAAAGCTCATTTTGTGTTATTCTCTATAGCAGGGCTACTCAACTATTTTCACCAAAGGTCCGTTTACGAAACTTCAAAATTACTGGGGTCCGGACATTACAGAAAATTTATTTCATCAAATAAACGAAACTTCAAATGCAATATTAAATTAAATACGAGAGCAATGAATGGCTCGCAAATATGGACACAAATAATATCGCACATCGGTACCAGTACGATAAGCTGTATAGCTGTGTATTTAAATTGGTGACCGTACATTTGAACCCATGTACATTTGAACCCATGCGTATATCCACGGGTTCAATCTATATGCGGATGCTAAAACCCATGGGTTAGGGTTAGTATGGGTTTAACTATCCGTGAAACAAAAAAAATTCCATAGGTGCAATAGCATACAGGTGCAATTGTCATGGGTTCAAATGTACGTGGGTTCAAATGTTTTCAAGGAACCATTTAAATTGAATCAAAATCATCTAAAACTATAAAACGATGCTTAGGCTGCCAAAATAAACAAGCAAAGCGGTCCTAATTTCATGGTCGAAAGGTCCGTATTCGGACCGCGGTCCGCCAGTTGAGTAGCCCTGCTCTATAGTATATATACCAGGGGTGTCAAACTCGCGGGCGCATGAACAGAGTTTTTTTTATCTAAATGTAATACATTTTTCAAATCTTTTAAAGTGAAGTTGATAATCACACAGAAAACGACAAGTTACTGGAAGTAGTTTTGAAAAATTAAAATTTTTTTGTTTTCATTTTGACCCAATTCTGGATACACCTCAAGCTAGCAAAAGAATATTTGAAAATAAACTTCAGGAATTAAATGAAACGCCAAGTACATGAAGAAGAGGGTATTTTGAAAGAAAAACGGGAGTTCCAAATTTCTGCATTTCTCAAAATTCTAAAGCAAATTTCGTTGTTTCATTTGTCTTATTTCCATCAGTACAATGAAAGAATACAATACAAGTAGACATTATCAGAATAAGCTCAGCAGTCAATAGGGCAAATTTAAAGATTTAATTCGAACAGAAATTTTTTACGTGTTCGTATATTATTATAAATATACAACTACCTAGTTACTAAAAATCAATATCAAGCATAACTCAAGTCCTATGCCACGTAATTGTAGGAAATGTGGCGGGAAATGTCTGGTCCGAAAAGACAGTCATTTGTTTGTTTACTGATCTATACATGAAACCATAAATGTAATATTTTTGCATTATTGAAATCAATCGAACATTCTCAACAATCCAGATTAACCGATGATTATGTGACCTCGTTAATTAGAGTTGGTACTGTAAAATCATTTCATCCTGATATTATTAGGCTGATGGCACAAGAGCGATGCCAAACGTTAGGACATATGTAAAACATTGAGTTTATTCTGTAGTATTTTTTCAAATTTCTGTATATATAGATATAGTCATTTTTAGTGTAGCCTATGTGTTATTCTTTCCTTATTGAAACTTTGTTCAGGAATGTTTTGGATAGTTGTACATAAAAATATATATATGATTTTTTGTAATAAACAGATATATTGCAATAATAGTGAAATGCGAGCAATTAATATGCAAATGGCATTCGGAATTTATAAAAATAACAAAGCTTTATTTGACTGTTTATTTAACATCACAATATGTGTTACAAACTACACTTATCTAAAAATATGCTTCAAGTATACATTATCATAATACATCAAAAACTGTTTGCGGCCCTTTGCACAATTCCCAAAATGCAATACGGCCCTCGAAACCCCATGTGTTTGACACCCCTGGTCTATACTCTTATATAATATATCATTGTGGAATGTACTTGTCTTAGACTCATGCTAAGCAATGCCAGTATCTTCAGACGCATCTCCAATTACTTTTAACGTAAATTAAAGGGATGTGAATACAATCTACGTGATACGATATAAAATTGTGCCCTTTTCGCCAATCGAATTCGTTATCTATGAATTCTGTTGCATGCTTTCATAACGTTGCCGAAAAAAAACGCTTGCGGACATGCTTTCATTGGCACTGAACTGGCAGTATAGTATACCTGTTAACTGTTAAATAGTGTACAAGTCTCATTGCATGTCCTGACCAGGGTTAGTCGTCCCTGTGACTGCAATATCTGATCCATAATTTGTATTTCATTGTGAGTTTTATTGCACAGCACATACTGTCACAATATACCTCGTATTTCTCCATACGTCACATATCCGAAAAAATATATTTCCAGTCTATTGCGCGAGTAGAAATCGCACATTTCTGTTGCTGGGTTTATAAATTTATTTGTGTTGCCACGTCAATCATTTTGAGTTGGTCGCTTCAACAGGCGGTTGTGTAAGCAAGTTGTTATCATGAGTGCGATTCTTACCATAAGCGCTGGGTTTTGCATTTACGCATTAACTATCGGACCTATGAGATCACTTGGTGTATTCCTTGTTCATTATGAACAGGAGTTGAACGCAACTACTAGCCAGGCATCACTTGTGACTTCGTTAGCTGTGGGGTCGGGTTTTCTTGTCGGTGAGTCTGAAGTTTAATTATTTAGTTAGATATATAATGAACAGTGAGTGACACAAAGTTCGAACAGTGACAATAAATTGCGTAATAACCAGGGATCTTCGTTTACATTTCATACCAGACTTCCGTCGTCGTGTCTCCTCTGGCCTTTATAGATGTTTTTGTCATGGTCATCTCTAAAACTGATTCCCGAAATTGATGTGGCCTCTAATACCAATATTCTAAAATGTTAATTTGTGAATTATAGTCAATAATAATCCATCAAAATGTCGATAAATCAGATATGTTTGCGCCATTTTGACAAAGATTTTGTATCAAATTATCGTTATCCTAGGATAGGCATGGCGAATCTTTTTAGTGAATAGGTCAACATTTTATTATATTTGAAAATAAGAATGTATATAAATGAACAATGTATGCACCAACTTGCTGTGGGATACTTGCTGTTGCATCTTTCCCGTGTTTTTCCCGTTGGTTGGAATTTTGTTGTTCGGATCCGCATGCATATTAACTACCGAAAAACGTTTATTATGATACAGCAAATCTTTCCACGATTTTGAAGGAAAAGTTTCAAAGGGAATTCCACATTTAGGGAATTATACTTTTTCGGTCGGCTTTCAACCGCATTAAAGTGACTCTTTTATTATGTATTTTATTATGTTATGTAACAAATTTTGTTTTCCAAGCTGCATTGTGTTTGGGGAGGGGGAGAATAAACTAGTTTTCTTATTCCCCCAAAAGACATCCCGCGCCCTCTCCTGGTTAATTGATGCACCTGCGAATGGGAACAGTTGTAACGAGACATGAGGCGTGAAATGGAGCGTTGTAACTGCCTTCATGCCAATATCTGTGTAACCGATATATCATAGTTAGAGTAGTAGTCACCCATTATTAAAATGAACTACAGTCGGTTTTGTTATGACCTTTTTATACTAGTTGTTATTTGCAACAATTCGTGACTTGGCGGGCCACTGAAGGGGTAACGTCACACGATTAAATAGACGTGACTTTTCGGACAAACATACTGAAATTCATAACTTAAAAATTGTTATCATCCAATTTCATTAATGATTAGAGGGTCGAATCAGGGTAAGTACGAAGGAAATACCATTCATGCTCACTAAACAAACTCTTGCACATACAGCCTTGATGATATTATTTTTGTTAGTGAGTATGAAATATGAATGATTACTTATCGGTTCTCGCAAATTTGTTCGTTCGCATTGACGTCATTCAATTACAGCTGTAAATGAAAACTTTTTGATATTACATATAGATGTCGACAGTATATTATTTGAGCCTTGGAAAATAAACATCATATTTTTGGCATTCCAGTACGCTCAATGCCGTAATTTAATTAAAACATATATTCAATTTTTTAAAGCTTCATTGTTTGTGGTACGGTATTCCAAATATCATTTTTTATTACCACGAGCCCTTGTCCCGGCATGATAAATGGCGTTTATTCCAATTTTATTGCCAAATACATGCGTATGTAAAATTATTAGGAACCTATAAAATAAAACTTTTAATAATTTATTAAATATAATACGATTTTAACACGACAAAAGCAAAATTACTTTTCTACAGCCCCGGCCCGACTGCGGGATAAGCCGAACTACGTGGTTGTGACAAATATTGACAAATCGAATATTTGATTTAAATGCTTCAACCAAGTTCAATAACTTTTCAAATGATAAAAAAAAGTGTCTTGACAAAATATAAATCAAATTTTTTATTTATATATATTTTAGGTCCTTTTGCATCTATTTTGACCAATCGTTTGGGATTTAGACAAACCATAATACTCGGTACAATTTTGGCTTCTGTGGGCTTCATAGGATGTTCGTTCTCCCAGCATATTTCAGTGGTTCATGGTACCGTCGGTATTATGACAGGTATGATAGTTGGGCGCTCCCGCAGTATGCGAACCAAGATGGCGGACACCTAAACATAGTATGTGTACCAGGTTAGGGTTAGGCCATAATTTATTCCTTATTCTTATTTTAGTTCTATTACGAGTTTGAGGACCAGCCTAGTGACTGTAGTATTTGTACCTGAAATAACTCTAACCTGGTACACATACGACGTTCCGGTGTCCGACATATTGTCACAGCAATACCAAAGTATCCTACGTTTTAAATGTTTCAGAAATGTACTTATTGGATTCCTTTTCATTGTGGATCAGGGGCCATCTTTCAATCTGGACTGTAAAGCTTGATTTACTTTTGATAATATTGTTATGTCCATGTTTGGGTTTGAAAAGCTGTACAGATTTTGAAAATGCTATTTTTTCCCCTTCAAATGTGACATAAGCTCATTTGGTTTTACTCCAGCGAAATGATCACGCTGGAATATTATTTATACTTTATAAATACTTCCACAGAGATTCAATAAGGGTCAAGGGTAAAAACATAAATAATAAGTTTAGGTATAAGTTTATTCCGACTCCATAACCAGCATAATGGACGATAAAGCAATTGATAGAAACAAAATAAATAAAACGGATGATAGAATCGGGATAGAAAATATTCTATGTCAGACTTTTATACTTTTTTCAGGTGTTGGATTTGGATTCGTTGGCGTTCCAACGGTAGCTTTGATAGGAATGCGTTTCAAAGAAAAACAATCATTATACATTAACATTGTGACAATGGGAAGTGCTCTATCAGCGATACCTTTATCGCCTCTTTTGCAACTGTGGATTGACATCTACGGCTGGAGAGGGGCTTATCTCTTGCTTGGTGGAGTCGTGTTGAACGCCATACCAAGTTGTTTTTTAATGGTGTCTTCAAAAATTAACAAGAAAATGACAAATGCCAATAGAAAACTAATCGATTTGGATCTGATGAGATCATATACTTTCCCTGTCTATGCAATTGCATCGGGTTGCGATATGGCAGCCATGGTGGCTATTGGTGTGTATTTAGTTCGATTTGCGCAATATAAAGAAGTGGACAACTATATCGCTGCATCTTTACCATCAATTGTTGCAGTTGTGGACTTGATACTGCGACCGATTTCCGGCTACGTAACCACTTTGACACACATCGGACCAATTCCAATAAAGCGAACATATTATGGTGTGTGGCATGTATCCAGGCTGTCGCTGTTTTCATATTTCCATTTACTCAAAGCGTTTATGCCATAATTGCAGTTACTGTAACATACGCTGTAAGTACTCTTATGTTTTATTCCATCAACTGCTCGTGACGTCATTGTTACAGGGCCCCTCAATTAGCCTGTGGTATCTCATCGTCTGAATCCGGCCCTGATTCGAACCTGCAGGTTGCCGGCGAGCGGACGGGCCCCCGATCCAGCTGCTTTTAGATTGTAGTAGGCCCGTGAGCTAGCTATATTGCATGTTTTTTTCCCCTTGTTTACTCAAAGCTTCTCCCTGAAATATCGGAAAGCATTCCTGTTAAAATCTTATAAAATTTGTGTAGTGTGGCATAACTTGGTATTAATTAAAGCTGAGTGGAAGTCGAAGCAAATTTTTTTTTACCATTTTTTTAATATTATTCCGGCAGCGTGTGCAGCTGCCAGAACGCAACATTTTGGCGTAGTTTCACGGCGATGTAAGGGGTAATTCAGTAAAAAATACAGAAAAATTTGATTTAACACAGCCCTTGTTTTTAAAACAGGCGGTTTTTAGAACTGATAAGAAACAAAATCCTATTCGTAAGGCCATCTTACTTGTAAAATACCTTAATTTATAGCACAAAATGATTGGAATGAATTAAAATATTATAAATTTTATTTTTCCAGACTTGCGTCGGATCGCGGGGCGCCCTTGCTGTTACAATACTTTCTGATTTATTTGGAACAGAAAAACTCGTAAGTTCATTAGGTCTACGAGCTGTAGTAGTCGGAATCTTTATAATTGCAACTCCCCCGTTAATTGGAATCATTGTGGACTTGACTGGATCATACGATATTCCATTTTACGCTAGTTCGATGTTGTCACTCGTTTCAGCATTTCTTGTTGCTTTTTTACAAATCATAACGCCTAATGAGAAACAAAATGGAATCCACTCAAAGGCAAAGTACTAAAGAAGACATTAAAAGTGTGGTCACCGAAACAACATCATCTACGTGACGTTAACATGCCCATATTAGACAGCTGCTATTTCGTGCTAGGAACGTATGATAGAACTGTAGTAGCATTATTTCGTTTACTCTGTCGATTTATGTTATAGTTGGCATATATTTGCAACTTAACAACAGTAGTTCTGAATCAAATTGGTCTAACTACTTGACGACCGACATTATTTTCGTGTGTTTTTTTCGCGCCCAAATAATGGCACTTGATAAAAGTGATATATATATATATGCTTTCTATGTATGCTATTCTATTGTATTGCATATTCTATTTCGTATTTCTTGTTTTCACTCACTGCAAATTTTTTTACAGTTTTATTAAATATGCAAAATAGAAACCGCAAACATGTTAAAACACATGTGTTGATTAAGAACATGGAATTTGGTTAGACAATGACAAATCGGAAGAACAACACCACCCCAGTTGATCCATGAACGCGTGTGAGTTTGGTATGTTTGACGCGGTGTAGGTTAGGTTCCAGTTAGGAGCAAACCCCAACTGACAGGTTTCAGTCCTTCAAAGGCAAACAAGCGCACAAAGACTGAATATTAGTATATATACAGTATTGTAAAGCTGCGCAATCGAATTAATCCAAATAACATATATATACCGAAATACACTTAAACCCTTAACGCAAATATATATATATATGTGCTGACACTAAATTTCCCACTAACTAAAAACGATAAAACAAAGACGATCGACACTTGAGCATGGGTGGTAATATGCATCAATTTTTTTGCGCAAAACGTTGCATGAGAATATGGAGGAAAATAAAATACCGGTTTTGTTTCAGGCAAATAACACGCACTATTAAATGTACTCCCGTAGTGTGTGTACCAGGTTATGGTTAGGCTATAATTTTATACCGATTTTCCTTTTTTAGTTATTTTACAAGTGCGGGGACCGTATGTGTTAGCCAAGTTTCAGTCCCATTACACAACTTGAATTAAGGTAGGCGAACAAAATTAGTTGCCTCTATGGTACACACACTTCTGGAGCGGCCTATTAACAATAAGTGGTTGAAAACCATTGAAATACACATATCGTTATCTACTCGCTACTCCATTCCATATATATAACCAAGGATCTCCCCTAACATAGCTACTATTAAAATAATTAATGAAGTGAAACGATTTTTACGGCATATACGGCACTTTTGAACGCTTTTATCACCTATCATTAGTGGCTGTATTAATTATAGAATATTTGAAGGATTACCTCTTGATTTCACGTAGCGATCAAGCTCAACCTACTCTACACAAAACTACTCATAAGCAACAAACTTACTGAACTGCAACTGACTGAAAGGATAAAACAATTTATTGAAATCTATGGGTGTGTAGCATTTAATTCCACATAAAGTATTTGAATACTAAACAAAGCATATCATTTCACAGCAATAATTTTAAAAAGATTACATATTTTCAATTTTGATTCGGACCTGAATGCAAACTTATGATTTCATAAAATTACTCTTTATGAGAAAAATGTTCTCATGCAAAAATTGTCTACATTGTCCAATAACAACGGTTATCATAGACACCACCTTTATGGGCTTTGCATAACTTTTTACAATGATGTTTACTCGGACTTTGCTTCATAATGAGTAAAACATCAGTCTATTTACAAGAAAGTCAGTCTTTTCTATGTACAGACTCTCATGCACTCCGGCAATTTTTAAGTACAAATATAAATATACAGTATGTAGAAAATGTATGAAATGATTGATGTAAATATGCCCAACAAAAATATCAATTCTAGCATCAATTGCCTAAATTTAGGATGCTGCGGACCTCCATCAACAGCAAAGTGTGCGCCTTCCTTATTTTTGTGTGGATACGGAATATCTGGAATATCTTTTCCGAGAAATTTGCACAATGGTTCCCATCCACTTCCAATAGTGAGAACGAGCAGCTTATCCTTTGAAACCGAAGAAGTCACGTAACAGTTATGCTGGTGGAATTTGCGTTTCAGTAGTCGAGGATTTTTTCTCACAGACATGAGACTGTCACATCCAAAACAATAGGACCCTAAAAATATAAGTATATATTAGATTTTAAAAAATGTTAAACAAACACGTTAAACTTTAAAATCTATTGCGACCTACTTATTGAAATCAAGTCAGTATCAACAATACTGGTAACAATGCTTAAAATCCAGTAATTACGTGTAATAAAAGGGCATGCACCTAACTATCAATAGTTCTCAGTCATCCGCTATCCAGACATTTGGCTATTTTGCGATTAGGAGTTTTATCATATATATAATAAAGCGCTCGACAATACAAAATCCTTATCACTTAGACAAGCACCGTTTGACATGTGGGTGTCCATAAGTCTCTTTACAATTTAAAACAAGAGAGGTATGCTCAAATATATGGACACGTAGCGCCACCCAATGGCAATAATTTTGATGACGTCATAGCGAAAAAAAGTAATAGCCTCCTGGAGAAAAATTTTATCTTTGACCACTGAAAATTTTAAAGCAATTGGTCCAGTATTCGAAGAGAAAAGCGATTTTTTAAAAATGATGGAGACAAATAACAATAACAACAAAATTTTGAAACGATCGTTATGTCCCTAAACGTGTCCAAAAATATCCCAAAGGGAAATGATGAATTCAAAATGAATACCGTAGTCTGACTGATATTCATTTACAGTCATGACCCAACGCTCTTTCATTTGAGTAAAATGATTCTTATGAAATTAGTTTAATTACACAGCAATATTGTTGGAATATTTATGGAATATATATGACAAATTCAACTTACAAACCCGCGAACTAGTTCCCAGAAGTTTTTTTCCCGTCGGTGTCAAGCTCATTAAAGGGTGAAAATACTTAAAAATCGCTGGCGTTCTATTCATCATTCCTATTAAACTGTTGTACCATTTATTTTCATCTCTGGTCGTCAGGATTACCTATAGATTTTACAAAGCTAAGGTATCTTAGTAATACTACAACGAAAACAAACTTTCCCAGTTGGGAAACGTTGCCTTAGTGTTAGTATGTAGGGAATATTAAAATAAAGATATCCTACAAGTATATTCAAACAAAATTCACCTTTGCATCTGGAAATGCCTTCGATATGTCTTCCCAGAACGCAATTACTGGTCCATCAATTAAAGCGTCAACATCCTTCAATTCTTCCCGGATTTCATCGTCTGTAATTTCTCCGTCAAATAACTTATTCCATGGCTCAGGAAATTCGAACAGTTGATAATCATAGTCGTATACTTTATATCCCAATATTGTCAAAGCCTCCGCCAAACTTTTTGTACCGGTTTTCCAGAATCCGGCGCATATGATTTTCATATTAGCGTTTTGCAGTTTTCACTGATATAATATGTAGCCTACGGTACTCGACAACAGATACAAATTTCAATCGATGTCATCGATCGTTGTCTGAGCGGTATTGATACAGTGAAAGAAACAGTGAGGTCAAAATGAAATTAAAAATACTAGCTATGCTTCGACACTGTGTTCTTATTGCTCAATTATCGGAAACGCAGTGACTAAAGTCTGAATCTTATGTAAAGTCTAGTTTTTTTCCATTTACAGTTGCTTATTTTAGGATCACAGTGTACCAAATAAATGATCACGGTTAAGTATGTTTTCTGCCTTATATGTAGTCTATTTGGACAAGGTATAGCAAACAAAAATCTACCGTTTATTTGCACTAAACCATTTATCTAGTAGATAGAAATTATATTAATGGAAGAGATTGTGTTGATATTTTCCACGTTTTTTTGTTTTTTATTTGAAACATGCTGGGTCAATGAACGAGCTGCAAAACACATGTTCAGCAACATATATAAAAAAGAAATAATTTGTATAGAAATTGGGTATTCTGAGAAATATATATATAGGCCTATGCAACAAACCGGGACGAAAGATCGTTAAAAGTCACTTCGCTATATATATATATGCGTATATTTACCAGCAAACCAACCTTTTCTATGTACAAAAGCCCATGCACTTCGGCAATTTTCAACAAGCATTTCAAGTACAAATGTAAATATACAGTATGTAGAAAATGTATGAAATGATCGATATAAATATGCCTAATACAAACGTAAATTCTAGCATTAATTGCTTAAATTTAGGATGCTGCGGACCTCCTTCGGTAGTATGGTGTGCACCTTCCTTATTTTTGTGTGGATACGGAATATCTGGAATATCTTTCCCGAGAAATTCGCACAATGGTTCCCACCCACTTCCAATATTGAGAACGAGCAGCTTATCCTTTGAAACCGAAGAAGTCACGTAACAGTTGTGCTGACGGAATTTGCGTTTCAGTAGTCGAGGATTTTTTCTCGCAGACATAAAATTGAAATCTCCCGAACAATATGACCCTAAATATAAAGGTATTAGACTTTAAAAAATAAACAAACGCATGTGCAACTTTAAAATTTATTGCGACCTACTTATGGAAATCAAGTCAGTATCAACAATACTGGTAACAGTGCTTGAAAATCCATGCACCTAATGCACCTAACTATCAATAGTTCTCAGTCATCTGCTATCCAGACATTGGGTTAAGAGTTTTATAATATAATAAAGCACTCGACAAGACAATACAAAATCCCTATCACTTAGACAAGCACCGTTTGGCATATGGATGTTCATAAAGTCTTATTACAATTAAAAAAAAATGATGAATTCAACTTAAATACCGTAGTCTGACTGATATTCATTTACAGTCCCGAACCAACGCTTTTTAATTTGGCTTAAAAGAGTTATGAAATTAGTTTCATTATACAGCAATGTTGTTGGAATATTTATGAATATGACAAATTCAACTTACAAACCCGCGAACCAGTTCCCAGAAATTTTCTTCCTGTCAGTGTCAAGATCATTAAAGGGTAGAAATACTTAAAAATCGCTGGTGTTTTATTCATCATTTCTATTAAACTGTTAAACCATTTATTTTCATCTCTGGTCGTCAGAATTACCTGTAGATTTCAAAATTTTAATTTGTTATACTCCTTAATTATGAGATATCTATATATCTAAATAGAAGTCATCAATCATGCAATTGACACAAATAATAAACCTTAGTCTATTTAAACTAAAATCACCTTTGACTCTGGAAATGCCTTCGATATGTCTTCCCAAAAAGCAATTACAGGTCCATCAATTAAAGCGTCAACATTCTTTAATTCTTCCCGAATTTCCTCGTCCGTAATTTCTCCGTCGAATAACTTATTTCATAGCTCAGGAAATTCGAACAGTTGATAATCATAGTCGTATACTTTATATCCAAGTATTGTCAAAGCCTCCGCCAAACTTTTTGTACCTGTTTTCCAGAATCCAGCACATATGATTTTCATTTTAACGTATTGCAGTTTACATAGATATAATATCTACTTATTTCAGTACTCGACAATGGATACAAACTTCAATCGACGTAATACCCAAGCGTTGTCTGACAGTATTACCACTGAGGAAGAAACCGTGAAGGAATCAAAATGAAATTAAAAATACTGGCTATGCTTCGACACTGTTTTTCTTGCACAAACAGCGGGATCGCAGCGACTAAAGTCTGAATGTTATGTAAAGTCTAGTTTTTCTTCCATTTAAGTAAGTAAGTATAAGTGTTAGTGTTTACATTTACTTATATTTGGGTCAACTTGTAGCGAATGAATAATCACGGTTAAGTTTGTTTTTTACCTCATGTGTAGTCTATTTGGACAAGGTATAGCAAACTAAAACCTACCGTTTATTTATATTGAACCTTTTACCTAGTAGATATATATAAGGAAAGCTGACCGTACATTTGAACCCGTGTACATTTGAACCCATGCGTATATGGGTTCAAATGTACGTGGGTTCAAATGTAATGGAACCATAAGGAAACTATATTAATGGAAGAGATTGTGTTGATATTTTCCATGTTTTTATTTGAAACATGCTGCGTCAATAAACGAGCTGCAGAACAGACATACAGCAACAGCTATGGAAAAAGGGAATAATTTGTATAGAAATTGGGTATTCTGAGAAATATATGGGACTATGCAAAGATCGTTAACGGTTACTTCCCTACGTACGCATTTGCTACACATGAAAGGACAATATGATTTTCCAACTTCATATAGCATGCCAGAGGCTTAATTTATATTTTATTAAATGTTAAATGGTATTATTAAGATTGTATAAGTAATGCATCAATTCATCTTTTAAGCGAAGAGGTTCACATTAAAGATATTGTGCCAGTTTATTAATTCAGCACTTATCTTGTTATATATTGGAGCAGCTCCCGTTCGTTCAGCACAACGGAAGAGTTGGGCCTATCTCCCTGCTGTTACAAATTGACAAGATAGGTGATATATGAAAAAAAAATTTATCCTCGGCTGAAATATTTTTTCGAAGAAACGGGAGCTTTTGAGCCTTTTTAATTTGGTTTCCTAGACAACTATTCAGCCGAGTTGGGTATATCTCACCTAAAAGAAATGATAATAAGAATAGTGCTATCAACAAGGTCACGTTTGCCATTCATTGGACCTTGCGAATGCTTTTTTTACTGATAATCAATTTCACTAGTTAAAATATATCATTCGATTGAAGACATATAACCTCATTTCATCATATTTAAGCAGACGTTAATATTATATTCAAAATAGAGACGGTATTTCTGAAATGGGCTTCATTTAATGTTAAGTTCCGCTGGGTTCCACGATTGGCCCGCTCTTGTTTTTATGCTACTCAAACGAGTTTGTCTCCAAAATGTCGTGTCCCACTTGTCCCATGTGCCCACTTGCCCAACTTGTCCCACGTGTCCAATTTGTCACACGTGTCCCGCCTGTCCCATGTGTCCCGCTTGTCCCATTTGTCCTACGTGTCCAACTTGTCCCATGTGTACCACTTGTCCCACGTGTCCCACATGTACCCCTTGTACCAATTGTATCACGTGTCCCACTTGTACCACGTGTCCCACCACTTGTCCCAAGTGTACCACTTGCCCCACGTGTCCCACATGCCCACTTGTCCCACTTGTCCCACTTGTCTCACGTGTCCCACTTGTCCACACGTGTCACACTTGTCCCACGTGTCACACTTGTACCACGTGTCACACCACTTGCCCCACGTGTCACACTGTCGATTGTTTAGCTATTATGGTTCGCACTGAAATGAAAAAAAAATTAATTGTGCGTTGGATTTACCTTTTTATCCATTTCTTTATCTTGCTGCCGAAAGTTTCAGTGTTATCGTTATGCAAAGCTGTAAACGTGACGCGGATTTTAAGGGTAAATTCATTATGATGATAAATTAATTAATCTAATCGGGTTTCATTGCACTAAAATGAATTTTACGTCGTGAGATTATAACGGTTATAACTTAAAAATAATCCGAGTGGCAGCATTGCGATTGAGATAGATTTCTCTAACTCGCAAAATGGCAAAAATATGGATTCCTAATGGCGATAACGAATTAACAAGATTGCAAAGATACCTATCAAAATTAAAATAATTAGACAGTTTATCTCATGTGTTTATGTCCACATATTACATTTTTTTTTATAGTAGCAATGTATTTAAAAGTCGTCACGCGAGTTACGTTAGACACAATTAAGTTAATTACCATGGATTGAATATTATACGCCACAGAAAAGTATCACTGAAAAAGACGTTTTTTTAACGAGCGAATAATCACGGCGACTGTTTTATGAGGGAAACGACATATATATATCAAAATATCTGGTGTATGGTGGCCCATCGTTGTCACGCGTAAAATTGAAAATAAAAATAAAATAAAAAACCGAAAATAAAAAAATTGTTGTAAAAAAACATAAAAATAATTAAAAAAAAAAATTAAAATTAAAAAAAATAAATAAATAAAAACGAAAAAAAAACAAAAAAAAAATTAAAAAAAAAAAAATTGAAAAAAAAACTTGAATAAAAAGAAAATAAAAAGGTTGACAACGATGGTCCGCTTCGTGGCCCATCGTTGTCACGCGTTTTTATTTTTAGAAAATTTGCTTCTGCTTGGGACCAACGTTGTCAGGCATAATCCTACGCGCACAAATGTGTTCTCTGGGTTTCAAACTCACTACTGATTTTCTTGAGCAATATTCAATATGAAAATGTTCTATAAATTCTCCATGCTACAAGTTCAACAAGAAGTAATATATTTATAATAATGATAAGAGAATATAGAATTGAATACGAAAATTCGGAAAATTTGTTTTTACGTGTATAAGGTAATTCAATTGGAGAATGCTGCTTAACTACTCAGTTGTGGCTGGACACTCGCGATGCCGGTACCGTACCATCTTACCAAATACCGGTAGTCGGTTATAGTCGCTTTGCGTCTGACCGTACCGGTAGCCATACAATCACTCATGAAAGAATGGGAGATACGGATAGTCTCGTAGAATATAGACTACTGAAACACTCTCTGAGCCTGCCCCATACCGTACAGCCGTAACGTACCGATCCAGACAAATGATAAATCGCCAGTGCTCAACCATTTATTTCAATCCATACCATGATCCTAGTAGAATATAGTGAGTCGAGGTATGGATTGAAATAAATGGTGGAGCACGGGCGATTTATCATTTGTCTGGATCGGTACGTTACGGCTGTACGGTATGGGGCAGGCGCAGAGAGTGTTTCAGTAGACTATATTCTACGAGACTATCCGTATCTCCCATTCTTTCACGAGTGATTGCATGGGTACCGGTACGGTCAGACGGTACCGTACCGGCATCGCACGAGTGTCTGAGCAGTTAAGCAGCATTTTCCAATTAAATTACCTTCTACACGTAAAAACAAATTTTCGTATCCAATTCTATATTCTCTTATCATTATTATAAATATATTGCTTGTGGTTGAACTTGTAGCATGGAGAATTTATAGAACATTTTCATGTTGAATTTATTGGATATTGCTCATGAAATCAGTAGTGAGTTAGAAACCCAGGAAACACATTTGTGCGTGTAGGATTAAGTCTGACAACGTTGGTCCCAAGCAGCATCAAATTTTCCAAAAATAAAAACGCGTGACAACGATGGGCCACGAGGCGGACCAACGTTGTCAACTTTTTTATTTTCTTTTTATCCAATTTTTTTTTTTTTTTTCAATTTTTTTTTTTAATTTTAATTTTTTTTTTTTGTTTTATTTTTCAATTTTTTTTTTAATTTCAATTTTTTTTTTAATTTTTTTTTTTCAATTATTTTTATGTTTTTTTTACAACTATTTTTTTATTTTCGCTTTTTCATTTTATTTTTTCAATTTTTTTTAAATTTTACACGTGACAACGATGGGCCACCATACTGGTGAATGAGATGTATGATAAACGGAATCATATGGACAAAATATTCGGTGAATGAGATATACCGTATTTGCTCGTTTAATAGCCCGGGCGCGTATTTTTTTAAACATACTCACAAACCGGGCCCTTATTCAAACCGGCCCTTATTCAAGCAGGGGCGCTTGTTATTTTTAAAGTAAAACTACACACAAAAAATACCGGTAGATAAGATCGATCGTTACAATAATTAATACCGTATATTGTCATTTCCAGTTCTTAAGTATGATTTAAACGAGAATAATTAAAATTTTGACTTTTTCTACGCACCGCAGTTACAAATCCGCAAAAAAAAAAACTTTTACACCGGGCGGGTATTCAAGCACCGGCCCTTATTTATTTTTATGTCCTGTTCACACGGGCGGCTATTCAAACGGGCCCTCAATCAGGACCGGGCGTTAAAACGAGCATTTACGGTATGTGGACAAAACTCCTGGACAAAATGCAAATGAAGTAATGTTTTCTTCTGCTTTCCGAATTCATTTCGATAAACTGTAATACTGGATCGATCGAACCTAACTTGCTCTATCTAACCACGCGCAATTTAAAATATAGTTATTTTCGACTTTCTTGAAACTTGCATAGCATGTGTATGACGATTACTAAACACTACATTTCATTTATTTGTGATGGACGTCACAATCCACAATCCTTGCGCTTGTTAGCACCAACACGTTTGCTGAAACTACCATAATTTGTTTAACAAAGTGTTGCGGCGGAACATTTTGTACTTACTAGGTTGCAAAGCAATTTACGGTACAGTTGATTTAAGTAGTTTAAACCAAGCGTGTGCAACCTTTAATAAAGGCGGGCCAGATAAGGATAACTTGAGTAAACCGCGGGTCGCACTTTCATTCAGCAACACAGGCTTTCCGGTAATAGCAAGCACGAAATTTTTGGTTATTATTGACATGGTTGACAAATTATGACATGGCTTATGGCTCGTATCGTTGCCCCCCAGTCATATACCGAAAACTATTTTTTCGATATTTGTTTATGTGTGCATAAATTGTTTTCTTGGTTGACAAAATGAAATAAACTCTCTCTCTCTTATCAGTGCCGGAATATAGCCGGGTTGATATCGGATAATACCGACATGAGCGCAGCCAAGATTTTTCCAACGGGGGAGGGGTCAATTCACGATGACGAAAGGCGGTCAAGAGAAGTATAACTCGCGGATTTCAGCAGCGTCAAAATCGTTTATATATATATATATACAAAAACACGCTCGCATGTAGCGTCGATCAAATGAATTAAATGTGAAACTATTACTTGGAATTTAATGTTAAACAAGTTGATTTCGAATTGCCATTCAATAATTATTATTAACATGCACCGTGATTAGTTGTGGGCAAATATCGCCTTAGTCGAATATTTTCAACGAACAAAACACTGAATAATGAGTATTGTAATTTCAAACAACCGTAATTAGAATGTCGGCTGCCGAAGAATACTGAAAACTTCGTAACAATGCGGTGTTTTTTATTTTATAATTTTGTCATAATCCAAGGCCGCAGTAAATATTTTTGTCACCGCGATCGTTTCGGCCGCTTGACATCCCAATTAATGCTGATAAACTATATTAAAGCACTTTTTATTCACTAGTGAATATTAATTCTCATGCAACGGCGGATATCGTAGTTTGGTTTTAATTTTTTGGACAGAAAATTGATTTCACATCGGCGACGATGTCAAAGACAACTATTAAAGGAGTGCACACAAATTAATTTTATGCTGGTTTTTATCTTTTTTGTCAGATAAATCACAGTTTGTTACTCACCCCGGAATGCGATATTTGTGAAGATGATATTTGACTTTTTTATGCTTTTAATTTTATATCGTGTCCGTGTTCCTTTCGTATTAAATAATAATTATAATTATTAGTAATCTCTTGAATAATCAGTGTTGAGTATTCGCGTAACTAGGCTTTGGAATATAACACTGATACTACCCACTTGAATAAATCGCAATCGATAGGCGCAAAAAGAAAACAAAAATAAAAATTCTTAAATTTATCATTTCAACCTGTTAGCCGTCGGTTAATTCCTATCTGTACCTCGTTGTAAATTATTAATCATTGTTAATGACTTCTATTTTTCTTTTCAATGCGCTGTGATTTAATAAAAGTGATTGGGTCAGGAACGGAGAGAAGGAAATACGCCTTACTGAATTTCAATCAATAATAATTACAAATTCGTATTTATCAGCATCAGCGATAATAAAAAAATGAAATATATATATATATGGTAAAGACGAAAAAAGCCTGGCGATGTTGATAGCGCTACGGTGATAACACACAGAATAACACGACCGACCAAATATAGAAAATAAAGGCATACGAATCTCTGGCACGCTGTATTTAAATAAAAATTCATATCATTGCTTCATGGTTGTATAAAGCAGGGAAGACATATAACGCACATGAAGCAAAGTAACCAATGACGATCTTTCGTCTCGGTTTTTAACTTCGTTGCTTAGATCTACCTAATTTCTCGAAATACCCAATTTCCATAAGAAATTATGCATCTTTGTATCTGTTGCTGTGATAATTTTATCCGTCAGCTAATTTTACCCGGTTCTGAATTGCCAACCCGAGTTTGTTTGAAGCACAGTTGGTATTTGAATTTCATTTTGAGCGCTTCAAGATGTCTTTCCTTGCGGCAATTAAGTTCAGACATCGTTTAGGTATGGCGTCGGTTGAAATTTGGAACCGTTGTGGAATAGTAAAACGTTAAAATGAAAATCATATGTGCTGGGTTCTGGAAAACAGGTACAAAAAGTTTGGCGGAGGCTTTGACAATACTTGGATATAAAGTATACGATTATGATTACCAACTGTTTGAATTTCCTGAGCTGTGGAATAAGTTATTCGATGGAACAATTACCGACGACGAAATTCGGGAAGAATTGAAGGATGTTGACGCTTTCATTGATGGACCTGTAATTGCGTTTTGGGAAGACATATCGAGGGCAATTCCAGAGGCAAAGGTGAGGTTTGGTCAAATAATGTAGTCTATATTTTTTGCATGGATTGTGTGATAGCCTATTACTGTGATCGGATTTATAGCGTACCGGTATATCTTCAATATGAAAGGATTTTTCATAATTACCTCAGGGGGAGGAAAACCAATAAGACGGCTTGATCATATAATGTACCAGGCCTCTCGTCTAGCTTCCAGTCTATGTAAGGTATGGTATGGGATTAGTTAAACAGGTATTTGTTTTCAGATACATGGACTCGATGGTGGACTGAGTCGTAACCAACCTCCAACCATCTGTTACCGGTACAGTGTTTCGATTACATGAACCGCTCTACAGTGGCGAGGAGTACAGCAAACCCTTGAAAATAATTATCCCCCATAGAATTTGAACCAGCGAACCCTTGCATGGTAATCAGAGGTGCGATGCAAGAGTATTCCTAACACTTAGAACAATGTGTAATACGTCGAGCCGAGATACCTCCTTGCTTTGCCTTTGTTGCATTTGGGCAATCATCGACTATACTCCCTAAAGCATAGGAAGACAAGAAAATGCACTTTATTGTAGCCTCAAACAATATAACAGCTAACTTAAATAGAAGGAGTTCTTAGTAAATGAAATTGTAAAATTTGCAGGTAATCCTAACAACACGAGATGAAGATAAATGGCACAATAGTTTAGTTAGAAGTATTGATACGATTCCAACGATTTTAAAGTATTTCTTCCCTTTAATGAGCTTAACACCGACGGGAAGGACATTTTTGGTAGTTGGTTCACGAGTTTGTAAGTTACATTTATCATATTTATAAATAAATTAACATTACTGCTGTATAGATAAACTAATTTTATACACTAACTTAGAATGATTCCATCCAAGTTCTACTTGCTGTAATTCTTTTTAAAGCATTGTTGTGGTCGGTTATGATGCCTACTTGATTTCAGTAAATACAAAGTAATAACTTTCAAACTTTTTACACCTGTTCGTATATATAAAGTGTAAAACTTTTATATTTAGGGTCCTATTGCTTTGGATCCGGTTCTCCTATGTCTATGAAAATAAGCCCTCAACTACAGAAACGAAAATTCCGCCAGCATAACTGTTACGTGACTTCTTCAGTTTCAAAGGATAAGCTGCTCGTTCTGAATATTGGAAGTGGGTGGGAACCATTGTGCAAATTTCTCGGAAAAGATATTCCAGATATTCCATATCCACATAAAAATAAGGATGGTGCACATCTTACAACTGATGGAGGTCCACAGCATCCTAAATATAAGCAACTGAAGCTGGAATTGATGTTTTTGTTGGGCATACTTATATCAATCATTTCATACATTTTCTACGTAATTTGTATTTACATTTGTACTTGAAAAAGTTTGTTGAAAATTTGCAAAGAGCATGGACGTCAGTACATAGGGAAAGATGACTTGCTAGTAAATAGGCACAAAGCGATGTTTCATCCAATGATGAGGTCTTTATTCACTAACTCATTCTTAATAGATTGGATAGTATTCATAATTTACGTTATCTGTTAGTGATATAAAGGATAACTGTATTTTTTCTATATGCTGATACTTTCATAAAAAAGTTTTGCAAACCATATAAAGGCGGTGGCCATGATTTTTGTTGTTATTAATCATTCATTTTAGCATTGTAATTAATTATTGGTATGTCATTTTTTGTTGACTTGTATCTTCAAGTAGGGTTGAATTCACTTTATCATCAAGTGTAACTGAGAATAAAAGAATTTGTTGTAAACTTTGCACTTACCGTACTACACTCTGGTTATTTAATGTTCGTATTTTATTATTTAATAAGGTATGCAATATTAAATTTCAAGTATTATTCTAAATCGCTTTATGTGGTATAAAAGTGCCATTTTCTTATAAAACAATTTTATTGCATTGAACACATAACTCATTAATATTAATTTAGAATTGCGTTCTATGTAACTCCCTCCTATTTAGAAAAAAATTTCTCAGCTTCTCATATTTTCAAATTCCAACAATAGGAAAATTCTATCATTTTTCTAGTTTTCTTACAATCACCTCAAAATCATTTTGTAAATTGAAACGCAAGCTTCAATGTTCAGTAAGAAATCTTGCATGTGGATACCAATTTATTACTCCACATGTATGATGACATTATTAGGCTCACAAGCTCAAAACGAGATTCTCATTGGATTTTTGTTTTCGCTTGTATCTGTATATTCTATGTCACAAGGCGTAACTGCTCTTGTAGTACTTTTGTGTTTCATGTTTAAACTTCATTTGAAGTTTTGCAAACTTTTGTGAATTTCCATCATGTCTGTGCTTTTTACTTTTTTATACTAAGTGGGTGTTTAAAATATATTTAACTTATCTCAATCATAGCACTATAACAGAGGAAGTTTGTACTAGTACAGTAGTAGACTATAAAATAAGTTAGAAGTCCATTCTTGGCCTTGGGAGAGATGAACAATGCCGCTTGGTTGTCTTGAGAATAGTCGGACATTATTAGTGCGGCACCTTCCATCATGTTTAAGTTCAAAAGAAAAGGAAGAATTGTTGAAGTACTTTGGTGCATTTGAAGTACGGGTGATGCCCAAACATGGACGTTTGGTAAGAAATTTTCTTCTGTTTCAAATTTCTTGATCCATTTATCTAAGACTTTAAAAGTACTATGTTGGGAACATGACTGCTTGGACAGAGATATTTGTGTATGATCTGCTTACCTTACACCATGTAGCCTGCAATGTGCTATTTCGACATTGATCGAAATTAGTTGTAAGTATATTCTCATTCAGTACAATCTGACTTAAGTTTATAATCGATGGAGCATCCCGGACAAATTATACAGGAATATAGAATCCTGTTATTTTGACAGTTGGCATTACTGATTGATATGATAGAGTGCTTGCTTCACATTTGAAATCCTAAAGCAAATACCTGGATAATTATTGCCATGGTAACTGGACGAGGAGCCGTTTTGGCCACCTGAATAATCAGTGTCTTTTTTCCTCTCCTCTGGATAAATATGATCAGAATAATATCAACTCCATATTTTAGAAACACACTGCTTTTGCTACATTTGAAGATCATATCAATGCGAGAAAAGCAATCGACCGACTTCACCAAGTTGAAATTTTGGATTGTGTACTCAGTGTTGAGTTTGCAAAGGAGCAACAGATCAGACTAGCTGACAAAGAACAAACTGTTGTTGAGGGAACTGAAGATTTGCGTGAAAAAGCTCAATGTGATGTCACAGGCAAATCATCTCTGAGTGAGATAAAATCAACCAATTATTATAATGGTATGTACATTCAATGAGTTTTACATCTTAACTTTGAAAGTTGGTTGTATTGTAGCAATAACATATTGTAATATATCACTGAAAGCTGAAACAGTCGGCTGTCTGAATTAAAGCTAAATTTTTTATTTATTAAGATGATATTACCCTATGTAGTGATCCAAACTTGAATGCTCAATTTTGGATGAGAAATGCTACAGAGGTGCATTTTTTGATTATTGGAAACACAGTTAGTTCTGGATGTTGTGGCCTCAAAATTTTACAGTTATGGTTACGCAAGACTAACTACCTTTTCTTGCTCTATGCCTTTACACAAGTGGATCTGATCTGTAAGTGTATAATGCAAGGATTCTATTGAGACTATTCTAATGAGTTTTTTCACATTTACAGACATACTACCTTCAATAGCTCCACATTTTGGTTTGAAATATCCTGCAAATCCTGGTTTGAAATATAAATATCCATCTCCTAATGCTGATATTCTGATCAACATATGCTCTGCTTTTTTGACGGTACCGAGACTATACACCCAGGTAAATAGCTATTATTTTTGGGCTGGCTTATCTGTGTTGGCATCACAGATTACACATCTCGGGTTCAAATGTCATGCCCCCCCCCCCCCCCCCAACCCAGGGTATAAATAAAATTGGATAGGCAATGCCAAACCGGTAATTTTTTGGTTCTCTCGAATAAAATTATCTTATTACATATCATGAGATATCGTACGACCTGTACGAGCCCTTGTTTGGTATGATTCATAATTATAACAATTTGAATGTTCATATCCCGATGATTTAACACTTAATCCTTCTATCCTATTCAATGGTATATCGTTAACTACTTTAAAAAATTTTGCCAAATTTTCAATTATTCAATATGGTAAACATTACATCATAATTTTTTGCCTTATCAATTTCTTAATGTTCAAGTATTAATCTCACATTTTTTTCTGGTCAGAAGGTGTATGACATAGTATTTCGCTACAGGCTACAGCACAAAATTTTGATACAATTCCTATTTAAGTTAGTACAATTTTACATTATCATTATCTGTTATAATGTTCTATTGTAAACAAAATTCTTGAAGATCTTTAGTGCCCCTATGAATGAGTAGTTTATGGTATGAATTGAGGGTGTCTTGTTGCCCCACTCTCATTCATTTGTCCCATTTCTACCATGTGCCCCACAAGTGTATCATTGTCCTATGGGACAAGTGCTACAAATGTGAGGCAAAGGGGACGGACCAATTGAGATATATGAAAAGGATAAATTGCTTCATAAAGTGATTACATTTTTCAAAATATCTAGACTCTTCATTTGATGAATAAGATGAATCTTGTGCCTCCATTCAATCCTGCAACAACTGTGCCTCCTATGGTAAGTAAGAGAAATATCATGTTTCAATTTTGGCAATGGGATCAACTAAATAGTTAACAGAAACATTCAACAAACAATGACATCTCTCACAAATGGGTATCAAAGTTGAAAACAAGTTTCGTATCTAAACTATTATAAAATATTTGAAAAAAGCCTGGTTTGCTAACAGCTTGGTGCCAGCAACTGTTTAATATTTGTCAAAGACGCTGCAGATTTTGAATTGTCCTTGTTATTTTGATCTCTTTCACAAAATTAGGTCAATATTACAACCAGTCAAAATTCAATATATTTTGAATTTGGGAGAGACAATAATGCAGTGCTTCATAAGACATTGCACTTCACATTTCGTGAAAAGACCTATAGACTTAAACCACCAACCGACAAAAAACATACAAGGTACATTTAAAATGTTACTTTCTCTCTAAAGTTGCCTATTTGTGTGCCAAATTTTCAGCTTGTTGAACACATACAAAAACTGTGCAACCTAAGTTACAATGTACTGGGGAACAAACAAAGTAATAACACCAGTATTTCAACGGAACCTGATAAACTTGATGTCGTTGAAATGTCAGAATCTGAATCAGAATATGAAAGTGCCGAAGATAGTGAGTATGAAAATAAGAGTAACAGCCCAGAACAGCATGGGATAGCATGAAGTACTGCATTCCGAGTTACTATTCCCATTCTGTATGATAGTGTTCAGTTTAATAGTGACTGATATTGTTGAACCTTAGATAAATAAAAAATATTAATATTATTTTTCAGCAATTCATATTTTGAATAAAGTTTGAAATTATATCTAAATTTTATATGTAGTTGTTAGAAATTTTTACAATTTACTCCAAAAGCAGGGGGCCGAATGGTGCAGTTTGCCCACCCCTGGCCTAAAACATTTGCTTTGGTATTATAGTTAGTCTTGTATTTGTATATTTCAGTTTGATAAATCTCAAATATTTATACAAAAGATTAATATTCAGTGGAAATTTTTTTCGGTTTTCTTGTCTGCATTTCACTATAGGTGACCTAAATCTATGCTTTAGTTGTCTATTTGATTCAAATCATTCATGAAAGTGAATATAAGTAACATATTAGTAGCATATTTCAGACCTATTTGAGAGTATCAACTTTCAACTTGTTTTCTTGCGTCATAATTTCATTTTGTGCCGATAATATTATTTGCCATTATTAAGATGATGATAAAACTGTGTCATTGGATATGAATGTACCTGAACGAGTGTTAAAGGCAAGAAAACGTAGAAAAGAGAAGTCTCTAAAATTTGGAGACAGGAAAAGACTGAAGTTGAAAAATTTGATTACAGATAACACAACTTTGAAGGTGAGCTTCTGATCATAAACTGCAGTGTGTTCGGAAAATTATGAATTTAGAAATTTGAAGTCCGTTCTTGCTTTTTTATCTACGAGCTAACCACCAGAGTTGGCGACAATGAATTGACATCGATTTGGGTCCCCATTCATCAAAGACTCTTGAGTGGCTAAATAAAATGCCTTTTATCAGCTAATTGCCAATGAGACTTAACTTAGTAATTGATTAGACTTGGATGGCATGTGACCTGACTTAACGTTTTAATATTTCTTAGCGGTACTGCTAACCCTCTACTGTAATCTGATTAAGGTGAAAATTGATTGTATTTTCTAGTCCTCGACTCTTGTTGAAACTGTGGATCGAAGCATAGCATTTGAAGCAAGTACCGTCGATATGATAAAGAAACCAATAGATATCAAGGTATGTTTTGGTAAAATTAGCTCTTTAGTTTTCTCCAGATATGATTATCATGCATGGAAATAGAAATGGGTACTTGAAATACGGGGTGCAATATGTATACTATTTATAGTAATGCAAATTTAACATAAAAACTATTAATACTGTTTGGCTTTAATTTGCGTTTCATGTTTGATTGATGATCTCCCTCGGATCGTCCGATAATAATTATTGGAAAAAAATCATATCCGATGAATATTTCTGCTAGTCATTCTCTAAGCCTTTTCTAAATATTATTTCTTCGCTGATGCCGATCAAGTACCATTATAATATTACCGAATTTCATTATTGTTTTTATCGGTTAATTCTCTTATCATATTTAATTAAGTTTATAATTATAACCATACTTATAGTTGCCTTCTGCTCTCGATATTTCTACACAAGTTCAAGAAAGTAAAAAAGATGATCTACCTGAAACTGAACTAGCTGTAGGAGACGATCATGCCAGCGAGTTGAATGATACCCAGACTGAAGGATTTGGGAGATTGCTGCCAGTGAAATCAACCGGCGAAGATGATGATAATACAGCTGATAACACAACTGAAACAGGTGAATCTTCTCATCTTGACTCTGTAAAGCAGGAGTTCCCAACTGGGGGGGAAATTTGCGAGCAAAAATGGGTGGCAATGACTGTGTAAAAGATTGTGAAGTTGAATATTTATCACACTGTAAACAGACCATCTAGCCTTGTTTGAAACACTGTGCGCAGTTGAGACTGCAATTCTACTTTCAAATTTGCTGAGGTATAAACGAGAAAATAAAGGTTGAGATACCTTGCTTTAAAACTTATCGAAATATGCAATGCGACTGTGAAGCATGATATGTCATTTTGTTAAGTTGGTAGGGGGATATAATTATATTATGTTAAATTTTATTGGTTTTGGGAAAAAATTAATTTCTATCACTCCATGGCATTTTGGAATAAGCGATACAGGAAATAATCATAAAAACTTCAAACTAAGCATACAAGAACTTGACCTCCGCTCCGACACTAAGCTGTATTTTCAGCCTCTAATATACGGTAGGTAGCCAATATAAATACGATCATAATAATATTTGTCAGTTATAAAAGATTACATTACGGAACAACAATTGGAATCGGGTAGACTGTCAAAGAAAGAAATGTCTAATTCATCACTATATGATAAGTATCAGAAAGGTGAACCAACATCCAGGTTGTATATAAAGAATTTGTCAAAACAAGTGACGGAAAAAGATTTGAAATTTATTTTTGGAAGGTGGGTTATAGTGAATGCAAGAATTTGAATATACTGGAAACTTTATTATACTTGTATTGTGCACTCAAGGGTTTTAAATTGTGCTCTGCTAGGACTTTGTCTCCTGAGCCTGTGTAAAGGCCGTAAGGCTGTCCGAGCGAACCGAATATCGTTTTCCGACTAATTTGCGAATTGGTGGAATAAAGTATATGAAGCCCCACAAGCCCGCATTTGCACAGGGTTTTTCGCCAGGAGAACGTTGAGCTTTGTGCTCGAACGCCTCTCGCATAGCTGGTTTCTCAATATTTTTCTCACCTTCATTTTGGGTCAAATAGATATGACTTAATTTCACTCAGTCCAGTAATAGTCAGCCAATCAAGGTAATATGAGCCTCAATGAATGAATATCTTTTTCTACACATGTCAGACACTTCCATCTGCAGATTTGCTCCATGTTTTGTTTACTGGTTGCAAATTAGCATTGTTCTTAACTTCTTATCTTACAATTTGTAAACTGAATATTCTAGACTTTGAGGGTCTATACTTGATTTGCTAGTAAGATGTGTTTGTGATTCGTCCTCTTTTAGATTTGTTAATTTCAATGATGAGAATGAAAGTAACATGTTTGATGTGCGGTTGATGACACAAGGAAGAATGAAAGGGCAAGCATTCATAGGAATGCCAAACATCGAAGCCGCCACAAGAGCTCTGAGAGCAACTAATGGTTATCAGTTGATCAACAAACCGATGGTTGTGCATTTTGCAAGATCAGCAAAACCTAAGTGATAGTCCTGACGCTTGAATACGAAAATCAAGTATGGCGAGATTGTTTACGAGCGCAAAAAATGCTCTAGTTTTGGAGCTTGAAAATGAACATACCAAGATGATCCGTCCGCCTGTTTCACGAAGCATGGAATTGAAAAGCATTTTCAACAGACAATAAGGGTTGCAAACACCAATGTTTTTGTGTCGAAAATTGGTTTCCTGACAGCTGGACTTTGACCTCAGCCTATGCTACGACTTCAGTGTATTTATGAGGCCTTTGTAGACTGTAGAGGAAAGCTTTCTTTGAAGAGCAGAGAAACTCAATGTTGTGACTTGCATCCCCGCAATATCAGTGACGCTAACACTGCAATGGATTCAAGTGCTTATGTTTAGAATCCTTTTCTGTTCTCTGTCTTTTCAGCTGGTATGTCATTGTGACTCTAATGAATATACAATGAGGTAATAGTGTGAACGGCTTTATAGCTCTCTCTCTCTCTATATATATAGTGGGGTCATGGTCAAAAGAAAAATCCTTTGCGAGTGATTACGAATGACCTAATAAGAAGTTATGTACCGGTATGTATCAGATATTTCTCACACAAGACCTGGTATGTATCAAGCTTGCACATTAAGGGGCCAAATATCAGTACGCAGACGATATACAAAACCAGTACATAGAGGATGGATCTGTTCCATAGCATTGTTTATACTGCTTTCAGTTCTGACTGATGAGCGGTGGCAAAAAATCTTCATAGACACTAGTACACTCCATCCTTTCAATAAGTCTCTCACCGTTCATACTTTTATTAGGGCGAAGCACAATATTAAAAGTACAATACAATGCATAGTGACGCTACAACTACTACAAAAGTATCAAAGTGAATATTCAGCTAGGAATAAATAGTGCTCTAGGTTTCTAGGAACAGTGATGTGAACATACAACTATATGTATTGTAAGGATATATAAATTAACACAGGGTAAAACCTAATATGGAATATGCATTAGAAACCACACTTAAATTCCGACATCCTCAAGTATGTGCACCAAGATGGCTTCAGGTTGTGTACACGGTTAGGGTTCAGGCTATGTGACATCTTGGTGCGCATACTTCAGGAGCACCCTAAATTCAATAGCACCTCCTCCATACTGTACGAAATTAAATGTACCATATCTTACGGACCATTTTTCATTTAAAAAGCGATTGGGCGGTGGGCACATAATGTATGATTCATGTGATGCTTCATTGCCTACATTCAGAGTCTGGTGCACCTTATGTATGGACAAAATCTCTATCCAAGCCAATTTATTAACGATGCACCTTACCGTCTGTAAAATTAAAATACAGCAGCACTATCAATTACATTTTCAAAATTTGGTGACGGGTATATGCAAAAAATGAAATTAATAAATCCTTATTGTGACATTATTTGTTGGTGCTATACTATCGCTAAATATACATTTGCTCGGTGATTTGGTAATGCAGTTCATAACAAGTAGCAGATACATATACCCACTGCGGGAATTGTGATTGATTTTTCGTACTAGCGAGCTGTTCCTCCTGCAAATGTAACCAGGGTGTGGAGTCCGAGTCAACATTTCGGACTTTCAATGGAAGATAATGGAAATATATATGATAAAGTATAATTGGATTTTCTTGGAGCTGGGTCAATTGAAAATGTTCCAGTCTCCACAGTCTTGAATAAAACTATGAACTGCAAGTGTATAATTTGACACAGATTTAGATGGCCACATAAGGTACTGTTTGTTGATAATTACCCTTATGAGACTGCCATGGTGACTTACAGTTTGGCTTTCAAACTTCTCAGTGGAATTAGATTGGATGGATTCAATTTCTTTTTCAACAGTGTTACATTTTCATCAACTGGTAATTCACTTAATTTAACCCATTTATAATTTGGTTTGCAAATTGGAGGCCCATTACAAGAGTTATCTATCTTCAGTTCAACTATAATACTGACACCCAACCCATCATGTCCCATTGATGATGCTCCTGTGTGCTCAATATTCATTACACCTAATATCGTTATGCTATAATCACTGTGTTGATTGAGTTGTAATAAATCTTTGCAAATAGCATGAACTGCTCTATGGAAAGAAATGTCATCCTGATGAATACGAGAAGTAGGGACACAGTATTTTCCTTTGTCGTCAACGTTCGAAGATTCTTCTCTGTTTTCAAACGAAGTTTGTTCCAATAGAATTGATATATCTTGATCATTAGCTGGTTGTTTATATATCATGAGTGCTCGTATAAATAGTAGTTTCTGAGGTTCAAGTGAAGGAAGCAAAACCACAGATCTGGAATTAAAATTTATTCACAAACAAGGTTTATTCATTTAGAGTAGACGATTCCGGAGGTTGAATTAGAAAAAATGTTAGACCAGAATGTAAAAATAATCAAAAAAATGAATAGAAAACCCAAATCATACTTGCTAGGATCTGTTTCATGTCGCTTAACACCAAGTTCTATCAAAGGCAAAACATCTTTACATCGGATCTGTATTTTTTCCTCCCTATCCCACCACATTGCTTGTAATGATTCTTCATCTGCTTCTTCGGTTGTTTTCAACTTTCCACCAGTCACTTTACCTTTAAACACACACAGAAAATATATAACAGGCATTCAATGCATTGGGTGGCCCACCTTAGAAAATTTAACTTGTTTTTCTAAGTCATGAACCACGGTTTTAGAATTTATACTTCTCCATCATTGTTGATGCATATCTAGACTCTGTGCCATATTTCAGTGCTCGAAGCAAAACTCTCTCAAAGTGAGTCTATTGGGCCTTGAGAGCCCATGTCCAAAAGCAATGCTTACCCACTAATGCAAATCTGACCCATCGTCCACCACATTCTTCAACACATAATAATGAAGTTGGTTCAAATTCCAGTCCAGCTTCTTCCAAAACTTCTCTTTTCACTGCCTCAACTGTCGTAAAGTATTGATATCAAATTAGATCGCTTAGATTGGAAAGATAAATCTGTGACACTCAAATTAATAGTGCTATATGGCTGGCCCTGTGCAAGAATCCACTATAACCATCCAATGCCCCCACAACAGAAGATACAGCATATGTTAATTCAGTATTCTTTAATGAGGCTCAATCTCTAGCTCATTAAACTGAGTGAAAAATTGACTGGCTACCCAAAATAGATTTTCCTGGTATTAATATCTTATGCACAAAACCAGAATCTGATAACTTGCCTATTGTTTCATTTGGCTCCATTCTACCAGCAGGTAAATACCATTTCTTATAGCATGATACTTTGGCCTCTTGAACCATGAGTACTCTTCCATTGTCATCAATCACAATTGCTATTAACGTAGGAAAGATGACCATTTAACTATAGGTGTTTGAACACAGTAATTGAAAATTTTAGGTCAGACGTTAAGGTGAATATCTAAGGTATGATTGAATTAAAATGATATGTAGTACTGTAATATTGGGATTCCATTATGGATTCTGGTCTACAATCTAAATACATCCAACATTAATCTTATTCTGGAAACAATAAAATGAGAAATAACTGAAGATTGGTTAAACAATTTTCAACAAGTCAAATAATTGGGCTATTGGTGATTAGTTCGCTTACTTTGATTCATCATTTAAAAATAATAAAAAAGGCAATCATCAAATAACATAAAAAAGGTGAATTGTGCTATAACTAGAGAAACACATCAACAAATAAAACCTGGAACTTTACAGTTGGCTAATATTTCACTCACCTGCAACAATATAGCAAACATTCTGCTTAACTTTTATTGCCTCATACTCATCCCCTTCTTCAACATCACATTCTTGTAAGATTGATCCATTACCTTTTACAAAGCTATGTATCGACCCTGATAAGGATCTTTCCATTATTTTCTGAATAAACAAATACGGTAATCAGAGCAGTGGTTCCCGAAGCAATGTATCGCAAGATAATTTTGAGTATGTTAACGAAAATCAATCGATTTTTAAATATATATTTATCTTATTTAATAGTTGTCATTAAATGATAAAAATTGTTCAATTATGCTGAAAAAGGAATAAGTCTGGCGATATTGGATATTCAGCTGCAATATGCTCTTTCATGTATGTGAAAACAGGATCAAGTTTCGCATTGATAAAATATGCGTGCCTCGTAAAACTTTGGAAACCTTCTATCAAATACAACGCAATGGGTTTTCGAAAAATAAATTAGGTGTCACTTTTTAAAAATATAGTATGTGCAATATGCCAGATTTGAACATAATGTCATAATAACAAAATTGTTAATGAGCGGGGCCATTACACCCAATGCCTTTTGCCTATACTAGTTAGGTATTTTACAAAGATAGACATATTTTAGCAGTGGTCCATTTACGGTTGTTAGTAAATCTCTTTGATCTTGCCAAATTTAGGGTTGGTTAGGGCTAGGTTCAAATCGGTCTTACTACTTACTGAATACAGCGCAAAACAGAGGGAAACAGCGCAAAACAGTGTGGAAATAGCGTGAAAGAGCGCAAAACAGAGGGAAACAGTGTGAGGCAGAAAAAATTTTTGCAATGAGTTCGGGGCACCTTGTTTTGAGTTGGAGTACCACGGCAGCAAATTAAAAACACAAACCAACGTATGTAGCCAGTTATGCTGTAATGGCAAGTCTGCCCCTGCTGGTGACACATTTTGGGTACCATAATTTAGAACATTTTCCATATGGATATGGTTGGCTTTAGGGTTAGGGTTAGTTAAAAAGGGACCTCCAGAAGTATGTGCACCAAGATGGCGCACAACCTGAAAATAGTATGTGTGTGTATGTGTAGCGGATTCAGGTTGTGCGACATATTGTTGCACATACTTCTGGAGCACCAAAAAGGTAGATAAAATTTCGCATGATGACCTATAATCCGGTACATAACCTTGTAAATATGCCGGAAATAGCGCCATAAAACCATGGCGTGAGGCGCCGTGGTTCTTTCGTGGCAGGAGGTGGTAATGACTGTGTCTCCTGTTTTGCGCTGTTTTCCTCTATTTTGCGCTCTTTGCGGTGTTTCGCGCTGTATTCAGTAAGTAGTAAGACCCGGTTCAAATTCATTTTCACCCTGCTTAGGATTAGTTTTCAAGTACAAAATACTTTAGTTTTCAAGAGACAAAAATTATTCACATATAATAAATCATTATAGGTTTTACACAACTATTTTTTGGAAAGATATCTGCTATATAACTGTTCAATAAGATTATAACTTTAATGGTATTGGCAATATTGTTAGTCACTTTACATTTCTATTCCTTATTGCAGTATACAATGGCAATTATTACAAAATTTCCAATATTAGGATTAAAGCCTTCCACCTCATAATATTAAACTAAATTAACCTTCTATATTACCGGTATATCCCCATGATTGTGTGTGTTGTGTTGGTAGATACTTTTTGGGTGCTTAAACACATACAGAGTACCGGTACCACTTCTTTAAGGCAATGGGATAGGATTTACATATTTACGTCTATATTACCGTCGCGCCCTCGTGCTTGGTAGTATTAGTTACCGACCTTTTAGATTTATGCTTGTTTGAATATTTTATTGCATCAAACGTTGATTATGAAAAAAAAACGACCTTTCATACTAAAGTTAGCACAAAATACCCAGAGAACATTTTGGGAAATTCCCTAGAGATGCAATTAAAAAGTGGGCGGTAAAGAGTCAAGATTTTTCCCACGTACATATATAAAATTTCAGCCTTCCGAAGTACGCAGTAATCAAAATATATTAAAAATAATGCTTCCGGGTTTAAAAACGTAACTTCTTTGCGTACCGAATTGTGAATACGGATAAAGGTAGTCACGCGGACCACCAGCAATATTTTGATTATTCAGAGGAAAATGTTCCCATAGTTTGTCTTTTTAAACCATCATATTTGGGCTTTGGAGCAAAGTGAACGCAATAATCCAATTGAAACCGTTTATATGTGCGGACGTCAAGTTTAAAAGGTATGCGTGAAATTGATATCATTTCTATAAATTTCAGCAAACATCACAAACACTTTGTTCCTTTAAAATTATTTTCAAATGGGTATGAAGAGTCCGCTATATAAATTAAAAAGACAGAGCCTTCACAAGTTCACAATTACACACCAATTTTATGCTGTTGGGCTCTTCTATTTTGATCCCTTTTCCCATATACCAAGTGCTTCATGTTTGGAGATCGTTTCTTTCTTGTGTTAATGTCGTGTGATTATTATCACTCATTCTTTCTATTCATAAATTTTTTTCTTAATAATTAAATAGTTTGATTCGTAACGCTGCCGTGAATATTTTCTTTAGTAGTGGATTATAATGATGCATAGAGAATCATATAACCTGCGAAGATTCATACAAACTGATTTGAATAGAAACTTCAACTATTCTATCTTCTAATGTTTCGTTCATTGTACCTTTTCAATTAGTAACACTTGGTTAGGTTCTTAAAAATTCTTAATTGATTTGAAATCTTTCAAGGTGAAATAGTGAAAAGGATGCCACAATCGTATCAATCGTTATAATAGCGTAACAAATGGATATTTCATACAACATAACATCCTTTTACTTTTTGGGTAATACTGTCCATCTGTCATAAATGTCGAAATTTTATTACATTTTGACCTTCCATATTGATCCTTTCCGCGAAGCTCTTCAAATATGCGCTAAGGCTAAGCGATGTACAAAAGGTGGCAGGGATCTTACCCGACAGTTGTAAAGAGAATAAATATTTAAATATAGATCACAGTAAAATATTAATTATTGCTGATTTTTCAATTTAAAATTTGATACCGAGTTATTCAACATACCGGGTTAACAAGTAGGCATCGCAACTTCACAAAGGGGAATTCTGAATGGAGCGAAACTGAAATATTACCTCAACAACGTACGTCGCAACTGTTGTATTCAATACTTTTGGGCGGGAACAAAGCCTTATCCATATTACATTTTGTGTGGTGTTACCTCCGAAGCGCCGCATTACCCACGACACATTATCCCTTGTAAGAAGCTCAAACATGTAATGAAACGCCATGGTGTCAAAAAACGTGACGTTATAGTGCTCGTTTCTCGTTGCGTGGTTCAATGTTGCACGACACAAATGAATAATCGGGTTAATAATCATTAGACTAATGGAGATTTCGTATGATCATTTTTACTGGATAAAAAATAAACTAGACTATGACTAGAACAACTAAATATTATCGCCAAAAAGCGATACCGCGATATAGACAAATTGACTAAATACGATATTCTTTAACATATTTTGGAAAATATCAACATGCCACAACGTTTCTATTGCCTCATGCTATATTTTAGCGTACGGGGCAAATTACCTTACCTTCGAAGGCGATAAGTCGATATGTTATAGACCATGGTATTTCTCAGTTATCCCTCGACAGCGAAGGCCATTCTATACATAGCCGACAACGCTTATCGAATTGTTCCACCGTTTGACGATTCCCAGGATTCGAGGAATTCCCCGTCTTTAAATATTTTGGTAATTTATCCTGAATCATGCGCGGGCGATTGATAAAAACAGATGACATGCTCAATTTGATATAATGTTTGTAAGGAATGGTGTAAAGGACAACAGGAAGCAGATTTATTAATAATCGTAAACCCTTATCCGCTTTGTCAGACCAAGTTTGGTCCATGCGATGACACAGATTGAATTCAATGAAAGGTAAATGAATAAGCAAACGCAATATTTACTTTTGTGCTTAAGATTGACGGGGACCGACTATAGCGGGGAAAAAAGTTGCTTAGGGATAACAAGAGTAGCGTTATGTTTCATAGTCATTTTAATTTTAATTAATTACAAGCGATAGCCCAAGATGGGAACGATGAGTGGTTTTTAGTAATGGTTTATTTATATCGAAAATCATAGTACCGGTAATGGTATTTTAATATTACTATAGGTATAGGTCCTCGCCTGACAGCGCGATAATAACTTGGAGAAGAATAAATAAACGACCATTGGTACACTGATAGTTATGTATGTGATTTATCGTTGCAATTGCAACTGAGACAATCTAAAATAGCGTCTGATGGGAAGCACCTCAAATCTTTGCAGTACTGTAGGAAAATAGTCAGCTGGGAACAAATTTTTTAAAATCTTATGGGTAGATTAAATAATTCCATTGAATTGTCATCGATGTTGCAATTCTTCGTAAGCCGAAGTCTATTTTAAATCAATCATACTTGTTACTCATATTAGAATTTAGTCGCGGATTATGAAGACATGAATGTAGAAATTTTAGTTGCAGACTTCAAAATATTCAGTAAATAAACATAAAATATACATAAATAAGCAGTTGCATTTAGTTGGGACAACGGTATAACGCATTCGGTATATTCGCGACAAACAAGTAAATGCATCTCAAGATCGTAGTATCTGATTGCCCTTTATCATATTATAATATACATATGACGCTAGCAATGTTGTTCGACTGTAAATGTTAGAATTCGTTAATCAGTTGCCTGTGAAACATTACTAAATTAGATTACAAATGCCATACCACACACATTGAGCTATTTACACGTGGGTACACATATTGCTCATACATAGTTGTATCAAATAGGTATTAATTGAATTTTAACATTGGTTTTACATATTGTGGGGAGTCAAAACATTGCAGCCCACCTAATGCAAGAGTCATAATTACTGTTTCATATAAGTTGAAGATGAATGGCAATTCATCTTACATTGGTTCAGACCAGCTGAAGACCTACACAGTGGATCAAGTTGCAGATTGGCTGTGTCAGGTAAGTCGGTATAATTAAACCTGAGGATCAAAGGATTAAGTGCAGAGTTGGTGGCTCATTCTCATCATCTCTGCGCTTAATTTCTAAGTTTTTTTTGCCTCAACAATGAAGCAAAAACTGTGTTTGAATTCCTTTACTCAGTCATTGGAATGACTTCATAAGAAATATAGCTTGATAGTTATCTTTTTCCTAATTTAAACAGTATTGTAAACTTAATACTAATATAAATTGTTCAGGTATGAATATAATATTATAATATCATTTCAATGTAACTTTCTATTTACCATGTTTATTCTAATTAATATTCTTCAACTTATGATCTCAAAAATCAGTTGTAATTATGGAAATTTTTAACAGCGATTATATTTCTTTGTTACACCTAGGTTGGATTTCGCGACTGCACAGCAAAGTTTTTGGAACGAAACATTGATGGAAAAAAGTTACTGGTATGATTCTAATATTTTTCATCATATTCATACTAGCTAGTAAATTTTATTTACGTGTAATTAATTCTGTTAAATTGTACCTCTATGACTTTACTCAGTAATTGGGTTTTTGTCCAAATATTACCTAAATTTTATATTCATCATTTCATCTATTTTCCATAATAGAAATGTATTTGCAACATACCTGCCCTTTTTAAAAATATTTTAACTATCATGAAATCAGTTCCAAATCATAATATTATTATCAATGACCTCCTTACCTTGCTGACTATAGACATTCAAAATTTTTCTGAAATATTTCTCCATCATTCAACAAATTAAATGACTGTCATAAAGCTGGATTTTTCTCATTGCCATCGGTATTATTCTGAACAACTGTTGCGCATTTCAATATAACAATCCTTAATGGTCTAATTCGTTTTAACTAATGTATTATAGCATCCTTTGGCAGGTAATATAGCATTCAATGGAACTTCCTGAAATATGACGCTCCATGTTATGCTGCGATTGTTTTTTTAAATACATGCTTCATTGCAATATTATTCATACTGGTATTTAATATCGCTGGACTATACAACAGTGACTCTTACAATTTGTGAATGTGATATAATAAACTGACAGCTGAAGTTATCTTATTAGTATTAGTAGTATCTTTCAAATTTGGTTACCAAATGAAGTCAGTAGTAATTGAAGCATTATTAGTTTGGGCTTCATATATAACCATCATTGAAAGCTAAATTTGTGCAAGTTAATATTTACCGTAATTAGGAGTAATGGAGATAAAGAGACTTTACTTCATCTATTTGGTTAGTTTTGGCTCCTATTTGAAACTTTTAGATAGAAATTGGTTATAACCGTAAGTTTGCAGTTATGGAATATTTTGATTGATTTTCCTCATTTAATTCTTAATCACTTTTTATTCCAGATTTACTTTACTTGAGAATTTTTCATGATGTATAACATTCAATATCATAAATAATAGACTTGCGATATATTTTTCGTACAGGATTTACAAGAATTTCAACTGAATAATTTTATTCTCTCTGACAATAAAAGAAAAAGGTACAGTTATTTTAGGCTTCGTACATAGATAGTATTTGGTGTGATCAGGTTTATTTGCAACAGCTATGCCATCTTATCAGAATATATTATATACCGATATGTTAAAATTTGAATACATGGAATTGATCATACTTCATGCAAATTAGTTTCAAATATAAAGCCATATGCGTTGTACATCGTGGTGCAGACAAGTTTTGCTGATTTGATACTATACCTACATTAGAGGAAATGAAAAATGAGTGAGCAATTAAATACAAATGAACACTCAATTTATATTACCCTATTGGCTGTTTTCGTATTCAAATTTTCCTCAAGTATTTGACAAAATCAGGAGTATTGAACAATGAATATACAATCTGTACCACTATGGATAATTTCTTCATTCTTAAGGTGTTATTAAATTTTCTAAATGTGGTCTTAAGTAAACCAGCTTATCTTGGAGATAATCAAGTTTGCCATCATTATTTACATTGTACTGTTTGATTTGATTTTGGTACAAAGGTACATCTTCGCCGTGATTTGTAAAATATTAACCTGTTATTTTATTTCTGTTTGCTTTTGACAAATGTGAGATATGCTATGCAGCTCTGCTGTGGTATCTCCATTGACCAAGTATGGCCTGTCTCAAAATTGATGATATTAAAAATCACTTCCACTTGTATATTCATTTCTTTTTTTATATCGACATATACTGCTTGCTTGTCTCAATACAGAGCCTTTTGGAGCTTGCTTGAATCAGTTCGGAACAATAACCAATCGAATCCACCAAATTCAAAGTGAGTTCTCTTCTTTATTATGACAGATGTTTGATATTTTTTTAATATAAACCTAGATGTTTCTTAATTTTAATTAGCAAATGTTTTCTGTGGAAGTTCTCTGATATTAGGCAGGACTTCAGAAAGTCTCCACAGAAATGAGAAAAATTTAATACAAATTGTTTTCTAAATGCGATCAAATGATTCTTAGCTCAAGATTTGCTCCTTTTATATGCATAATTTTCAAGGGATGTCAAACTTTACAATAACTTTTAATTTCAACACATTTTAGAAATTCAAATAATTCTATTTTTTTAATTTTTTTTATACTGTGTTTGTTGTGGAATACCTAAACTGCAAACACTGAAATTTGTTTCTCATTAGTTGAGGGTTCAAAATAAGTTTTGGATGAATTCTTACAATGAGAGAAAGGTCACCAACAATATAATTAGCAAATAAAAACCTATATTAGATTGTTACTTTTTACTACTACAAAATATTTCTAGCAGAAAAACATTTAAATGAATGAGAAAGTAGAATAAATGTATAAGATGAGTGATGGCATGATATTTTAATTAGTCAGGAAGCACTTGTATTATTACTTGACGAAAATATGTTAGTGAAAGATCAACATTAGAAGCCAGTAAATGAGTCATGTCACCAACTGATAGAAACCTGAAGTTAAGTTTCTGTAAGTTAGTTTCATTCTTTAATCATAAGCTGGATAAAAAATAACCGAAAGAAAGTGAAATTAACCTTTCGACATGGCTTCTAAATTAAGCATGTAGAAATTAGTGTGTGTCACAGGTTAAATTTGGCAATTTTGTTAAATACGATGGAAATTATAGGGATAGTTAGTACAAACAGTTTATTAGCAATCATTCTGAATTTAAGTTCTTAATTTCTTTAAGAGTAAATGCTGAGAGAGCTCAACAATAGTTGTCAATTGTGTAAAGATTGGGCACAACATTTCTTCAGGTTCAATGCCATATTTTAATATGATGCCTGCAATCATTGATGATACCTGAACAGTGTGAGGATTGTTTTCATGCATTTCTTGATAGTATAAAATGACAGGTTTCAACATGAATCGAAAACTGAAGTAAATACTTAGTGTTACAGTGGTATATTTATATGTGGATATATGAATGGTTGGTTAGAAGTAATAAAATGAACAAAAAATATAACACCTTGACAGCCCTTTCAAGATTTGAGTGCGATTATTCCCCAATGGTTCAGTAAATATATTAGTATGAATATTACCACTATGATTGTACGATTTTTGTTTTCATCCAAGTTCAGAATTCATTTGTCACTGTACCACTAACTTCTGAACCATCTCAAGCATTCATTCATGTTTGATACTTTCTTGGCCAATCATTAGATTTTACTCAAGGTGTTATTATATTGACTGGTGCTTTTGTACATCACGTCATGAGGATAAGAATTCCTTCCTGGTATTTCACAAATATTTTGACAGCAAAAAATTTCCAGAAAAGGGTCATAAAGAGTTCACCCTATGACGTTTATTTGTTCAAGTCTCTCATTAATAAGAATAGACAGAATTGATATTTGAGCTAGGATAAGTATAATTTAATAAGTATATCTGGGACACCTGAATATCAGTAAGGCAAGCTTGTTATGTTGATATTGATATCTAGAAATCTCATATTTGTGAATCCAAGTGGAAAATTGCCTTATGCTTTATACGAAGAGAATAGTCATAGGTCACCATCATTGAAACTCTAAGAGCTATAAACATATGTTTGTATATACACTTGATTTTGTAATGGGAAAAATTTAGGTTATCACTCACTGTAAAACAGCACAAAATGTTTTTTTTTTATTACACTTTTTACTACACTCCACATTTTTTAGGACATTATACATACAAATCAGAATGTGGTATCTCAAATGTATGGAATAATAATATGATATTTTAATTAGTGTAGTGAAAAATTTCAATTTTCTTTTAAAGTCTCGACACAAAACTAATAAATCACCGTTATTTAAAAAAGAAAGATTAATTATAGCAACACATTATATTTTTTGATTGTGTCGTGTTTTACTATGTCGTCATTTCAACAACTCAGAAAGTAAGTATTTCAAGCGATTATTCATTGATTGGGAACACGAATAAAAATATTTTTCTATGAATGGAAGTTTTTTTTATGCATTGATGATAAAGTTTTCATTTGGTTGACAAAAATACTTTGGTAATTTTTGAATAGGACCAAAAAAGTGCATATAATGTTAAATTCATGATGTGGGCTATGTCATTGCATCATCAAGGGATGATTCACTCGCCTTGTACGCAATTATATGAGTGTATGGTCTGGGTCACATGAAGGTTTTTACTGCGTTTTCGCATCAAAATGTGATGTCATATGGTAAATCGGGAGTGGATGTAAACTGAGACAGCGGATATCTTATTTCGAATGTATATACTATATTATATTAAGTAGTTGTCTATATCCAATATACTTAATAGGAAAAAATGTTGCAATCTGTAGATTGTAGGCACCCACTGGGTTGTCTCTGACTAATCTTTCAATTGTTAATCAGAAAAATAAAAATACAAAATAATATTAATATGTACTTGATGTAACTAGATTGTTAATATCATAATATTCTTGTCTATTAATTTTTCCTTGTCTTTGTTTTGCAATCTGAAATAATTTAGAATTAAATTTGAAATATTTACAATCTGGGATACCAAACTCATTAAAAACAACTACATCTAAAAAGCAATTATCATAAATGCCTTGTCATGATGTTAAATCTATACCATTCAATTTCTGTGTTATTTACCCCCTGTACTTTTTTACAGCATGTTTTCTGGTGGAGGTGGAAGACTACCACCATCTCGTCCTCCCAAATCAATGCCAGGATTTGGAACTCATAATAATGGAAGAGTTCCGCCACGACGACCACCACCAAACCAAAGTATGTAGAGAGTAGTACAGTTTGACTTGTTATTGTGTGACAGGTTAGGAATTGGGATTGATTTGCTGTTTGGTTACTAAAAGAGTTGAACAAATTGTATGTATGTGTTTTAATTTATTTTCTTTTTAAATTATGGTAATCAATATATATTAAATGCCGAATGTGATTCTTTACCTCAAAGTTTACTCAGCAAAGGCTGAGCAATATATACTTGTTTGAAGAAATCATAGTTACTTGTAAGAAAATATATCTAATTTATGTAGATTTCTTACAGTTGATCAAAACTTGGCTACCTAGACTTTCCTCAAAAAGAGAAACATCACTGATAGAAAATACAAGCATCCACTGAGACACTAAGTGCTACTCATATATTATTACATTTTGATAGAGGTATCAAGGCAAAGAAGTTGTATTCACAAGTAATAACAGATTAATATCCATCAGAGATATATATTTTTTGAACCTTGGCTTGAATAATGAAATCATTTCGCAAGATGATTAATATTTTTTAAGTTTATGAAATAGTCAATAGTGAGTGAGTGTGAATATGTTTTTGAACTTTGAACGGTGGTTTGGCTCATCATATTACAGGTGAGGAACTTGATCCCCATTGATTTCAATTGCAGTACTCCCATAGTGTACATCTCTCACATTAGTGAGAGAAGATTGCTGGGCATTTCAGATATGTGCAGTTTACTTATGGCTTTCCCCAACTAAATTTGTATAATTAAATTGAATAGAACCCTGTAACCCATAACTTTACTCAGAGATCTCTCTCCTATGCTTCTGAGTGAGTGTAATATTATGCATCTGAATATTTCAGCAATATCCAAATATTTCCACAGGTTCACAAAATATGAACCTATGTTTCTTTGAAACCACATTTTAATTTCTTATTTTCTCTTTCAGCATTTGAACCAATGAATCCAAATCTTATACATGATGTCAATTATGATTCATTCTCTGATGGTGACGATGTAAGTTCCTAAATATAACACAATTAAATAAAAATTTAGACTGTAAAAAAACAGTGAATAACAGTGGAATGATATAGACCAGGGTGGTCCAAACCCAGGCGTCATTATCTGTGGCCCGCGTTGCCTTTATTGGAGGGTAATCAAAAAATTGCATTTGGTGTTGTTTTGTTATAAAAATAACAGAAAATCGTTTCGACGTCTTGTTACATCACTAGTGTCACGGCTAGCTGAAGCAACTAGCGAAGTTGATTTGAGTGTGATTGGATAGTTCAAATTGCTCACTGGCTTTCTATCTATTTGGTTGCAAATATATCCCAAAAGTTATAATAACTAAATTTGATACCTAAATTTTGATGTTATGACCTGAGAATACAATTAGTTCCGGTAATGTTTTGCAGCCAGCGTAAACAGTATTACAAAAATTGCCTTCAATATTTCAGAATAATTAGTAATTCCTCTCCTGTACATTACATTTGATAAAATATGATATTTACTCATTCAGTAGTTATGGCAAATATAATCTAAAATGGCATTTTGCTTCCAAATTTTGAGGGATTTTGCTTTGAGAACCCCATCGATGTTCGAGAGTACTTACATTTGCAGAATCACTTTCTTCGTTATGAAGAGTTTGAAATCTCAGTGATTTTTCTGGCGTATTTAGTATGATTTAGCTTGATAAATGACAAACAATGATTGATTGTTTGCACAATGAAAGTGTTTGTTGTTTACATATTTCTGACGCTATTGTGGCCCGCGAACAATGCAAAAATAATTTAGTGGCCCGCGAAGGAGACTACCTTGGACCACCCTGATATAGACCAACAGTGCACAACCTGCGGCCGTCCACCAAAAAAAAAATCTGTTTAAAATGTGAATATTATACTTCCAAGTAGTCTTACATACTCCATAATTGGCAGTACGGTAATAGGATAGGATGTTCATCTTTTTTTAAAGTGAGAAGAAATGTAATAAAGTGGCTTAATCCTATGGTGAACCAATCCAATCCATCCATCCCTCTTGTTCGATTACCAATCCATGTTGGGTATGGGAATAGTTGACCATTCATTTTAGATGTATGTATGTACTCTGTACTCTTTATCGAATGCTCACAGCATCGATTTATGAGCCATCAACTATTTCTAGTGTTAAAAAGTTGAAATGAAACATATTATGCAATCAATGTTCATGAGAGAATGAGTATTTATTCACTTTCCACTTTGTGTGAAAAAAAGTAATATATTTATACCTATCATATACACATAAACATTATTTATCATATGTGAAATGGCACATTTTGAACATATTTTTCCAAATTTAGATAATTTTTAAGTATTGATTTTGCCTGACACAAGTTATGCACTGAGGTTTCAAATAGCTATCAGTAGTTTTTAACAAATTACTTAGAGAATAAGAGCATAACAATAATTTACTTTATTTTTTGTATTAGAAATATTAGATCATAATTTGAAGTTTACTACTGTGAAATATGGCAACTGACTGTGCTTATCCATTTTCTAATTATAATAATATTCCATTTTAATTTTTCAGAATTATATGGACGAAGTAGAAACTCTGCCACCACCCAAACGGAGACGTAAGTTATCTTTATTACTGATTTATTATGGTGGTTATATTTTAGTATGATGAATTTATTCATCAGTTATGAAGAAATTTAAAACACTTGTCAAGGGTGTGTCTCATAAATGTGGTATCCCACACTCGCCACACTTGTCTCCTTAATCCCAATTGTATGAATCCCAAAATTTTAAATTTATCCTGGGTATTGGATTCAAACCTGCATATTCATGCAGTGCAATCAGGAGTGCGATGGCAAGCGTATTTCTAATAGTTAGCATGGCACGTCCACCGGCGAATAAATTTTCAAAATATTCCAAAATTTTAATTGTTACTAAGCTGACTTTTGCTTCCGAATTTAATTCCATGGAATTTCTTACAAATTCCATGACTTAACAGCATTTTCAATTTTCGTATATGTCATCGAAATCAAGCCATTGTTATTGTTATTGTGGGCATTTTGTAATGAGTCATATATTTGACTGCAATCAGAATGAGATGAATATCACCTAGATCAGATTCAACCCGAAATTGGGTGGAATGAAATTCACTCTAATTTATACAGTTTATCAAAAGAAAATTAAGGTTTTTAGCATTTTTCCTAGTTATTTTTTTTGCCTCCATTAAACACTGTTTGTGCTGTCAACACAACATATCTCTCAAATCTCAGCCTTTTGGGTTGATGACACACTTCAGAGTTTCATAGCAACTAGCAACCTATTTTATATTAATGCATTTTGATAGGGTTTGTATAGAATTAAAATTAGAAAAATTGTAGAAAAATTATTCTAATTTTGTGTTTTACCTGTGATGAAGACTTATTAAATTTGGAATAAAATACGACAACCTACATAAGATAAATGTCAGAATTGATAATAAATATATTCAAAATATATTATTTAAAAATATGATTCAATTATTTTGAAAATATAATACATTATTATTATAATGTATTATATTTTATTTAAATTGTTTTGTTTACATACATCAAAGTTTCATAATTGAGCAATTTTATTTTGTACAACTTTTTTAATCTTTTAGTATTCAGATTTCCTGGACTTATTACTTGATATTAAGTATAAAAGCAATACAGTTTTCTCAATTCTCATTCCAGTCCAATGTCGTTTCCTGCAATTTTCAATAATTTCATTAAAATGGTTACATCAATAGTTTGTTTCATATTAAAATTTTCAACTACTTTTAGAAGTCATTTCTGGTCAATTGCAGTTGAGTTTATGAAAGCTTTTTTCGAGGGAAATATTACCTTATCAAATTTAATTTCCCCGGTAATGTTGAAAATGTGTGATGTTAACACCCATTGTAAGGCTATTTAAGAAGTAGTGTGATAAATAAAAATATAATATAAATATAAAAATAAATGTACATTGTTTAAACATACTTTAACAACCACCAACTTTAAAATTTAATTTTGACAAAAGATAGATAGTTTCAAACAAACATTATTCAGAAATCGTTATCATGACCTTGCAGCTTTTCTTCATTTTAGATGTTGTCACTCATCACAGTAGCAAGGAGTCACAATAATGTGCATCATAAAGCATGTAATCAACTTATGTGTCAGTAGAGTGGGAGTCTTGACGTGGGAAACGTAGACGAAACTAGATTAATATTTGATATTATATTTTTTCATGATTAGATTTTAAAGTAAGTTGGTTATGGCAAAAATGTTTTTTTACTGCCATAAACATTTCCGTGATGGTAGGTTATGTTAAACGGTTGTGCAGTTGACACATATTTCGTACTTTTGTACACAACTTATAAATAAGGTAACAGATGATGGAAATTGTTTAATAATGCAGCATTTTATCAAGTACACTTCCTTGACTGGATGATTCACATACGTTGGAAAATGATATGGAATTGTCAGCCATTTTTTTTCAAAATGAATCAGTTAGTTATTAATGATTAACACGTAGAAACTGTCTTACTTGACGAAGGTATTTCAGCAACTTCAATTAATTTAAGATAAAGTACGTAAGTGAAAGGTTAGTTTGAGTTGAATGTGTAGAAGATGGGAAAATTATGTAAGATGTTATAATACCGGTACTTAATATTGATTGAGTAAGTATTATGAGTAAAAGATTAGATGCCAGTTGTAGTAACCTTCACTGATAGTTATATTAGTTTATTGTATCATGATAATTGAATAACTTCCTTATAATAATTATAGGTGATCAAGGCATTTTAAACAAAGCAAAAATTTAGAGATTCAGAAGTCTGATAATTAGGAGGAATAGTTTTTGTGATGAGAAGAAACATTGAAAGTAACAACACTTTTGGCTAATTTATTTATTTGTTTAGGCACACAGTTTTCTGACTTGAAAATTTATATTATAATTGGGTTCATAAGTTTATCAACTCAAAATTTTTTATCACCTCAAAAAGTTGAAACCAATTTTCTCATCAATTCAAGTCAAAGTCTGTTCCTACATTATGCCATGGTCAGTAGCATCTACTGGATTTGCTCTTGTTTCTTAATCAATGAATACTCTGAGAAGAATATGAGCATTTTTTGAATTATGATGTATTTGTACACACATCTTTTGAAAAACACAAAATTTGAAAATAGTGGATGATTCATAAATATGTCATAAAATTTAAATTGGTATTAAAAAAATGGGCAATTACCGGTACTTCATCATGATTTCTATGTTGTTATAAAAAACGTTATTCAATCACGACGAATTACACGCAAGACACACAAGACGAAACTGGCTCTTTATGCCAAGAAGTCAAGACACAGCATTTAACAGCCTAAAGCAGGAAACTACATTTTCAGACTCACCACCATCTACAATACAATGGCTGTGAGTCACGTAATGTTCCAAGCCAAAATATAGGTTAAAAATTCAAATGACTTCAATGGCATATCACCATTATTCCTTGAAACTTTTTTCAGATTGAGCTCTCAACATAATTGATCCAATCTAACCTGAAGTACAAACCAGTTATTGGTGTTTTAAATTTAAACAATATTTTATCATTGTCAGGTTCCCATACTAAATTACCAAATATTGATATTTTTCTGATTTTTTGAACAGTAACAATATGTGCTTGGATCATCACCATCAAATTTTTTTGTTCAGTTTCAGATCACAGTACTTAGAAATAGGCCCAGCTTCGTACTTCCTTGATTGAGTATAGTATTGTTAGTCAATATCATTTTTTATGCTTTTGGCTATGCTAGAAAGTGAATTAGTATAGCTAATATGCTATAGTTCAAACATATCAGGTTTATTCCATAAGTATCAATTATTTATATGAGTTTGTTAGTGTATATATTTAATGTATAGTAGTAAGGGTATTTAGTTTAGCTAAAATATTTGTATCTCATGGATTGTATGCCTAACATCAAAATAGCACATTTTATAAGAATGTTAACTCTAACAAAATAATTTATAATGTAAATGAAACATCAGTTTATTGTTCCGTCATCAATAATCTGCTGCCCTAAGCTAGTTGTTTACTTTTCTTTGATATATCGTTTTCCATGAGTTCAATATATAAATCCCCTTATTGTGACCAGTAACTTCAGTAAACCAATATGGTTGCCTTCTAAAAAAAATGTTCTGTCATATATTTAAATAGCAGTTATTGTTAATTCGACTATTATCATATAATACAACCTTATATTACATCGATCAGAATAGATATATATATTAGCTTGCACAGCAACCCATGCTGCAATCATCCGAAGCAAGAAGCAGCAGATACAAATCAATGAAGCGTAAAACAATAACAATGAAGAAGTTACAGGCAGTGTTGCCAAGAAAATAGACAAAACGAATAGTACAAATATTACATATCAACATAATTCACTCTGTTTTAACTTTTAGTTTAACAGAGGTAAAGTAGTCCATCACAAATTATAGAGACTAATCTTTCTGAAGAAGCCCCATGCTTTGTGAGCACATCAGCTAACTGGTATTTGACTGCAACCATTCAACGCCACAAATTTCCTTCTTCATAATCATTTCTTTGAAGCATTCCAATTCAATTCGAAGTCTTTTTGTTGGAAACATTTTACTGGAGTATAATGCATCTCGAAGTGAGCAATTATCTGTCATTACTAATTGGTATATTGAATGAGTTTGCCAATAAATTTCTGACAGCATGCTCTTAACAAATACAGCATTATCTCCACGGCGTCAGATAGTGAAAGTGTTTCAGCTGCCAAAGTGCTTTTGGCCACTCTACGAATCCGTTTCGATTGCCATGTTAGCAATGAGCATTTGTCATCATCTCCAACTAGAAATACTAGGTGTCCACCTTGACTACCTCCATAATTAAAATTCCCATATGCAGCATCTGCAAATACCCACACATCCTGAGTGATTGGTCTTTTCCCAGATATTGATACTTCAGCTTCATTTCTCGAGCTTTCAGTTTTCTAATTATTTTATTGGCATGATGAACATCTTTCTGTTTGCCTTCTTTTAGATTTGTGGCAAGTTGGCAGACATCATAACTCACATCTGGCCGGTTTGATTCGATGTCCAAAGCAATTGACCAACTATAGCTCTCAATGCATCCCTGTCTTTTTCATTCAACTCATTTTCATTTGAACTTGATGTAAATTTTTAAGACTCTCAAATAATATGTTTCTTGATCTACTGTTATTGCTGTTTTATTTTGTTGAATATTAAGACCAAGATATTTAAAAGCCTCGTTTTTCTCACGACTAAATCTGAAAGTGGAACGCAAGCTTGTTATAAATGTATTTTCAAAATTCTGTGTTCCAGCCCAAATGATATCATCAACGTGAATTCCCATAATTCCATGCAAGTTGTTTATCCTGTTTAGGTGAAATAAAGCAGAATCTCCGCATGAATTTTTGCCCCATTATTCAATATAAAATCTTTGAGCTTTTTATAACCATTTCAAAAGATGCATCAGCCAGTCCATAAACACACTTATTTAGTTTCCCAGAGTTTGTTGAGCCAGCTTCTTTAGGGGGAACCAGGAATATTTCACGATCCAAATTTTCGCCTTGCAGAAAGGCAGTCTTTATGTCAATGGTATTTCAATTTCCATTTTTTCTGAGCGACAATTGCCAACAGCAAGCGGAGGGAATCTTTAGAACATGTTGGCGATTCTTTTAAGACACTGTCATTGTTTTCCTCAAAGCCTCTTGCCACAAGTCGTGCTTTAGGCACAACACCAATCTTCTGTAGATTTTAGAGAACAGACCCATCGTACTGAAATAGTTATTTGTCCAGTGTTGTCAACCTCTTCCATAAACATTATTTTCTTTCCAACTTTTTAACTCTGATAATTTTGCGTCGTCAAAGTTAACATCTTTTGTAACCAGAACATTTTCTGTAGGTGCTTGGAGTTCTTCTTGTAGGTTTTCGACCTGCTCAAAATCAACATATCCAGTATTTCCCTTAATGCTTTCTGGTGATCGATATTTCACATTGAAAGAATTTTTATATTTTCCAGTTGCTTTTCCAGCTCGATTTATAATTTCCACTTCATAATCCATACCATCATGCGAATATGTGACAATTTTACCTCTTGCTAATGTGACATGAAATATCACTGTCATCGTCCCTGTTTGTAACATTCGTATTTGAAATCATCTCCACTGACGTCACTAACATATGCTTGAGCAGTTTGTGATTTGGAGCCTTATTTTGTCATTGGAATTATCAGGCAAATAGTCATCTCGTAGGTTCCCGCCACATGTTGGACTCTGCAAGAATGCACTTTCACACATTGGCCTCCATGCCGAATAAAGATTAAAGGCCCATCTTGACCAATTACACGTCCAGGTCCTTTCCATTTCTGTTGTTCATCTCTTTTATAATACACATACTCTCCCTTTGTGAAGGCAATCAACCGTCTCTCTCGTTTGTTTTCGTAGTGCTCTTCGAATCTTTTCAGATGATTCCGACTCAATAAATGCTTTCCGAGCAATATGAAGAGCCAATATGTTTTTTGCCACATACATGCTTGTACTTGTTCCTTCTAGTGCTGAAAGATTTTCATGAATAACAGATGGTAGTCTGATGCTTCTAACCGAAAAACAAGTTGATTAGGGCTAAATCCTTTAGTATTGATAAGACTATTTTTAGCACTAAGTGCCCAAGCCAGAGCTGTTTCCCAATTACAATTATTTTCATCTCTCACCTTGAGAAGAATTTCAGAAAGAATTCTGTTATGACGCTCGCACAGTCCATTGCTCCATGGAGAATATGCCGGAGTAGTAAGAAATTTTGATGCCAAAATTCTCACACATATCATGAAATTCAGCAGAATCAAATTCTCCACCATTATCTGAAAGTACTCTGTTTGGTGCTCCGAATATGCTAATCCAGTGTTGCATGAATTTTTCAACAATCGTGGAAGTCTTTTTATTATGAATGACAACAGCGCTGCTGTAACCGAGTAAATTCGTCTACAATATGGAGGTACCACACATTTTGTTCTAACTGATGGAGATCCAATGCTACAGTCTGATTGAAATCCGTAGCCCAAGATAAGCCAACCACAGGACTGGACAAGGCCTTTTATATTTGGTGCATATTTCACATCTATCAACTGTTTCAATCTATAATCTGACTATATTCAGGACGATATTTTCCAGTATTAGTTATCAATCTTTTCATATTTTCTTTCCGATGCATGCCCAAATTGTTTTGTGAATTTTCAATATATCATTTTTGCTGTAACTTTTTGACCCGTTTTCTGATAATAAAATTTCAGTTTTTGTGACCTTTTGAACGCTTTTCCTAGGCAGTATTTTGACTGTGTAGTGGCCATTATTGGATAAATGGGAGTGCAATTTCCTGTCCCAACATCATAGCCCGTATCATTCTTCATATTCAGGTGAGTTTCTGCTCTCTTCAGAGATCTTTTACTCATCAGCAATGGAAGATGGTGTTCTATGATTTCCACTTCCAATTCCAGAATTTTACGGCCAATTTGAATGGGAATTACTACTCTTTTAATAGCATTAACAGTGCGGCCATCTCCAAATTTAAAGGTTCGACTACTGGGAAATATCTTGATGTTTTCGCGCATCTCAGGCTCCAAAAGTTCAATGTATTTCTCAAACCAGGTTTTTTCCTGCCACAGTTTTTGTGCATGCGGTATCAACTATAGCATATTCAGCATTTTCTGAAATGAAGATTTCTTGACAGTTTCATTGTCATTAATGCCATTTGCACATTTTCACATTCTTCATCATCCGAGTCATCAGCACAGAAAACTTCCCGATGTTGATGAGGGCATTTGCGAGCCCAGTGCATTTTTGAGTCGCAGATGGAACATCTTGATATATTGCCATTTCTGTCAATTGGATTCATGTTTTGATCAAAATCCTTTTTACTTTTCACCTGATAATCAGATTTCCTGGTAAACTTGTTACCGGTATTCCAGTAATCTTCTTCTTGAAGTTACCGGTATCGGTAGTTCAGTTGAAGCTGCACCTTGTGACACAAATGCATCATTTGTTTGTGATAAAGACAACAAACTTCCTCCGATGCTACCGGTACAATTATGTTTTGAAAAAATTCTTTTTAATCCAGATTTCATTGACTCATATTTTAAATCACTGCCAACTGTCAATACAAGCTGTTTTTGTTCTTCAGTTAATAGTGCACCATCCATAATTCGGAATGCCAAAACTGCATCAGGCAATTTCATATCAAACTTTACCAAATTAGAATTCAAATGCTCAAATTCTAATATATAATCAGCCATTGCTAGACCGGCTGGCCTAGTGTAGGAATTAAATGCAGTATATGCATCATAGGCTAAATCAGTTTTCTCTGATTTGAAAGCACATCCAATTTTTCAATAAGTAGGCTTAGACCATCATCCACATTCAGTTCATCCGCAGTTAGATCAGAAACAGCCTTTTCAGCTTTAGAATTGCCATCTAAAGACAAAAGTCGCACCAAAATTCCTTGTTTTTTCACCGGTATCTCAGTCACCGCTTTCCACATGTCCAGTTTATTTACCCACTCCATGTAGGTCAAATCTTCACCAAACTTTGGTGGTTGAAGTTGTTTTGCAGTCATTTTCCTCTGCTACCAATGTTAATTCGACTATTATCATATAATACAACCTTATATTACACGATCAGAATAGATATATATATTAGCTTGCACAGCACCCATGCTGCAATCATCCGAAGCAAGAAGCAGCAGATACAAAATCAATGAAGCGTAAAACAATAACAATGAAAGAAGTTAACAGGCAGTGTTGCCAGAAATAGACAAAACGAAATAGTACAAATATTACAATATCAACAGTTATGTACATAGTTTAGAGTGAAAGTGAATTCAGGTTTCGATGAAAATGGAAATCAACCATCTGCCTACAACTTTAGTGTAAATTGTGAGGCTTTCAGAAATGTTGATGAGGCTTTTTATTCTACCATAACTTTCAAATATTCATCAGTATTGTATGCACAGTTTAGCAGTGTTGATTTTTTCCATATTAATACAGTATAGATAGTAAAGTAACTAAATTGAGTTACATAGTCAGTGTTTGATTTTTATTTTTTCCAAAATCAGTGCTTTATAGTAAATCATCTGTGATAAAGCTTTTTTTGATTCGATTAATCTGGACAAATCAACAAGTTGTAAAAAATTTCTGAAAAATCAGTTTGCCTTAACCATTTCACATTTTTCTGACATTAATAGTAGTATCAATAAACATATATATAATGTCTGGATATTCATACAATGCCTTCGAAGGGCATACTCAGCATAACTGGGGAAGAGAGGAACCAATTGAAGATAATGATGATACATATTTAGAAATGGACCATTTTCAAGAAAGGGGTCTTTCACCATCTCATGCACATCAAAATATGTCATCACACTTAGGAAACATATTAATGCAAAATCAAAATGATAATACAGCTCGTGGACCTGGTCAGACACCTTTCAGAAGATCTGGAGAATTTGGAAATTTCAGACTGCCAATGCCCTCTCCACACGAAGCACGATCATTTTCAGTTGATTTTACAAATAATCCTCCACCCGTCGGACGAAAACCAAGAGCTTCAGTACCGAATTATACCCCCGTTACTCTCAAAAATAAAGGTAGATGCATCATCATGATCCCATATGCTGCAAGGCATATTTCACATTTTTCTAAGATTGCTTGCATGTAAAATGTAGCTCATTTGACGTGTGAATAGATTTATCATTTTTCATACTGATTGAGTTTCTGTGCTTAGGATAAGGAAATAGTGTTACAGACAGAATTTGAATAGATTAATATGCATTTCACATTGCTGTGTGGGTATTTAAATAGCATAACCCTGTTTTGAATTTTTGTAGATTTTACTTTTAACCCATATTTCTCATTATTTCAATCTATTTTTGTTGTTGAATTTTTTTTGAGATATTGAAAGAAAATATATTATTTATTTTGAGTGCTGTTGAAATATACCTGATACGGCATCATAACCTACCTACTGGTAATACATTCTAACTGTGATATGTAACATTCATGGTAAAATTTTGTTGTAATTTATCTGTAATTGTAGATAATTGTAACTAATTATTCCCATGTATTAAAGTTTATGTAAATATTAAAGAGTGAGTAGTATCTGCATTAGCAACCTCAAATTTTTGAGTAGACTTGAGTAGACAAATATACTAATAGTAATCATTCTATAGATGAACAAAACTGATCATGATATATATTTTCCTTTATATACTCCAAGTCATGGTGTTTTGTTATATATTGCTCTCAATTATTAAAAAAATATGAAAGCAATACTTTATTTCAACCAAATTATACTTTTAATATCTTGAATTATATATGTACATGCTTATTGAGGCGGTGTTCATGAGCATAATAAATTTTCACAGCAGTAAATGAAATAAAACTAAGCTTAGTTTATATTTTATCACATTTTTCATATGCATGTAACAACACCTTCATGAATCCATTATCTTATTTGTAATCTAGTAGTTTATTTCATAAGTTTGCTAATATTCATAACAAAATTGATCAACATGCATTTGTATTATTTTAGTTTAACATTATTACAATCCTCATTTTTCAATAGATCTTGAAAATCTTATTACAACACAATAAGCAAATAGTATAAAAATAGTTTAATAGTTTAAAATTTTTTAATTTAATCATCTATTTTTATTTAGCACATATGCACCCTCCTGGACCACCAGGGAATCCACCATTGCCTGGACGTCGACCCCCTGCAAGATTGCCTGGTGACGGTAAGAGAATATTAAAATTACTTGCAACCTAGTTGTCAATGCTTTTTCTAAACTCAGCTGGCATCTCAGATTTTGAATCTTCATTCTGAACCTCCTATAATGGTCTCCTCTAGTGTGGTATTCATTTGATTATGCTATGTCATTCAGTTTATCATTCCAGATTATGGACTTAAATGGCGGAGGCAGTTTGGCAACCAGAGGTTAGGTGAATCACACTGTGACACCAAATAGTCCAGCAATTTTGTTGCACATAGTTATCTCCCACATGATTCTACTCTTCAAGCCCAAACAAGGTAATCATCCTTGGGGTGTATAGATAGCTAAAATTGACCAAAATCATTTTTAATCAATTGAGATGTCTAATATTTTACTAAATGTAACCTGCAGCTGTAAGTACTGCTAAACTAAAACAATCAAATCCTTAACGAGACCAATGATTGAATAAAATAGTGCATCTGTTGAAGCATTAATAATTACTAATTAGATATGATATGTTTGATAAAACATTTCTCGACATTTTATTATGTATTTCTAATCGGTACCTCAGTGAATTTTGTTCGATTTATGCTTTACATGTTAGTTTCAAGGCATTAAAGCATTGTTTAATCATTTGGGAGTTGATTATCAAATGGAGGTTTCATTCTGGGTATAAGCCACTGAAATGCAATGTATGGTTTGTAAATTTCAAAATTTCAGCGATTGCTTCAATTGAGCTATTTAAATGTCTTGCTTTATATTCACATAGACATTTGTTAATTTTTGAAAATAAAAATTACATAATGATAAAACCTGTCTCTCAAGCTGAGTTTTTTCATCTAACTCAATGAACAATTCATAAAGCAATATTATCAACATATTCATTTATTACAATAAAGCATAGTTTGAAAAATAGATAGAAAAATAAATAGATAAAACACATATTCCAGGGCCTGCCATAGATCAAGATGACCAAGATTATTTGTCATTTGAGGGTAAATCTTTTTGCATGCAATCTTTGGAGTTTTTCTTAATTTTCATCTGCATGGTCAAGATAAATATATTTATCTATTCTACTTTCCGCGTAAATTATATAAATAAATACATTGGGAGAGTGGTTCTGATTTACAAAAGATTAAATTGTTTCATAGAGTACAATAGTCGTGATTTATAAAATTCATATCATATAATTCATTTTCATTTTTCTTGTTTGTTCCATTCTCAAATTTTTGTCTTGGTGTAAAATTATTGCCTTGATTGATGATAAATACTGCTGTCTGCTACTCATCAAAATATTAACATAAAATCCCACACATCACATCTATTAGGTTGGTTAGTTTTTGTGTTGTTTTCTCATACTCAAGAAATGCTGGAATTTAAATTTTGATACTCTTCTAAATTTGTTTTATATTTCTCAAAAAGAACATAATTTAAATGTTACTTTATTGTTCAACTTCATGAAACAATTCTACATCTTGCGTTTTCATTCCATCTTAAAATTTATACTAATAAGTTATTGTTAAAGCCAATAATTAGGATAATATAGTGACAGTTTCTGAGATTTATTTAATAAGAGTGAAACCCCGAAAACTTCTTAAATAGGGTTTGAAACTGAATATAAAATAAACAGTTTTAGTCATTGTTGAGTATTTTTCTAAAAACGTTCACTCACATGTTATGCATAAAAGTAAATAACATGATTCAGGACCTCTGGATGAAATGCCTAACCGAACAGGTTTTAATCAATGGCCGACAAAATATGAGGAAACTGAGTCAGATGATCTCTACGGTAACACTTTGCTGAATGACTATTGTTAAAGCTTTTCTAACAAACTTCCATACTTGAAATATTAGTGTAGTTGTGCCATGTTGAAACAGGTACTTAATTACTTATAAACGTTTTGGTAGAAGGGTCAAAGCATGATTAAAGTCTTGTGTAGATTTTGTTTTCAACTTCTCAAAAATTAAAACAACGCGTCAGGGATCTGTTTTTTCTTGCAAGTCATTGAGGCTTTATTGCATTAGCTGTATGAAATGATTGTAGCTGTGCCATGTAATAACAAGTACTGGTACTCAATTATTTATAAACATCTTGGTATAAGGGTTACTGCATGATTCAAGTCTTGTGTAGGTCTTTAACTTCTCAAAAATTTAAACAATCTGACAATAAAGAAGTATGATATGTTTTTTCTTTGCAAGCCATTGAGGCTTTATCGCATAAACTGTGTAAAATGATTCAGAATTGGACGAAATTCCAAACACAGCTAGTTTCCGCCAGTGGTCAATAAATCAAGAAGAAACTGAGTCAGCTGATATATATGGTATAGTAGACAACAAGGACTGATTAGTCATTGTTGAGGTTTTTCAAACTCTTTATTATGCTTGAAATATAAGCCAAGTGAATCACAAACAAACAACAATATTCATACACACTGACAAAATTAGGCAATGAAGCGCAATGTTTTGCATATATTTTTTTTTTTTGAGAACAATGAGAAAATGTGTTCAATCATAGGTAGATCACAAGAAAATCTCTTCTTCTGAGCAAGATGAAGCATACATTAACTATTCATGATATACCGTAATACTCGCATACATTCATACATTCAGTTGCATACATTAGTAAGGATCTGTAAAACTTGTTTCTTGAAAATGACAATTAAATTCAAATGGGAAATTTTATTTCCTGTTTCGCTTCAACCATTCAACTTACATTTGTTAGGTCAATAAGAGAACTTTCTTTACTTGTGCCCTCATTTTGCCCTATTATGCTGTAAATAACTACCATTCTTTCTCACTTCCAGCATATCAATGGTATCATTTCTCATTTTTCATTGTTCAAAAAATTTTGCACATGCTTTGCAAACTCTGTAATTTAGAACTCATCTATTATTGTTTTCATGTTTTATTTTGCAATCAGATTAAGAATTTATAATATTATAATACTAAAAACGATGGTACATGCCGAAATAGTCATTACATAAACAAATGCAAGAATCACTTAACTAAAAATATAGATGGGTCATACGTAATATTGCAGGAGCAATCAAAAGCCACTTTAGTTTGAATAAAAAATTAATCAAACCTGTTCTTGAAGATGACTTCATTGACTTCATGACTTCATACAATTGATAGATAGTTAACTATATTTGAATATGCAAAGAACATATCAATGAATGCGATGTCTGCATTGTTTTTGAAGGTATCGAAAGCCATTGTACTTAAATATTGTATGATGTGAGATATGGCTTTTGTAATTTGTCTCCAGTCATAAGATCTATGAGAATTTGTGTATAATTTAGTATTTTTCTTGTGAATCCAAATTTTTATATACCGTATTTCTCTGCGAATAAGTTGCTTTTCCAAACCCAAGTTTTTGGCCGGATTTTGGGGGAGTTGCCCTCATCATTGGCATGTTATTTTAGATCGGTAATGTTCCTATATGATGGACGCAATCGCGAGTTAGGTTGAACACAATTAGATTGAAATTGAAAGACAGTTTGAATTCTCGTAGTTGTTATGGATTGAATATTACGCTACAAGGAAAAGTCATTATAGGCTATTTTAACCAATGCGCAAACACAGTGACTGCTCAAATGTCTCTCATGGTAATTTGAGATTCCGATGTTGATGCCATTTTACTACTCGTCTTATTGGCAGGTTATATGTAATAACATGCAAGAAATATGCTGATTATTTGTGCTGTTAATTATGTCCTGTAAGTTTTTGGCACAAATTTTTGAAAGATATTATAACTATTTACCATACATATTACCTATTTAAAATATGTATGCATATGAAATGGGTATGCATATTGAAAAAAAACATGTAAAATGTTTTATGTTTGACAGGACATAGCAAGATTCAGCTTAACTAAATTATTCACAATATAATCACATTATGATAAAATGTTTTATGAAACCAAATTTATCAAGATTTATCATTATTCATTGACATAGAGTGCTGTCAGGGGTTTATTTTACCCATACGTGACACAAGAAATTGTTCACTGATATTATCTGAACTTTTTTGTCCAGTTTGTCCAGTTTTTATAAACCTTACAATGCATGTATTATAATGCTATGCTTAAATGCTAATAATGGATTTAAGAGTTGCAATCCTAGTTTTACATTTCTTTTACTTTTTGTATTCACTATACGTGACACTAGAATTGTTCACCAATATTGTCTGAATTTTTTTTAAAACGCCAATTTGTTTATTAACCTTACAATGCATGTATTATAGTGCTATGCCTGAATGCTAATAAAGCATTTAAGAATTACAATACTAATTTTGCATTCCTTTTACTTTTTGTATTCATTATGTATTTGAATTCAAATATAATATTATATAGCAATAATATGTTTTGGCTAGCTATATAAAACTATTTATCTAAAATTGTGAATGCATAATATCTTTTTATTGTTTTCATTATTTTATATGCTTTGTTAAATACAAGCTATGGGAGAGCATTGAACTTTACAGTGAAAATATGGAGACCAATAATTGAATAATTTATTATTTTAAGATTTTCAACCAGTCTTCACTTTCCAACTTTTTTAAACTTTTTTCATTGAAATCTTTAGAACCACCACCACCTCAAGGATACCATCATTCAGCACCGCCTCCAGTAAGTTTAATAACATCTATTACAAAGAGTTTTCCATATTTGAAAGTAAAATTCTGTTCCAAATATTTTCAAATTCTTAGCTTATCATTATATATGTTGTTGTACTGTTAATATGTATTCAAACAAATGCCCATTGTTCAGGAAATTCTTATATGTTCAATGTGGCTATTGCTTGACAAAATAAGTACAAGTATATCTATACAGACTGTATGACATAATACAGCACATTTCATTACAAAGCATTTTTTCTGATCGAACTTTGAGTTCTGTATAAATCAAAATATTTTTTTTTTTTATAAAAATATGAATCAATTTGCCATAATATATTATTCAAATTTATTCCTATTTCAGAGACCTCCGGCTCATATTCCAATAATACCATATTCGGCTGAAGCAGCTCCACCTGCGATTCCCGGCAGATCTCCTATGCGATCACCTTACGATGATCACCAACTACCAAACAGGTCCTAATTGTCCCTTGTAAAGCAGAAATGTAATAGAGATAAATAGTGGCCATAATGAATAAAATTGAATTATTTTTCTAGTTGTAATATAAAGGATGTGTTGTAAGATTGTACTTAATTATTCTACCGGTAATTTGCAATATATTTTGTTATGCCATCAAGTTGTTCATGGCATTTTCATTGATTTTGTTGTGTTAAGGATTTAATCATTGATAAATATGAATAAGTACTGAATTTGGCATACTACATCAATAGCTCATATGGTTCGCTGTATTTTTCGGCGCTCCCGTAGTTTGTGCAACAAGATGGTGGACACCTGAACATAGTATGTGTACCAGGTTAGGGTTAGGCCATAATTTCATTCCAATTGTCCTTATTTTAGTCCTATTACGAGTTCGGGGACTAGCTAAGTGATTTGTATCTGAAATTAGGACCTAACCCTAACCTGATACACATACTACGTTCTGGTGTCTGCCATCTTGTTGCACATACTACGGGAGTACCAAATTTTCAATACCTAATATATATATTTTTTATATATATACATAAGTTATTACACGATTTTGGTTTAGTGAAATTGCTCAACGTTTTAAAAATATAATTGACTACTGTTTACTGAGCTAATATTTACTTTTAAATCTGTTTCACTTTGCAAATTTAGAATTCTTGTGTTTGAAGTGACTGTGTTCTTTAGGGCTGAATATATAAAATTTTTTGCATAATCGTAGCATCTTAAGACTTTGATGTAAAGACCATCAATTACTAAAATTGAAACAGAAATTAATGTCAGTGATGGAAGAATTCTAAAGATGATTTATCGTAAAAAATGATATTTTTCGAACAAGCTAAACTAGCAATTATCTAGCAAAAATGTTATGATAACATTAGAGACATTCCTATACTCTGTCGATGATTCATCAATAAAATTGAAATAAAATTTTGTATTTTTGACTTGTATAGACCACCACCACTGCCTCCACTTGCAGCACCAACCAGTCCACCACAAGCGCCACTACCAAAATTCTCACCATTGCCACATCGATCGGGCAGTGATAAAACCGGTAATTTTTTTTTCATTTTTATATACTAAAGCAGAATCTTTGTGTTCTGTTAAAACAATTTTAAATCTTTCCAAACTATCAATTACATTGAAATTTCATATTTGGCGAAAAAAAGCAGATGACAAACCTGAGCATTTTGTATAGTTGAACCTGTGTTTTAGGGTTTAATATGTTACAATTAATCTGGGGTGTACTACGATATTGTGTACAGAACTGCAAGTTCTTTTTCTCCTTGTTTCCCTTCTATTTCGGATACGTATGTGTCAGTTGCCACAAGGATGCTTGAACGAGATAGTATTATAAAGATAAATCTGAATACCATAATCTCTTTTCACGAAATAGTAAGTTTATCATTTGCAGCCATATCTTATTTTATCTCAAGAAGTTAGACTATGATCTAACTAAAGCTCATAAATAAACTTACTATTTCGCGGAAAGAGTTTATGTTGTTCATATTTACAATTAATCTTATATATTTCAACTATGCGTGAAATACAAGCGTGTACTAGGGTATTTTGTATAAAACTGCAGGTCCTTCCTCAATTTTCAATTCCAACTTCTGATCTATATGTGAGAATATTGAGATTAATATTATCTCTTCAGTTGAAAGCATTAATCATGCATAAAAAATCGGAGAAATTTGGAAAAAACATTGATGCTATTTCACAACGGAACAATTTTCTATTAATACAAAGATTCTGATTTCTTGAATACTTGAAACAACACAGTTTAAATAATTTTGTTTTACATTTTCACTAGAAATACTCAATACTCAAAATTTTTTTTTTAAGATTCATCACCTCACAGCCAGTCACCTATTAGTTTTTCTTCTGAAATCACTTCTCATCTGAAAAGCAGACAAGGCAATATAAGCACTGGTAAATATAAATTGAAAATATTTGTCTTTTTTTGCTAATAGAATTTTGATAATTTCGACTACTTAGTATATATAAACTAAATATTTATCATAAATTTTTTCAGCATGACTATCTTGTCTGCCACCATGCCCTGTACGATAATCTTTTTGTTTCATTGCAATTATGCTGGTGCTAAAAAAGTTATTTTCTACTTTTTCAAGTGATAAGTTGCAAAATTTAAATTTTATTTCAAATCAAGTCTCACCTCACTTTGAGCGAATTAGCCTAAAAACATTTAAATACACTAATGGTTGCCACTCTGGTTGTGCTATGTAATACTGTATCACAATCACGATTATTTGGGAAATTATCTAAAAAAGCTAAGAGATTTTAATAGATATATAAAAGCAGTATCATTATATTCGCATGACTTCATGCACAATATTTACAATATAAAAATAAATTAAAAAATACATTATAAACAAATATATATGTGTGCATTATGCCGCATAAAGCTACGCCCTTTTCACATTCACAACATATTGGCGGTAAATTAGTTGAGCGTTGGACTTAATTGAAATGAATGAAACATAGCACAGCAGCAGAGACTATAAAAAAATAGAGAAGAAACGAAATAGGAAATCAGGCATTGTCTCTTAGCGTCTACTTCATTGTAGAAAAAGTCAACCGAACATTCACAAATTATTCTTTCATTGGTATTAGGAATAGTTTTCAACTTCTCTTAGTGTGGATAATGATACCTTTTCAGCCATTTACATTGTTTAATAGCGGGACATGTAAAACCTTTGTTGGTACGTCATAATGCACCAGTCATCAGAACATTTGTTTTCTAAGTGCAGAAAAATACATGCCAACTGCCTAGTATATTTCCTTTACATCTGAATGATGTGTGAGTAAGTCTACTGAAGTTATTTTTAAATTTTTTTAAAATTTAAAAAATGCATCTATAGAATCAAGAGATTCTGGACATGGTTCACCTGGAGCATCTCGTGAACCGAGTTGGAAAAGTGGTAATCGTTTGCCCACGGGTCATTTACCAAACAGAAAACACAATTCTAGCACCGGTAAATATAACAAAGTTACGCATGGTTTTAGTTTGAATATCTGTACAATGACTGCATGGAAAAAATTATTTTTTCTGTGGAAAAGATAATTTTTTGTATGTGTACTATATGTGCATGGAACAAAACATTTGTCATCTTCTAGTTGGTAGTCTGAATATGTTCTTATATGGTTATTGTAGAAGAATTTTTGAAATGCAACATGTCTAAGTAGGAATATAGCAAAACAATTTTTGAATGCAAAATGTTTCATATATTAGAATTTATACAATTTTACAAATGCTCTTTTGTACAGTACAGTTCACATCTTCTCATACAGATTTTATTTGAAAAATTTGTGTTCAAACAAAGAACAAAAATTCTTCTTTGACAAGTTTTCCAGAAATATTAATTTTGTGGCGCAATATAACATGCACAATGTTGATTATGATTCTCCTTGTTAACTTTTTTTTAATATTTTACTGAGTTGAAATAAAAATAAGATAGTCATAGTGAACAAATTTTAAATGTGCTATTTCCCTTTTTTATTGCACAAAATCTATCAAGAAGTTGCTTGGGATAATCTTCAAAATATTACGATTAAGCAATTTTATTTATTTATATCCATATATATAGAATCTAGAGAATCTGGTCAGGGTTCACCTGTAGCATCGCGTGGGCCAAGTTGGAAAAACCAAGGGTTTCCAATCGCTCATTTACCAGACAGAAAAAACCATGCTAGCACTGGTAAATATGAACACAAAATATTTACTGAATATGTTGAAATGTTCCTAATCGATCGCATTTGCTATTATTTTTTGATCATTATATTTCAAAATCAAATTATTTTATTATACTTGATAATAACTGAATTCAGTTATTAGATGATTGTTGTGATGCCTCAAGGTACGAATAATTTTTTGGTTTTATTTTTTCATCGACAAAACACATGTCATCAATTCTTATTCACATAACACAAATTTTTTTTTATGAATGAACCAAATGTTTTATAGCACATGATTCCTTATTGCATGATAACTTAAATGAGGATACCAGAAGCAACCTCTTCCTTTGGTGATATAAATAGGTCAAGGTAGCTTTGAATATCTTAGTTTTTCAAAACTAAATGGCATATTATATTGAGAAGGCATCATTGGAGGAAAAATAACCAGATTGTTGGTGTGAGATGTATATTTAGAACTGACCATACAATGAACAATATTTTTACAGGCATAATGCTTGTTGGACACACAGTGTACATATGGATCGTTTTGTTATTATGTTGTTGTTCTTCTTGTTAGTCATTCTTCTTCTTTAAAAAAATCGCTTCTCTCATTAACTATTGGACCGATTGCTTTGAAATTTGTTGTGGATAAAGATTGTATTTTTCCCTAGAAGGCTGTTACTTTCATTTATTTTAAAAATTTTTGTGGGCTTTATGGGATTCGTCTTTATGTGCGATCATGTCTTCAGAATTAAAAATTGCTGCACATACTGTGACAGATTGCATACCCGTACTACTTTGTTTTGGCCTTCGTGTCCATATATTTGAGCATTGCTCCTTTTTTCATCGGATTGAAATTTTTCTCCTTTTTGTTTTTGTTGATGCCAACATTTCGATATTAATCCTTCACACATTAAGTCTAAATCTCTATTTATTGTTATTCTTTATTTTCTTCGCACTGTATTCTGATTATATCAATACCATGCATGGCTTATGGTTTACATCACTATCATTATTACGGTTTATACTAAATTTGTGTAAGAATTCTTCTGTTCTTTTTCTATTATATAAAGTTGTGCATGTTTATTTGGTAAGTATGCTTGAACAGGGAAGTATTTAAGTAATACTATTGAAATATTCTTTTAAAGTAAATTTGTTCCAAGCAAACCCGAAAGCTCTCAGATATGAGCTAAGAGCCTCTCTAGCATCAACATGTGGCTCAACTTATTATACAGCAATATAAAACAGTTGAAGCTGGACATGGATGTCTTCAACTCAACATTATTACAAAAACATATTAGGGAAAGAGAATTTCAATAAACATAGGTAATGGGAAATTAAAATGAATCTCAGATAAATTTTGTCAAGGTGCAAAAAAACCCTTGCAGTGAATGGATGCAAACTAGTCAAGTCTGGTAGATTGGCTGAAATTTTTTTGGGGGAAACCAAGGCAAAAATATCACATATCATAGATGTGAATGCACGTTTTACCCTTTTACCTCTATTAAAAATGTTCTTTATGGTCATTCATTGTGTTTAATCAAATGGTCAGTTGATCTTACTTGAAATTCAATATTTTACATTATTACAAATTAGGAAGCAACAGTTCCAGCGGTTCAGATGACTTGACTAAACCTCCTGTTACTAAAGATACATTTGCGGGCATGAAGAAGGATAAGCTACCGAAATTCCCTCCCACTCTCCATAATAAATTTCACTCTACAGGAAAGTGAGTTCGATGAAAAAATTTTTATTTTGTTGCACAACAATGAAAAACTGAATCATAACAAACTTACCGTAATTAAAAAAGGAAAAGGGGCAATGTCCTTCAAAATCGTCATACACTGTGTATGTATTGATATTTATTCGCCTCTGTCTGCATAAGCACAACATCTGCATAATTAATGAACATTATAAATAGAGTAGGGTTTGTTGAGAACTTGCTGACCTACAGCACAGTTATGTGACTTCGCAATTCTAACCGTAGTTTGGGACTGCTATGTTATAATAGGATAATATGCATAATATGTAAACTTTCGACAGTTATAGATTTCAGATTATTGTAATTTAATAACATATATACAAATACTAGTTCTTTTTAACGCAACTCTTCAACAATATTTTTGTGCAGACCGACAATGCCAATGCCACACTTTTCAAACCTTACCACCACCACCAATGAAGACAGGTGAATTATTTGTGTAACAGACATAATTTTGTATTGATATCGGAGACTTCCTATTCTGTATGATTGCTTTCCTTTGCTTTTATTTTGTCATATGTTTCGTCTTTTGTTGTCCTACAGTCTTTTTGTTTGTGTTATGTTTTTGTAAAATAATTAGCAAGAGCAAAATGTTGTTTTAAAGAAATGTCATCTCTTGGTAATAAAATAGTGAGCTGACACAATTTTCCATATTTCATGCATTCATACACTTTATTCTCCTCTTTAAATTGAAAACAAATTCTGCGTAGGTAATTAGATTCAAAAGAGAATGAATTTTCTTGATCAATCTCACTAAATTTCAGTTGTGTAAACTCCAACATTAATAAAACTTAATGCAAAATTACATTTCCTGCTCATTGTTCTTTCATTTTGGTATTTGATTAATCATTGATGTCTTTTTGTTTGCATGACTTTCATTTTTATTATTTTTTTTCATGTGATTATGTTTGTTCGGATCATCAGGAGGTCCATCAGATATTGCGCAAGACCTTAAATTAGCCTTGCAGAAAAGGTTTAACAAAGCAAATCCAGACGAAGAAGAATATGAAGGTTCCGAAGATATAAGAGGCCGCATGCCTACACCAAATGAGCAACCGAAGCCTCTCAATAAAAAACCTTACCCATTACCAAAACAACAATCTGTGAATACAGATGCCATAAATTCGCCATCTCGTTTTAATAAACCACCAATACTACCACATCCGCAAACAGTACCCGTACTACCTTCAAGACAGGGTGGCATGCAACCATTGATTAATCAAATGTCTCATGAGCTAGTAATTGAAGATGAATATCATTGCATTGGTATGTTATATTTATTTTCATTCTTAAAAAATTCAAACTATAAAGGCAAAATTTTGTGACTTGGTTTGAGTCTTGTTTTCGTCTTACTAACCAAGTTTCACGAAAATAATATTAATCTTTGAGAAACCAACTTTGCCAAAAACTTTTCAAAAATACTGAAGTCTATATTGTATGTTAATTCAAAACAACATTCGACACTCCAGATGTATGTTTATCAATCAACTTATTTTTTTTGGCTATTTTACATTCCCTTATGTAAAGGGACTGAAACCTATGGGCAAGGGGTATTCCCCACAAAATTATGGTCTAACCCTGACCTGGTCACATACTATGGGAGCAAATGAGGCCAATCTTCCAATTACAGTCTCTCATTTGGCTACTGAAGTTGAGTTTCGAACTACCTAGTTCAGTGTGGTCCAAACCCTGGCCAGCGGGCCACATGTGGCCCGCCGCTTCATTATCTGTGGCCCGTGTCACATTCGGAGAGTACCAATAAATCGCATTTCGTGTTGTTTCGTATTCGAATTAATCAGAAAAATCTTTTGACTTATTGTTGCATCACTAATGTCACTGAATTGACTAGTGTTATGGCTAGCTGATGCAAATAGCGAAGTTGAATGATGTGCTTGGCAGTCTAAATTATTATCTGGCTTTCTATCTTTTTGGTCGGGAATATATGCTAACAATATAGGCATCATAGAAAACTAGTAATCGAATGCGAATTCTATTAGCCTGTGATGGCTATGTCTGATAACTATGTGTTTGCACAATAAAAGTGTTTGTTTTGTATTGCACACATTACCTATTCCTGGCACTATTGTGGCTCACGAAATATTTAAACAAATAAATTTGTGGCCCGCGGAGCCGACAACCTTGGACCACCCTGACCTAGTTTGAAACACATTTTGTAATTTGATCGCAATGCAAGTTTAAAACCGACGAATTATCATATGTCATTTTAACTATGGTTATGTTTTGGTTTATGGGTGCTATTATGCATGCTACTAGCTTCATATTTTAATTTTATGTGGTTACTGTGATGTATGTCATCTATCTGTATATATTCTGTGTAATTTATACATTTATATTTTTTCAAAATTGTTACCTTTATTTTAAAAAAATAAGAAAAACTTGATATTCTACTCAATCTGCATTTAATTCAAAATTTCCGTTCTCCAAAGATGTTTTTCTGACCTTTTGACTGCAAAAAAATTCTTCTTACCATTTCAAAACGTTCTTATTTTTATTATGTGAGTTTTTTTCGCATCATCCTGAATCTTAATGTGCTGAATCTCTTTCACCAAGTCATCCAACCTAACAATTTCATCAATGACACTGTTTATAACTTAAACAAGGTTTATATATCGATATAATTTTCAACCATTTGATTGAAGATTCTTTGTTAAATTATAGAAATAGAAGATCAACCATGGTTTCAAGACATTAATCGACGTGGAGCATCAGGTCAAATAGAAAAGTATCAAGAGGTAAATTCAAGAGCTTACCAATGCGGCTACTGTTCTTAATTATTATACGGCTTCCTCTCTGTGCGATTTACTTTGTTTAAATTTGACACAGCTAGGACTATTGACCAAATAAATTTTTACTGTCTAAAATATTCATTTTCTTCTTCTTACCGTATATATTTTTATCAAACTCTAGGATGGTAATGTTCATAATTCGCCCAGAGAAGGAGATGTGAGCCATATGCAATGACAGTCTGGGCGCTGGCAAATCTGGAATTTTATTATTCGCAAAAGGCCAGATGGAAATTATGCACTCGGTAACTGAAAAGGTAGAGTTCTCTATTTATTTTCTGTTTCTTCACAAATTTTTAATGAAAGGCAAATAAATACAAGCCAATGCCACTACCAGTTTCTGCCCTCATAGCAAATTTATACAACTGTAAAGTTGCTGTTAGATCACTTTTAAATAATGAATGTGATTGGTGTAGTTACCCATTTAATGAACTACTTTGCAGACATACGTACAGAAAAATACCTCCTATGTCCGATATGTAGAGTAGTAATCCTCAGAGTAGTAGTAAGCTGTGCAATTATAAGTTTTTGGCCCTGATCACTATACGGATACTACCAGATCCAGAGAAAATATTAATGCAATATAATGTCTTTGAGTATACTTGATACCCAACAAAAATAAATGAAAGTTTCAGAGAGGATGGTTTGCGTAACTGATGGACTGTTAAGTGTTCCATCACTATCAAGTCCATGCATCAGGAACAAATGACTGGCTAACTAATCCTATACCTAACATGGACTGGTGACCAGACAAGAGGCCGTGGGCTCGCCATATGATTATGTGACTTGTCGGCGGGGATAAATATTAAAATTCTAAATGATACTAAAAATATATGATGTAAAATATTATTTATTTCAGCCAAATGAAGCATATGCAGGCACAATACTCAAACTGGTTGAATATTATCAGGATCACAACATAGTGTTGCCAAACAACAATGATACTGTAAAAATTACCAGACCGCCACCAACCTAAATGAAATTGAAAGTTAACAATTTTGCTCATGTGTATGAAATTTGAAAGTATTGGTCAAGCCATAACCCATGTTTGCAATGCAAATGAAACTCTAATGAAACTATAATTTTTCGTGTGGAATGTTAAAGCAAGAAGCGCAAGGCAAACTTAAGGAAGACAATGTATTATCAAACGATTCAGCGAATGATAATATCGTAATAACTGCAACTTTTGTTATTATTTCATTACTCTTTTTAATTGAGTCATTTTTCTTCATGTGTTTTCAAGATTCGAGAAAAAAACTTATAATATATATTCTTTCTTTTCAAACTTTGTGAATCTTATTGTACTCATCCTGAATAATTTTGGAACTTTAATTACAATTTTAAATAATTTTATTTCTGATTTTTGTTCAGAATTGTTGTAATTTGGATCAAAGTATCTATCTCATGCACAATCAGAGTTGTATTGAGGATGATTGCTTAAATGCCTTCCAAAGTTCAAGACTAGTCTAAAGTTATGGTATATCAAATGTCAATTTTTAGGAATAGACCATATAAAATGAAACCATAAAAATAAAACTGTGGTATCTATTCATCTGTTGTGATCTGAGGCCAAATATACCAGGGCTACTAAACTGGCGGACCGCGGTCCGAATTTGGACCTTCCAAGTATTAAATTTGGACCGTAGCTGCTTCTTGATTTTGAAAGAATCAATTTTCCATTCTTTTACAGCTCTGATGTAATGCATTTTTGCTAAACCAATGAAAAATAATTATGACATCATAGCAATATACTTATGTCTCTCCGACCATCGACTGACTTGTTTACTTACCTCTCTAGTATTTCAGCAAGATTTTAATGGTGTCATGAAAACTGAAGTTTTTAGCAGCCACTCTTGTTAAACGACGCATTTGAAGTTGAATTTGCATAGTTAGAATATAATTTTTATAATGACCGGATCCCTTTAATTTATAAGTTTTGTGTACGGACCTTTGGTGAGTAGCTCTGATATATACATTTTCAACTCCATGTATTTCATTTCCTCGAAAAACTCTCAGCAACTTATGTTGCTTTCAAGTTCTATATCTATAAGTTTTATTTATGCATCTTATTTGCCTTAAAATTTATGAATTGAAGCATATTTTATCACTGTTTTTGAATGTATTCAGTTAATAATTTATGCAATACCATAAGACTCATGTGAAAAATTTACTATATTTTCCAAGGCAGTTATTTTCATCCGTAAGTGCCCTTTTAATGTTTTTAGATAAATTGTTTTTAGAATTAGTAATTGATAAATCATGAGGTTTTTTGTTACTCATTGAAAGGAAAGTATTGTTTCATTTATTATGCTGTGGGTTTTGAGGGGTTGAGCAAAAATATCATGCTCCACATGAATCCCTCTACATATGTATCCAACTCCATATGCTTACTTTAACCATTTTTCCTACAATATATATCTATGCTAACTTAAAAGTAGGAAAATTGTTGCAAAGTGGGATATAACATTTTTGAAATCCACCAATTCCTTTACCATCACAAATATTGTCTTTTGAGTCAATTGCAGAATTTATATTTAGTTTGCTCTAATATATACTAAATAACAGTTATACTCAATTGATAAACTTGTGTGAAACAGTAAATTAAATAGGTTTCAAGCAGTGTAGTTATCTTTTTTGCAAGTGAACTGATCCGGTAAAAATCATCCCACTCATGGTTTGTCCTGCTTTTATTATTTTTAATATGTACAGAGTGATACAACTGATCATTTATGAATAAAAATGTTTTTATTGTCTAATCATTCCAATTATTGACTTTTTATTTAATGCTTGCAGTATACCGGTTGTACCCCCATTGTTTGAAATGTTCCATCCCTTAACAAAGCGGTTTACATTTAACTATGCCATTATCGTTGTTATTTGAGACAGAAATTGTGTCAAAATCAAAAACTTCTCGTAAATAACTTTAGTTCACGTATATGTATTGTGTTCAAAATGACAGTTTTTCTGTGATAAATGAGCTGACGATATTAGAGTTTGAAAATAATCTCTGAAATATCTTATTATTATCTTGTTTGAGTTCTCTCAAATATGAGCTAGTACTCAAAACTTATAAACTGAAATATTTTTTACTTCGTATTTGAAATGTTCTTGTATGTGTGATCTCGAATTTACTGTTTGCATATCTATTGTGTCTCTCCAACATGCCCCCCCCCAAAAAAAATAAAATAAAAAACATTTAATTTATTAGCAATGCAAATTTTCAGTGAGACAGAAATTCTTACATCTTTTCCAACACAATTTTGCTCTATCCTTGAACGATTTACTGATAACCCGACATTTCCTGGGTTACTATCAATAATACTTTCTACAAATGAACCAACTGAGATAGATAAAAATGTGCACTTATATATATTGGATAACTTAGACAGTGAATTGAGACTGAAAAGATATTTTTTAAGATATTTTTTGAGAAAAGGCACGAGTAAGCGTCATCATACAAAAAAATTTGGTCCCCCCCTCGAAATTTTGGGCTGGCTATCTTGTCAGATCATATTCTGTATGAAACTTTCAATTTAAAGAATCCTATTTAAAACATTTTTATAAGGTTGATTGTGGATTGAATCGAATGTTTTAGAATTTTCCCTAAAACCATCTACTCCAGATATTAAGTACCTATCTCTTGGAATAAAACAAGAAAGTGATTGAACATTTCTTATTTTACCAACACATGTGCCAGCATGCTATTTGTATTTAATTAACTGATTTATTTATCACGAGAATATGTCATTTAATTCCTCAGAAATATTATTTGCATAATTTGTTGATATTTTATATTTTAGCAATAAGTATTTGCTTGATTTGACTAAATCGTGTTTGTTGAAACATATCAATAAAAAGACTTTTCTGATATTAAAATTCATTTCTTGGATTGTCTCGTACTTCATTATTATCACAGGTTATTGGGATATCATTAAATCCGGGATCATTTGGGACGCCATAATAGACGTCATATTTTGTACTTTGCACAATGTGTACTGTGACATCATATTGGATTTCTTAAAATACATTATGATGTCATTTTAAAACTCGATGTAAACTACGAAATTGCAGTTACAAGCAAGTTCATTGGGTAATAACTTTAATTTAATAACAACACAGTGTCATACTAAATTTATTTCCATAGCATAATATTGCTATGCCCCCTGTGTGTTGAAAGAAGAAAATCCGTAAGAGTTGAGAATTAAATATAAGAAATATTATATTTATTCATTTCAAGAGAGCATCCAGATCGCCATTTTATCCAATTTTGTGGTCATGTTGAATCATTTGTTCTGAAATTGACTCATCTGTGAGAAATGTTTTCAATGTAGCACGTCTACAGTTTCGATGAAAAGCATCGTTTCTTGTATTGACTTCTTGTACATCACAGTTTTGACTGATTTTATTCATAGAGGGGGCTCGAAACTTCCAGTCAAATCGTTTAACTAAATCAGCGGTTGCGAAACTCTTCTTGTTCATGCGTCGTATAGTTACCAGGAAAACCTACGGCGCACTTACACGATAAAAAAATGATAATAATAAATAAAACTTTTGTGATCATTAATGTGTACTTTATGATTTTTCAAGTTTGTAAACATGTAATACCTACAACTGTTCGAAGATACATACGCACAGTATTATGAATTGTTTAAACAAGTAGATTTGTATATCTTGAATAAAGTATAGCTAATTTTACGTAATTAGTATAGGGCGGATAATAGGAAGGTTTCGTTATATTACCCCTCTCAGAGGACCTTCGTCGAACCCCTAGTACAGCATCAGCGAACCCCGTTGATCTAGATTCTAGATGATTAATATAGGACGTTTACTGTTTTGAGTAGGCAAACTTCCGCTAGCTCAGCATTTTAGCCTACGATCTATACGGCGAAGTATTGCTATCATGTCGCTACGGTGTGTGTGAATAGATGACTGTGCTCACTGACTAGATGCGATCATTGAATATCCATTGCCAGCTTTTCCGCAGACTAGCCAAAAGTACGGGGATTACGGAAGAAATTGTTAAAGTCGGATCGGAGGATGCAGTATTATATCCATTTCCGGTCAAACAAAAAGTGATAACGATATGACTTGACTTGTGGAATTTTATGAAAGGGGCAGGGAGTTTTTGGTAATTCGATTTAGAGGTAACCATAAAAAAGTTTGGAACCACGGTTCGAAATTTTGGGTCGAAATATATTTCTATATATATTGTACAAATTTGCTTATTACCATGTGTTGTTCATGTCAATTTGTTGTATATATATATCTGTCTACCCTATCCAGTCTGATCTTAGTTTCAATAGTTTCGGTTTTTAAAATGCTAAACATGTTGAGGACGGCTAGCGTGGCGGGCCTTCGTATGTGTTGTCAAAGATGCTAATTCGTATTATGTTTAAATTGCTGCCCGTTATTGCCCGCAAGAAATCCTGAGTGACGTTTCCTGTTTCTTGTCAGCTCATATCTTCACTTCCTATGACCGGATAGGACATGTAAGCGCCTATCTTTTTGTGGGTTCGTGTAGTGTGGTAGGCTATTTGCCAGTTGCTAAGTAAACTTATTTTCTGCCAATCAGCGGATTTCGAATTATTATATTCATATGTTCTTTGTTTTAGCTTTCGTCGTCCCACTCGCTTGGATTTAAATTCATGACGTGGCAGATGGTGCCAGTGACTGTCTATTTGGATTGCGTGAGGTTCCGAAAAACTGTCTAAGGATTCTTTGAAAGATATTTGATTTTTCGTATATTTTCCAGAATTTCAACCGCGTCGCGCCGAAACCTGTATTTCTCGAAACCTGTTTTCTCAAGGAATCTCTTTGTTCACAATTCACATATAAACATTTTTGACTTCTCCATATTTAGAGATTGCGCACTGGAAGATCATTAACATTTCAAAACCTAGGTCAATTGATTACACGGATTCCGTGATAAAACTAATGTAGACTGCTTTATTTTGCATGATCTGATTCCCTTGGTGAAACCGTTGCTGATTTTGCTCCCGTCAGCGGTCTTACGTTCAGTGTGTACATGCGTTAATATTTTCAAAATAGCTTTACTAGTGCTTCCACCCCAGGAACATCAGTGGCCTAACAAGTAGCAAATTTTTGCGCTACCAATTATGGTGATTGCTTATCATTTGCGATTGCAACCTACATTTAAATGGCCTGACAAATGATGTAAATAAGTGCCTTTCGAAGATTTCAAACATTTTTGTCATCATTTACACTCACTGAAGCTATACGTTTGTTTCATATTAAAATATACCCATAATAATATGTCACGAATGCCGCCAACCTTCTTTCGTCGACGTAGGCCTACGCTCAAATCATCTCATTGGCATACTTGAGCCGTATAAAACCTGAGAGTTTGCATATCGCGAGCAAGCAAGGTTTGGTGCGATGATCAGAGTGTGGGTAAAGCACGGTTACTTTGGGTAAGGGGTAGTATAGGGTGGTGGGTAGAGGATAGGTAAATGGAGGGAGCTATAGGGGATAGGGTGGAAAGTTTGGGGGGGATGGGGCAGTGAGCCAAGGATAGAAAGGTTGGGGGAAATAGGCAGTAGATAGGGTAGTGAAAGTGAGTCGAGGGTAAGGAAGCTGATCATGATAGAACAGTGGGTCGATGAGGTAGATAGGCAGTGTATCGGGGATAACAAGATGGAGGAGGTAATAGGACGGTCGGTCAGAAAGGGCAACCCAATCTGCCTCAACTAACTGGCTATTTCCCTCAACCTTCCTATCCTCGACACACTGTCCTAACTCCATTTTATCCACGACACATAGAACCTATCTCCCTCTCCTCGACCCATTATCCTATCCCCGACTCTATCTACTTCAATTTACCAATTCTCTACCCACCGCCCTACGCTACCCTTTACCCAAATTAACCGTGCTTTACCCACGCTTTTTTTTTTATCAAACTCTCAGGTTTTATACGGCTCAAGTATGCCAATGAGATGATTGATGCGTACGTCGACGAAACGAGCCTATAAGGTTGGCGGCATTCGTGACATATTTTTATGGGTATATTTCAATATGAAACAAACGTATAGCTTCAGTGAGTTGTAAATGACGACAAAAATGTTGAAATCTTTGAAAGGCAATTATTTACATCATTTGCCAGGCCATTTAAATATAGGCTACAATTGCAAATGGTAAGCAATCACCATAATTGCTAGCGCAAAAATTTGCTACTTGTTAGGCCACTGATGTTCCTGGGTGCGGAAGCACTAGTAAAGCTATTTTGAAAACATTAACGCATGTACACACTGAACGTAGAACCACTGACACGTACAGAAATCAGCAGCAGTTTCACCCGGGGAATCAGATCATGCAAAATGGATCAGTCTGCCGATTACATAAGTTTTGAAATGTTAATGATTTTTCAGCGCGCAATGTCTAAATATGGAGAAGTCAAAAATGTTTATGTGTGAACAAAGAGATCCCGTGAGAAAACAGGTTTGGAGAAATACAGGTTTTGGCGCGACGCGGTTGAAATTCTGGAAAAGATACGACAAATCAAATATCACTCAAAGAATCCTTATACGGTAATTTGGAACCTCGCGCAATCCATATAGAGTAGACAGTCACTGGCAACACCTATTAAACATCTGCCACTTCATGGATTTAAATCCAAGCGAATGGGACGACGAGAGCTAAAAAAAAGACACGTATGAATACAATAATTCGGAATCGACTGATTTGGAAGCAAATAAGTTTACTTAGCAACTGGCAGATAGCCTACCACACTTCACGAACCCAGAACACCAAGCTGCCTACTGAATAAAAATAGAGGCGTTTACTTATTCGTTCATGGGAAGTGGAGATATGGGCTGGCAAGAAACAGGAAACGCCACTCGGGATTTCTCGCGGGCAATAACGGGCAGCAATTTAAACATTATACGGACCTCCTGAAGTATGCGCACCAAGATGGCGCACAACCTGAACTCAGGTTGTGTACCAGGTTAGGGTTCAGGTTATGCGACATCTTTGTGCGCATACTTCAGGAGTACCCATTATACAAATAGGCATCTTCGGCAACATATACGAAGGCCCATCATGCTAGCCGTCCTCAATGTGTTTAGTATCTTAAAAACCGAAACTATTGAAACTAAGATCAGACCAGATAGGGTAGACCAGGGTCGTCAAACCCTGGTCTTGTGGCCCACCGAA